CTCGGCTCCCGCCAAGGCCTTCGACCCAAAGAACATACCCAAGATCGCCGCCCCGGATCTCTACAACGGAGACCGATCCAAGCTCAGAGCATACCTCACGCAGGTTAAGCTCTATACGGGCTTCAACGGTCACCAGTTCGCCACGGAGACTGACAAAGTCCTTTGGGCTTCGTCCTTTCTCCGGGGATCTGCCTTCAACTGGATCGAGACCTTCCTCTCGGACTACATTCAGAACCGAACCAAGGATGGGAGAGTCTCCACGGCAATGACCAAGGAATCCCAGAAGATCTTTATGACCTTCGAAGGTTTCGAGCATAGGATCAACCGCGTCTTCGGCGACATTGATCAGAACCGTACCGCCGAACGGAACATCCAGAACCTAAAGCAGGTCGGGTCAGCGACCACGTATACTGCCGCCTTCCAGCAATTCGCGAATCAGACCAGCTGGAATGACGACGCCCTTCGGGCACAGTACTACAAAGGGTTGAAAGACGGAGTGAAAGATGAGATAGCAAGATCGGACGCGCCTACCGACTTGCAAGAACTCATCGAAATGGCTGTCAAGATTGACAACCGAAACTACGAGAGGGCACTCGAGAAGAAAGGCCAATACCGCTCCGGAACGCACATGCACCAAGGAAGAGGGGGCAATAACAAGAAACCATTCTACCCTCGGGAAATGGAACTCGATGCGACGTTCCGGAAGCCAAGTCATCAAGGAAAGCCGCGCAACGGCGGGCTATCTAAGAAAGTCATGAGCGAGCGACGAGAAAAGAAGCTGTGCTTCGAGTGTGGCCTCCCTGGTCACATGGCCAGCTCTCATCGACAAAAGAAGTCGTGGACAGACAAGAAACATGCCAACGCAATGGGACGTGGCTCTTACAATGAACCAACACGACAACTCGCCGCGACGTATCGACACATGACTACAGACGAGCTCGAGGAGAATCACATCCACACCCAGTTGGGCGATTCTGACGACAGCGAGCGAGATTCCGCGAGCGTCGTGGATCAGCTCGAGCAAACCGTCGTCAGCACGCCCCCTGAGGACTATGTGTATCGAGACAACGACAGCTCTGGGCCAGACGATGACACAGAGTTAATGCCAAGTGACAGCGAGGAAGAAGCCCAGGAGCCAGAGTGGACTCCAGAACCAGGGCCACCTCAACCTGAACTCTCAGGACCAGGAGTGGGTGAAACTTGGGAAGTTACCCAAAGAGAAGAGAGCCTGTATCAGGTTAGCTGTAACACTCGCCACTGGACCAATGTAGCCACCGGGGTTACTTATCAAGAACCAGGCCTTGTCGGCTTGGGGGGTCCACCGTGGGGGGCAAGGTACGAAGTAGTCTACCGGGACTATAAGCGTATCGGATGGAGAATGGCCGGCAGCTGGGAAGGACCGACGACCTTTATGCAGCACTTGCCACTCCAGAATACCGTCATTCTTAACACCAGCGCGCCACCAGGGGTGGGCGAGGAATGGGAAATCATGGCTGAGAACCGACATAATAGGACATGGGTCCACGTCAATGATGACGGCCGGTACTATTACGAGATGTACAACCCAGTAACATACACCGAACTCGGAATAGGGCTCGTATACAAGGTCAGCCTAAGCTATGGCAATCGAAGGGTATGGGAAAGTGTCCTCGACCATAGCGTACATTGGGAATATTTCTGTGTGCGGCAACTTGCCGCCATTGGGGATAAACATCTCACGTTGGAGGTTAAAATCAAGGGAGTCAAGCTTCAGGCGATGGTAGACTCTGGGGCACAAGGGAACTTCATGTCTCCTACTGTTGTGCTCGAGCACTACCTGTCAACCGAAGTAAAGGATAAGGGATACCACCTGGTACTGGCGGATGGCAAGGTCGCCTCCGATGGACTGATCGAGGTCCAGACCGCTCCAGTCCATATGGGCATCGCCGGACACTCCGAAATAATCCAATTCGACGTCGTCAGGATTGGAAGGCACGACATCATCCTGGGGTTGCCATGGATGGAAAAGCATAATCCTGTTGTCGATTGGCAGACAGGAAAACTTGAGTTTAGTCGTTGCCAAGACTGCTGTTATCCACCGGGAACAGAAGCAGTGAGCATTCGAGAGGTTAGCGCCACCTCCAAGGAAGAGCTCGGACACCAAGACAAGGGTCCACTGATGAAGGATATACCATCAGCATACAAGAAGTTTGCGGCACTGTTCAAAGAAGAACGAGGCATCGAGGCCTTGCCGAAACACCAGGACTACGATCATCGGATCGAGTTAGAACCAGGTACCAAACCGATATTCCAACCACTTAGGGAATATTCGGCGACAGACTTGATGACGATCAAGCAATACATCGATGAAAACCTAGCGAAGGGATTCATCCGAGAGTCCAAATCCCCATGGGGAAGTAACGTCTTATTCGCAGAGAAGAAAGACGGTGGACGACGAATGTGCATCGACTACCGTCGATTGAACGATGCCACAAAGAAGGATCGTTATGCACTACCATTGGCCAAGGAGCTGCGGGACAGACTCGTTGGAGCCAAGATCTTCACTCAGCTTGACCTAAGAGGAGCATACAACCTCGTTAGGATGGCTGAGGGTGAAGAAGAGAAAACAGCATTTCGCACCCGTTTCGGTCACTACGAGTACACGGTCATGCCCTTCGGCTTGACTAACGCACCAGCCACATTTCAGCGTCTGATCAACAATGTTTTGCGGCCTTACTTAGACGTAACGTGCATATGCTATTTGGACGACATACTGGTCTACTCCAAATCAGAGGAGCAACATGTGAAGGACGTCACAGCCATTCTCCAGAGGCTGGAGGACGCCTGCCTGTTACTCAAACCAGAGAAGTGCAACTTCCACGTGGACGAGGTTGTCTTTCTAGGCTATGTGGTCACCACCGCAGGATTGGCTATGGATCCCAAAAAGATCAAAGCAATCATCGAGTGGACGGGGCCCACGAATGTCAAGGAAGTACAATCATTCCTCGGGTTTGCCAACTTCTACAGGCGATTCATCAAGGACTACTCGAAAATCGCCGGGCCACTCACGGAGTTGACCCACAAGGACAAGGAATTCCACTGGTCCGACAGCGCACGAAAAGCGTTTGAGGCACTCAAAGCGGCTTTCATCGCGGAACCAGTACTCACTTCCTTCACCCCCGACAAAGAAATACGCATAGAGACAGATTCTTCGGACTACGCTATTGGAGCCGTGCTCAGCCAGCCGGGCGAGGACGGAAGATAGCAACCAGTCGCTTACCATTCGCGGAAACTATCACCAGCAGAACTCAACTACGACATATACGACAAAGAGTTGCTGGCAATTGTGGACGCAGTACGCGAATGGAAGGTCTACCTCGAGGGCGCCGCCCACGAAGTACAGATCCTAACGGACCACAAGAATCTCATTTACTTTACAACGACCAAAGAATTGAACCGACGCCAGGTTCGATGGTATGAAACACTCTCTACCGTTAAACTTCGAATTTCTTATGTCAAGGGAACGGAAAACGCCAGAGCCGACGCTCTGAGCAGGAAACCAGAATATCTCGCAAACAAAACTCACGAATCCCACACCGTACTGCGGAAGGATGGTGATTCGCTAATAGTCAATCACCGACAGCTGGCCTCAACGGGCCAGGTCGCCGAGAAAATCTGGAGGGGCTATGCCAACGACCCGGTCATAGCCGAACAGAAGAAGCAGCTGGGCGAAGGATTCTCCTTCACCTCAGACGGCACGCTTCTGTACCAAGGACGAATCTATATACCCACTGGGGACAGGATTAAATTCGTCACGCACTGGCATGGGCTGCCCGCTCATGGACACCAGGGGGTAGCTAAGACACTGTCTAGGCTATCCAGGGAATACTACTTCCCAGGTATGAGGAAGGTAGTCAAAGACGTGGTAGCGTCGTGCGACACATGCATCCGGAACAAGGCATCACACCATGCTCCGTATGGGCTCATGAAGTCACCAACAACACCACCTCGCCCATGGAAATCAATCGCTTTGGATTTCGTGGTCGAGCTACCACCCTCGAAAGACCCAGTCACAGGAATCGTATACAACTCGATCTGTGTAATAACGGATAGGTTCACAAAGTACGCGTACATGGTACCAGTACTTGGAACACAGGACGCGCCCATGATGGCGCAGGTATTCCTCAGAACAATCTTCGCAAGCCACGGAATACCAGATGAGATCATCTCAGACAGAGACAAGCTCTTCACCTCGAAGTTCTGGAAAACTCTCATCGCGCTCTTAGGAATGAAGCAGAAAATGTCAACCGCATTCCATCCTCAGACCGATGCACAGACAGAACGAATCAACCAGATAATGGAGACTTATCTTCGGTGTTATGTGAACTACAAGCAGGACGACTGGGTGCAACTACTCCCACTTGCCCAGTTTGCATATAACAGCGCGGATCAAGAGACCATTGGAGTATCGCCGTTCTACGCGAATTATGGGCACAATCCCACGGCATACAACCCACCAATAGCCGGTCAGGGTACCGCGCAAGAAGCCATACTACAGGCAGGTGAGCTTAAACAGCTCCATGAAGAATTGTCAGCCGATATTCTCTTCATCGCGCAGAGATCTGCGATCTACTACAACAGAAAGCGTAGCATGGGACCAACGCTCAAGGAGGGGGATAAAGTCTACTTACTCAGAAAGAATATCGCAACCAAAAGACCAAGTCACAAATTGGATCACAAAAAGCTAGGACCGTTCAGGATTGCCAAAGTCAAGGGACCAGTCAATTATCAACTAGCTCTGCCAAAGACAATGAACATCCACCCAGTATTCCACATATCTCTCCTCGAACCAGCACCGCCAGGAGCACCGCCTGCTCCTGTCACCGAAATACAACCGGTCAATCCGAACGCCGAATACGAAGTAGAGGCTATCCTCGACTGTCAGAACTACCACGGCAAAACACGATATTTGATCAAGTGGAAGGGGTACCCACAGTCAGAAAACACCTGGGAACCCAAGTCTAACCTCCACTGCCCTGGGTTGCTGCGAAGTTTCCATCAACGAAACCCAGGTCTTCCCAGAAGGAGTTCCCAAAGTCAGGCAGCGGTTCATCAACCAGGTGGAACTCGGAGGAGTCGCCGGCGGGCGGCGGTGTAGGTGGCCGAGCGGCAGAAGCTTGCTTCTCCCTCTCCGCTGCTTCCCGCGCCTCCGCCTTCTCCACTCTTTCTTTTGCCTCAGCCTCGTCCAACTCATCCAGAGTTCTCAGACCACGACGAAGCATTTCCCTCCCTCGCTCGCGAAGCTCGGCTTGGCGCTGCTCGAGCTCGCGGACGCGAGCCAGGCCGGCCATGGCCGCCTCGAAGGCCATATCTCTCTCAAACTTCAGGCGATCTTCCTCCATACGAAGACTTTGGAGGTCGTCGATAGAAACCTGAAGAGCATCGCATTTCACGCCGCGACGGACACACTCCCCACACCTCTGGGACTTCTCATTCAGGACCACGCAATTGCGATGGTAGCGAATACAATTGGAACACGGCATGCTGGGCGAGCCGTAGGAGTTGATCGTTTCAGCAAGTGCTATCCTTTGTTTGTATTTGGTGGTTTTGGAGGACATGATGAAAGAAGAAGACGGTCATGGGTCGTCGTCGGTATTTCCTTTGGCATACTTAAGCGTGGGGACCACGCTAGGCAAGAAGGGGGATAGTGTTACGAACGCACTCAGAAGGAGTATCACGTGTGTCTTGGCCCTGAGGCTCGGCAGCATTGCTGCACAGAGAAGCCAAGAACTAGGAACGAAATCACGGGACCATGTGTCACGTGATGGCATGGAGCTTTTGGAACCATAGGGTCCAAGGTTCCTGGAGCCTGGGATCATAGGACCCATAGGGATCCAAGGCTAACGAAGGTTCTATATAAGACTGGCACGTCTGCCATTAGATAGGAGCTTCGTGCTCAACTTCAAATAGTATTCTGATACTTAGTAACTGTCTTCCCGTCTACGTGATACACCTACCTCTCGATCATCAGAGATCAACTGCAGCCTTCTGTATTTACAGCGAGTAAATACCGGACCGTTACAGGGTCGCCCGGCGCACCTTATAAACTACCGCGAATATAGTAGCTATAAGGCACAGCACGGACAGCCCCTACTATAGCAGGGCGGCGGGCAGGAGTTAATACTAGTGCTAGTAGTAGTAGTAGTAATAGTGATAGTAGTAGTAGTAGAGTAGCGGCGGCGGGGGAGCTGCAGCAGCTACAGGCCTATTTTATAAGTATTAGCGTAGTTCTGACGATTCCTTATAACACTAACTACATCGGAATCTTTAAATTAACAACTTACGGTCTTCTTCTTTACTACACGAGCAGCGGCAAGGTTAGAGGCGCGCGAGGCGCAGGCGGCGCGGGAGCTTTTAGCTATATTTACTAATATTACGTCGAAGTTATTATTTAAGGAAAGAGCGTTCCGGGGGACCTACCTAGTTTATATATTTAGAGCTACTAGGCGCTTGAGACCTGACGCTATTAGTTAGTATCAACTTCTATTGTGGTTCAGGTAGTATTATCTGCACTATTTATATCGCTTCGCTTACTATTATAAAGCTAAGCGAGGGGGTGTATTATGCACCTGACGCACCTGAGGCACTCCCTAAGGCGCTCCAGCTAACCAGAGGCTGCTTATATAACTAGAACTCCTAGAGCTTCCTCTTATAGGGGAGCTCTAGAATACCTTAATAAATCAAGACTTTCATACTACATGAAGCTCCTCCCTACAGTACACGATATATCTCTATCTTAATAAAGGTTAGTAACTCGACTTTCAACGACCTAGTTCGCGGCCTAAATAATTTCATTAAATTAGATTGTTCCCTAAGAGCTACTATAACTAGCTTATTAGCTTATATAGCAGAATTCTCTACTAGAGGCGACTAGAGCCTGCCTTACTAAGAAGTTATTCTTTGTAACTTCTGCTCTCTTAACTAGGAGAAGTTTAGTTCTAGCCTTAGACCTTATTAAAAGGACTATTACTGTAAGATTATAATAGACCCTAAGTCTTTTACTTATAGTGTCTATCTTATCTCTAGTGTACTTGCCGTAGGAAAAACCACGATCGTTGAATATCTTATAGTAGCTTTCACTTAGGCCCCTAGAGAGAAGCTAGCTTAGATCCTCTTTATTATAAATAGTAATTCCTTTGTTAATAAAGCCGCAGACTGTTTCTATTCTTACTGTAGATCTGCCTTCGATCTGATTACTAAGCTAATTAAGATTATTTACGTTAGTACTTAGACTATAGAGTCTGACCTCTTCTTAACTAAGTATAATCCTAAGTCATGTCGTGATTTTATAAGTACAGAAGTTACCTCTGAGTTTGTAGTCTAAGAGCTTATTAATAATCTCGGATACGCTAATAATAATTAAAAGAAGCGTAGTAACTTAAGACTTAATCCTAAGCTCCGTTTCTTATTCTTATTCTAGGCTATAATCGACTTTATTAAGACTAATCTATAAGATACTTAGAATACTCTGATTAATCTCTTAAAGAAGCGTGCTAAGAATCCTCTTAATAATAGTATTAAGAACGCTGAGATTACTGAACTCTTAAATCTCTTTCGTGATAAAACTTTAGTAAGCGCTAATATTCTGTTTACTACTTACGGTATATCTCTCCGTCTATTTATAATATAAGCCTATAGTCCGGTCTTTCTTATTAAAGATAAGGATTACTAATCTCTACGTTAGTTTTTCTCTGCTTTAATAAGTACTTACACTAAGTCCCTTTCACTAAGTATCTTATCTGGAGACTAAGAGCAGAAGTTGCCTTACTTTTAGTCTCTTATCGTGAAAGATATCTTTACTCCTTAGGTAAACTTTCCGAGATACTCTTTCTTTACTTAACTTCGCGATCTTAGTATTAGCAGAATATTCCTTAATATCTAGTTCTGTATATTTAACGTAGACTTAGTAAAGATACTCTTTAACTACTACTATAACTCTACTATAGTAGATAGTAATAAGGGAAAGATTATACCTAAGACTAAGCTTATACGTGCTTTCTTTTAGCACGAGTTTAATATTAATTCTAATATGATTATAGCTCTATATGAAAAGAGTAAGCTTTTAAAGCTAGATAGATCTCTATCTATAGTTAATATTAGCTAATAATAATAGCTCTTAGGTTTCCTTAACTATTTCTACGCCTTCTTTACTAACTATTAAGATCGATATCTAGATAAGAAGAACTTTATAGTTCAGATTCTATCTCCTTACCTTAGTATTATAAACTAGCTTAAGAATAGAGTCCTTCTTCCGGATCTAACTCGTAAGATCTCTATCTTAACTTATAATATTTATTAAGGAACTAGTACTTCCTTCTCTATTATAGTCCAGCTTTCGGATATAATTACTAACTTTACTAGTACCCCTTGGGACGATCTTATTATGTCTATATATTAGAAATACAGCTATCTCCGTCTTATTATAGAAGAATCCGTCAGTTCTCAAGCTAACAGAGTAAAGGACATAGCTTCTATATTAAGAGTTAATCGCACTAAGATAAATACCTAGTATTTCCTTTTCTCCTAAGGACATAAGTAGATTACTTCTGTTCTTGCAGAAGAGGGTAGAGTCTGCTCTAAGTGCTATCGTTCAAGTTATATAAAGAACAACTATACCTGAATAGGATCTATCTGCTCTAATTATTACGCTCTTAGATACCTTAACGCCGAATGCCCTTAGCTAAAGACCTTCTATAAGAAGGGTTAAGCTATCCTCGTGTGCTAAAAGTGCGGACTAGAGGGTTATATCGTAAAGAGATATAAGGTTTATAAGTATTACAAGGATACTAGTCATATAACTAACACCTGCCCCCTCCCTTAGTGCGGTTACTGCACAAGTACTAAATATAAGTATAAGGACTGCCCTAAGTCGAAGTGCTCTCTTTATCGCAATTCCGGTGTCTATTAGACTAAGTAATATCCTAAGTACTTAGTATACTACAAATACAGTACTAAGTATAATCCTAAGACCTATTCCGCTACGCCGACTATTACTAATATATTTAGTACTAATATTATCTCTGATACTGATTTAGCCGCTGAACGCGAGCTGTATATAAAGCGTTACCCTAAGCTCTATAAGGCACTTAAGATCGAGACTGAAAAAGATATAATAGCTCGTATAATCTCTGATATTTATAGTATAAGTGTGTTAGTTTTCTGCAAGTATACTAATTTCTCTTTCGATAGCGCTTCTCCTAAGGATTAGTTCTTTCCTAGACTCTAGGAAATTACTAAGTAATACTCTTCCTTTAACGCCTAGTTTTTAGTTACTTCGCTCCGCTAGAACTAGCTCGCTACTTACGCTACTTTACTTTCTAAGGATAAAGATAATCTTATTGTTTTCTTTAATACCTACTTAGTTCTAGAAGCCTCCCTTCTCCTTCCTTTTAATAATATAGCCTATACTATTATCTACTTAGAACTTAATTATATCTACTACCTCTGCCCCGTAGTTATAGTCCTCCTAGAAAGCCTAGTTACTACTAGAATCTTTAATATCTCAAGTAGTATCTTAGCCCTTAGTTTTAATATTATCACTAAGGATAATAAGTAAATCTTTAGCCTTGAGTTCACGCTACCCTCCCCTGTTAAGTTAGACCGCTAATTTATTTACCTTTCCAAGAATATTATTATATAGAGCTAGACACTTAAGAAGTTCTAGGATTTAGTTGCTTTCTAGCGAGAGGCTATAAACCCTGAAGCCTAGGCACCTGAAGCAGACTAGAATAAAGGATAGAATAGAGAATAGAACAGAGGATAGGGAGGATAAGAACAGGTTAATACGAACGCTAGATAGTAAGGCGGAAATAGTACTAGATAATAAGCTAAGGTTAGTGCTAAATAGTAAGGTAGTTAAGATTAAGGAGCATTAGGACAGTTAACTTAGTAAATAGAGTATTATTATATTATTTCTTTCTTTCCTTTCTTTTTAAAAAAAGTACTTTCGTTCTCAGAGAGAACGCTTATAGGGAGGAGGGATGTTGTGGGTCACGTGCACTAGCTTAGTTACCTATATTAGGAGAGCCCTACGCTCTTTTTCTCCTTTCTCTCCTTAGACGTACTAATACCATATAATTCAGCCCCTGAGACCCCTCTGGCAGCTGAGTGTGAGGTTTACATTTTGCCTAATTGGTCGCTATGTCCTTGTTAATCCCCTCCTATTTCTCACCATGTCTCCCAGCTTCACTGTCTACCGCAAACCCGTGTCCTGGAGAGAGAAGAAGCTACAGATGAATCAACTTTCCCGCTCGTTGGTGCTGACACCAACAGGCAATTGCGTCTACCCCCGTCTCCCCTTCAGTCCAAGAAATCCGAGGCAGAGAGCGGAATGCGGATTCCCAGCCTGCGACAATCTTCAGAACGGGTAAGTACGTCGTCGGAGCAGCCGACGCTGCATGTTCAGGACCGGGTAAGAGTCATACAGATATTTCTAGTGCGTCAAGGTGCTATTTCGGCTCTCAACGGAAACATGTTGGCTGAGCTTTGGAGTTCACCAACGAGCAAGAAGGTGGAAGATCCGAGGTATAGGAATGTGTTGGATAGAAAGTGGAGGCAGGTCATGCTTGTTCCTCCTCTAATATTTCACTTGTCTAAATGGTGAGGAGAGGAAGTGAACAAAGTGGGGGGAATAAAGAGTTTGGATTCTCGCAAAGGCAAAAGAAACTTAGGAAGTGAATAATATGGAAGATGCTGATTTCAGGTGCTGCCAGGTCGGTAGTTGAGATTGGATAGGAAATATTATCTATTTTGGACAGAGCAAACTTTTAAATGCAGTAACTACGCCCGGATAAGATACGCCAGGGTAGGAGGAACTACCCAGTTCTTTATTTTGCTTGGGAAAAGGCTCAGCCATTCTTGGGCAGCTAAGCGAGCAGTGGCTGCTGATTTGACCCGTTACATCTAGCAGAAGCATTCGTCAGAGATGCATATCTTAGATGTATATGCCAGAGGTTTTCGGAGCTGGAAAAAACCCGTCCTGGTGGCAGCCAGTAACACGGAAAGCTAGCCACAGGTGAACAACATGATATTAGACTGCAGGACTGATGACTTCCTTTTGCTAGCATTTGAGTGCTGCTGCTCACCAAATGTGTATGAAAAAGTGCATCTGCATACTTTCCAAGATGTTTATTGTTTTATATGTCGATAAATAGATGTTTTGTCGCCCATTTGGAGAGATTGAGGAATCCTGTAGATTGATTGGTAAATGGGAATGAGATGTAACTCCACAGAATATAAGGTTGAACAAACGAGGCTAACTATATAAAGACATGTATGACGACTAAGTATATCCAGGTGAGATAAGCTTGGAAAAATAATATACATCCAAGTACATCCTCTCAAGCACACAGAAAATCCTTAGGTGATGTCACGTGCAAACTCAGTCGTGCGCATGACAACTCCCTTCGCAGTATTCTTTGTGCAGTGGCATTTGATCATAAGAAGAAAATAAATGAAACCATTGCATGGTTCTGATGGTATAAAATTCTAATCTGCATCCTTTATTCCTCATTCTTTCAAGACAGGGAGACAAAGGACTAGACAACGTGTCATATTGGCTCAAAAGAGCTCAAGTGCGAAACAAACGATGTATTGGTCTGTCAAAGACCTTTGCTCTGTGCGATCTCAGCAATTCGCGGAATGTGCAATTAGGAACTCCCCCCTGTAAGAACCGCAATCAGGATACAAACCACCGACACAAGAATGAGAATGAACGCGCCCATTACTAATGCTTGTACTGCATTCAACATCCACATCTGGCCTAATCCATCATACCCGTCGGATCTGTCATTATAGGCATAGGCACACCCGTGCTCTTCATCGACCTGATCAATTATACCTTCGTCTCGGAATAGAGGCTCTTCTTCGTGTTCGAAGGTGAACGACTCACCGTCTGTGTCCCGGTACCCATTATCGTTGACCATAGAGCGCCAGGCTTGGATATCGGCTTCGATGTCGCTGTCGCTGCTGGTGATTTCGTCGTCGGCGTAGTAGCAGTCCGTATAGCTAGAGTAGTTGGAAGTGGGGGAGTAGGGCGATGGGTCGAATGCGTGCCCAGACGGAGATGGAGACTGCCCGTGTTGGTTTTGGGTTTGAACGCTTGGGAATTTGCATGCTAGGCATTCGAAAGTGGCGTAACCGGATGGTGGCGAGCTTTCCGGGCTTGAATTTTCATTGTAGACTTCTCGAATTGTGGAAGTGGGGTCGCTGGGGGAACGATGTCCATGAGCACAGGCTCTGAGGCGGGAGTGGAGGTTGCACTTCTTTGTATCGTGTGTGAATGTGTGTGTTGACATTGTGTCTGGGTGGGTCTGGAAATCTGCTTGAACAACTTGGTATCTTACAAAGAACCGGGAGACTTCATAATAGTTCTGTGCGATTTCGGAAACTATTGGTCGATTTCTTGATTGAGCAAAGCTCTGAAGATAGAGCTATGAAGCTGGGAAAAACTTGGATGTTTAATAGATCTGGGATTGAGGGCTGTTGCGGATAATGACCATTGTTCTGGGGGAAAGGGGTGCGGCGTCAACAATGCGGGAAGTAAACAATGCTTGTTTGTCGGCAAGTGAAAGAAAGCATTAGCCAAAAGTCTGTTAGAATCATTGAAATGGAAAGGAGACTGGGAGCACATGAAAGAAATTGATGGAAGTTGTTTCCCTGACATAAAGAGTGACAAAGTGATTGAAAATCCGGGCAGAAGGATGTTGAAATTTGGTGTGGGGGGATCAACGATAATTGAAGTGGTGCGACAAGACTTCACAGCTCCAAAAGTCCAGGACTTGTTCCAGTGAAGTTCCGTTAAGGCGGATATTTTTTGTTCGCAGATTTTAGGTCTCTGAACACCAAGCGAAATCTTCACATACATGAATAAGCTTTCTTATCATGGTACGGAAATACCGAAACCTACCTTCGGAACACCATTGTTGTCCCTCATGGTCATGAAGTGCGTATGTCCATGATGGAAGATGTGCCCATACGGTAATGTTGTCTCAAATGAATTGTTTTCGATAGTATATTAAAAGCTGCCAGCCATGGCCATCTATGTGCAGTCATACTATTTGGTAGTCAAGTTGTGCAAGCGGGCGGGTTTCGCTTGTCATAAAGCGAAGAGTGAAATAGCCGATGATCACCGCAACAAGACTAAGAATTGCACTGAGAACACCAAATGCTATTGCAATAGCCGTTTCTGTTGATAATATCCACCATATTATCATTAGCTAATGCGGTGCGGATAAATGCTGGATGCAAGCCAAGCCACAAATTTCGAGCACAAGGCTGGTAGTCGAGAGCTGCTTTGCTTGAATGCGGAGGGACTCACTCATTGGGAGACTGTACTTCAAATAGGGCTATTGTGGTATGATGAATGATGTCTGGAGAATGGAGATAGAACATTGTAGAGGAAGGGAACCGAGAAGTTCTTTTATCTCATGCTGCGAGGCTGCAGAACTAGACCAGAACGGATGCCATTCCAGAGTCAAAGTCTATGGTAATTTACAATACCAACACCTTGCAGGCCAATGATAGCATGCTCAGCCCGACATTTCAAAGAGGCGCTGCAGGAGCCTGGGAACAGGTAGGTCCGAATGCTGACGCTAGAATTGAGTGTAGTAACTTCCCTGGCAAAAGAGATCTGCCCTTGCTCATTTGAAGGCTAAAATTCTGGCCTCCAAACACCCTGGATCTGAGACGCAAAGTGATACGTCCAGACATAATGCAGTCGTGACAGAAATGGTCGTTCGGAGGGCGCGGGATAGCGATTTCTGATCACCATTGATAGACTATCGCAGGATCCGGATTCAATAACAAGGATCTTGCGAGACATGCGACATGTACACCACACTGAGCGAAAGCTTGCGTTGCGGTGAAGCGCTATCCCAGGCTCTCTTGCCTTCTTCTCTTGAACGACTCCTCTGCCTCCACTGACTCGGGTCTGTGAGTTGCAGGACTACATATTGGCAATAACTGTAAAGATCCTTGCATGGGCACAAGATATGGGGAATGTTAAGAAGCTGCACGGCTCGATGCAGAGAGCGCTCTCAAACACAACCTTGGTTGAGCAAAATGACATTAGAACATGGTATCTCTACAATGATAGAGCTTCTCTCAACTCAAGGGAAGTAAGAGAGATACTGATTTGGGGTGATGGCATGGCCATAAAGCAATCGTGACACATTGATCAAAATGAAGGATTGAATGGCTAAAATGAGGTCAAGAACAAGAAGAAAGTTTGACCAAGAGATGTGAAGCAATGCCAAACAAACCCCCCTGACTGTAACACGCGATTTTGGTTATGCTCAGAGCCCGATTGCACCTCAACAAAGCGAATGCCTGCACTTGATGGCTTCAGCGAAATAAAATAGATTATGCTTTTGTATCCCGCTTCCTAATATACACGTACTGCTGGCAGGAACTCAAATCTGCTCGAGCAAGTACTGACCAACCGAGAAGCTTCATCCCGATGGAAGCTCCACCTCGGCGGAGTTGCGATGGCTAGCCTTCTGACTGATCCGATGCCAGAATCGCTAGCACCTATCCAGATCTGTGACTTTTCCCCCTATCTTGCCATCAAGCAGTAGTAGGACCTCTCTATGATTCTCAGCCCATACGATACCCCCTAGGCCTCCTCCCTCTTTGCACTCCTTTCCATCGAAGCCTTCGACTCCGTCCTCTCGTGCCACTCATCCAAGAACTTCTCCACCTTAGGACCCCAAACCTTCTCCCCTTGCCCTAACTCCTCCCACTCTAGCACATTCTTACCCAGCTCAAACTCTCCTTGTCTAGTCCTCTCTAGCTCAGCCATAAGCGCTGCTGATCCAACAGCGGCGCCCAAGTCGTGGCATAAAGAGCGTACGTAGAAGCCGGACGTGACAGTCATGCGGAGGCGGACTGCTGGTGGGCCTTTGACTTTACTGTCTTCTGAAGATTCTCCCACAGGAGAAGTCTCGATGCTAGGTTGTGGAGCCGAGTCTTCAGAAGGAGACGGTAAGCCGCCGGACATCATGGCTGTTTCGGCGGAGGAGGGAGGTGGTGCTTTGCGGGATTTGGTCGGTGGACGTTCCAGAATGAGATCGTCTTGATCTTCGCTGAGCTTGCGCTTCTTTTGCTCGAAGTTTTCGCGGGCCGTGGCTTCCTCGTCGGTTGCTACGTTGGATGTAGATGCGCTCTCTTTTGCAAGGGTGCTAGCTTCCTCTGTAGTGGCACTTGATGCCTTTTCACCTGTTGAAATGCTCTCCTTCTCCTCCTCCTTCACGCCATCAATAGTTATCTTATCCGGTACCTCGTCCGCTTCAGTGCTACCACTGGCGAACTCAATGCTCGTTGTTCCAGTCTCTTTGGATTCAGGCCCCCTAAGATCCTTTGCTTCTCCATCCACACTTTCATTCTTGATGCTAGTCTGTTCCAGACTCGACTTCCCCTTGAGAGTACCTGGTTGGACGTTCTCTTGCTTCCAAAGCTTGTTGGCAACGTTGATCTCAGCATGGCCAGCTTCATCTGTTGGTGCAACATGAGAATGTGTTCCACCTTCCATCCACTCAACCAGCTCCAAGTTCAAGACCTCGACTTCTCTCCTCTCAATCTCCCTGGGTATCTCCTTGCCCTCTCTTGCATATTCGTACAATGGCTTACCATTCATCTTCAATGCAGAGAAGAGTGGGGGCAATTGCATGAACTTCCCACGGAATTGCTCCAAAGCCTCCTCGACCAAATCCTTGGTGATGTGTTCATACGGCGCTCGCTTGAGGACCTTTCCCACTCGGTCATAGGTATCAGTGTTTGTGCCGAATAGTACAACGGTCTCGTAGACTTTTGTACACAGCAGGAAGTCCTGGAGAGACTTGGTCCCTTTCCCAACTCCTGCGATCAAGACTCCTGTCGCGAGGGGGTCGAGGGTTCCGCCATGGCCGATCTTGACTTGGATACGTTTGTCCTTCCGTCTCTTGCGCTGATTATGCGCCTCGCGGTCTCGAGCGGCTCTCTCGGCTTCCAACCATGGCGCAAATAATTCGGAGGGGTTGAAGTGATGTTGCAGATCGCGCAGAGCTTGCGCTGAAGAAATGCCGGTAGGTTTATGAACCGCTGCGACTCTGTTAGCAATTGTGTGTAATTGTCTGTTCCTGCCGACTTGACAATCGGATAGGGGGAATTATGTACCAAAAACGCCCTCCATGATCTTCTTTGGCGTCATCCTCCTCCAGATTGTGGTGGCGGACATTCGTCCAGCCTTTGCAGTGGGGGAGAGGAGAAGAGAGGGGGAAGGGGGGAAAGGGCAGGGCAGGGCAGGGCAAAAAAGAGTGCAGTGCAGTGCAGTGCAGTGCAGTGAAAGGCCTGCAGGAGTTAGTTTGTCTGCTTCTCGTGCAGCCAGTGAATTTTTTCGCTGGGCGCTGCACAGGCGACGCGGTGTGGTGTGGTGCGATACTGCTGCAGGGGTGTTTATGTGCCTGTGCAGGTGCCTGTGCCAGTGCCTGTGCCTTATCGTGTTCCGTTCAATTGCTCGGCAGCGCTGGAGGGAGGCCAGCGAGGCTGGCCATGCCATGGAGGCTGGCTGGTTCTCTCAGTCTGTTGTCCACTCCACTCCACTCCAGCTGTCGCTCTAACTCGAGCCTACAGTACAGTACAGTACAGTACAGTACAGTACAGTACAGTACAGTACCTACGCTCTCCCAAGCGGCGGGAAACGAGCCTTGAGCCTCACTGCCGACCGCCTCTATCCCTCCCTACGTATACCTTAGCACGCAGGCACGCGCAGTGAAGATCCATCCATATGGCTTCTATGCACCGCGCTACGAGTACTCGAAACGAGCACTCATTACTGGCCCGTTACTCGAGTACGAATACGCAGCGACAATGAGCTTGGGAATAGCCTATCCGCAATCAAAGATCAAGCGGCAGCTTGCATCTGCATCAACATCAACGTCAACGTCAACGTCAACGTCAACAAGATCGTCAAGACCTGCGGCGGCTACTCTCCGCTGTCTCCCCATCTTCTGACGCACCAACCTCGGCCTCTTTCGCCTTCAACGGCTTTTAGGTCTTCATAAGCCTTCCCGACGTTCCAAATGCGACTCCAGCGGATATTCAGGAACTCAAGGAGCTGATTCCAGACCTTGAGACATTTTCCAAGCGCGCTACTAGCTACCCTGTGCCAAGTTTGGAGCTTGAGAGTGAGAGTGATAGTAAGGGTGCTCCGGAGAGGACCTATCCCTTTCTGTTAACTTTCAACTACGTTTCTCTCCACCTCGGCATCCCTAACGGCCAAAACGCGTCCGAAGAAGACCTCCCAGAATTTAGCCAGGTCGTCGTTCAAACGATGTCGTTCTTCCAAAAAGAGGCCGCCAAGCAACAAAAGCGTGGTCGTGGTCGTCCCCGTGCTTCGTCAGTGGTTGCTCGTCCCCGGGCCTCATCGGTCGACAGCGTTGCCAGTGATGAGTCCACCGAGTCTCAGGCTCGTATGGCAATTCACGGCACTGGTCCGCGTGCCATCTACAGGGAGAACGCTGCCATCAAGCCTATCGCCCCGAACCTTGTTGACAAGTTTGAGACTTACCCGAGTGAGTCTATACCTCCTCTCTTCTCCACTGCTGCTCTTCCATCCCCTCTCCTCTGCTTGTCTTCTCGGGCACCGCCCTGGTCTGCTCCAGGAAATCTGATGTTTGGATCGGCCTTTGGTCTCAAAACTTGCAGTTGAGTTCACCTCCACCGTATGCTGATTCATCTCCCAGGTTACCTGCTTGAGGATGTCACCGTTGAAGTGCCACCTGGACTTTCCGCAACGGAAGCCGATTATGCCCGAAACGTCATTCATCAACTAGAGGACAATCGTGCGTCTGAACTCAAAGTAACTGGTCTCTTAGTCGTTGAAGAGGCCCAAAGATCTGAATGTACGTTCGTTACACCACCTTCAGTGTTTTGTAATCGTAGCTGATGCCAATCCTCAGTGATCAAATACACTCATGGAAAGCTTACCGATCTCAACAGACAGTACATTACCCTTGACAATGTTCTTGCTTTCTCCATTGGTCTTGCCGAAGACACTCGAGCTCCAGCTCTTTGGCTACTCTCTGAAACTGGATACTTTGAGATTCGTCCCAACCCAGGGTACCGCATAGTCTTTTCAAATATGTGTAAGGCCATCGGTTTGAAGTTCTTCACTGAGGATTGGTACGAGGACCCCAAATCTGCCCGAACCTGGAACAGTAATGATGACGAGATCCTTGAGATATTAAGAGAGGTAAGTATACTATTGTTGGTGTTGCAACTATATACTGATGGATTGTAGTTCACTGCCTTTCACATTGGTGCCACGGACACGCAACATCAGTGGATTCTCCGCTGCAGAGAATACAAGCAATTCTTTCTCAACCAATTCGATATTGCCGACAATGCCACGGTTTTGCAAGGGAGTTCTATCTATCAGTGGTTCAAACAAGGATGTCCTGATCTTCAACCAAGCCTCGCAATTCAGCCATTTGGACCAGAGCCCGACGCTCCATATTTCTATCCTGTTGCAGACAACTCCGACGAGGAAAGTGATTTTGTAAAGGATGAGATTGAAGAGTATAATAATAAAGAGGGAGGCCCTGAAGAACATAACCTTGTAGGCAATGACGGCAACATTTTAAATCCATTTGAAGAAGATTTCGCCACCCAAATCAGCACCACGCTTAGCATCGACTCGCCCTACCACGGCCCTTACATCTCCAGAAAGTACCCCCGAGGAGCTCCAGCTAATGCTTCAATTCCTGTTCATCTCGCCGCTTTGATCTGCCATATGGTTGACAACGGAAGATGCCAGGAGAATGAAGACTGTTCTGTCAAAGCAATTGGAACGGCCGTTTACAAGGACTTCAGTATTCACGAGTACCGAACTTGCCAGAAGCTTCTTGGCTACTTTGGTCATGAGATTGTAGCTTTGTTGCCTGATGCATATCGCAAATATTCATTCTACGAGGAGCTGGCAAACGATTCCACAAAGTCAACTGTTCATAACGCGGATCTTAAGCAGAAGACGAGTTCCACGAGCGTCGTCAACTTGTTTTTGGCTATCATCGAGGGTCGCAAGTCTTTCATTCGCCGTAGTGAGAAGAACAGTACGTGGAAGGCTCAAAATGTTTATGCCAGGACACATAGCATGGCCCCTCCTCCACGCCCAAAGATGAATAATCGCCGTAAAGCACCCACGGGTCTTGGATCAGCTGCATTCAGCGAGCAACAAGTAGCAAGTTCCGTCAACCCAGACATCGAGATGGAGAACGGCCAGTACACGTTCGGAGACTACATGAGAGCCTATCACGCGCGTTATAGTACTCCAAAGTGGACCCCTGAACTTGAGCACTGCGTCACTCCAAGTATGAGACAAAGATTCCTTGCAACACTTACTGTGAGTTATCTACATCCTCCAAACAGCAAAGTCTTTCTCATTGAAATATCACTAGGCTGAAGAACGCAGTAAATATTTGCAGGAGAGAATTTTAACTTCTTACAATGACAAGCTGGTTCGCGACGCTCAAAAGACACCCGAGCAGCTTGCACAGGAAGAGAAAGTAAAGCGCATCAAGAAGAAGCGTCTAAGCACCCGGATCATTTGAACACTTGTATCGATTGGCTAAGCATGGGAAGGGGCGCATATGGGATGGTTGGTTGATTGTACGATTGATCGAAGATATATTTTTGGCGTTTGGGCAGCGTCATCGCTCTTTCATACATTTTGGATACAGATCCAGCACAGGAAACGATACCCAGGCTTTGAGGATGATATGATGACACGACAACATGAATGAAATGGGATGGAGGATTCTTCTTCTGTTTCCATCTTGGCCTTATTTTTGCTTGATCTGATTGTGGCTATAACACCTCCATCGCTACCCCAAAGAGCTTCCCATTGACAGCAGCCTTTCTCCTACTAATAATCTACAGGGAAGTCTCGAGGCCTTTAAAATTTGAAGCATTGATTTGTCTTTTGGAGTATCATGCCCATAACTGAATGAAGAGTTGGAAGAGTCCGAATGTCAGGGGAGCTGAGCCTAGCAGGTATGGTTCCCGCCAGATGGCGTCTGAGGTAGAAGTGGGGCGAGGTGGCAGATGGGGGGTTGGGATTGAGATTGGAAAAGCAATTTAGTTGGTCCGTTGACATTAATGGTTTTGGTCCAAGGACTGGGGAAGAGGGTAGATGGGATGGGATGTACTAGGTGGGGTTAGGGTTAGGGAGGGACCAGGAGCATGGAGTAAGTAAGTTTGATAAGGGATTTTTGGAGAACGTTTTCCTCCGGGGTTGTGGAAAACAAGACATGCTTTGTGGTTCGCTGAGGACGTTCAAGGTGGTAAACTCTGAGGGAGAAGAAGGAAGTCGATTTTTTTTTATAGGCTAGCTGTGAGAGGAAGAGGAAAGGGAATGGACAAAAGGGAGGGGGTTTCTCCCTTGAGAACAGCGTAGGACAAGCGAAAAACATGTGTGGGACACGTATGTGAGTATCTTGTATCCATTTATGTTAATTGATGACGCTGTATCTGCGATTCCTCACTCAGCTTCCTCAATTTTGCTCGCTGAAGCAGTTGGGTTATACCTAGGATGGAAGTCAAGTACATGAGACTTCTATGGCAGTTGGGAGGTATCGAGATATGTATTATATACGTATTATTCCTCTTCGGTATCTATAGTGCAAAGATCTTAAGTAGCACTCTCAATCTTGCTAGAGGAAGTCCCGACGGGACAAACAGAGCAGACCAAAACACAACACAGCACAACAGAGCAACACATGACCAAAAACTCCTCAGATAATTTGTTTTATCTCGTATCGGGACTCGGTACAACTGCGCTCGCTTTAGTACAACTGAATATCAGAGACAAGCCCCGCGCCACGGACCAAAACAAATCCAAACAGTGACCGTTTCAAAACCCCGATCCAGAATCCTGTCATCAAATGCATAGTGTTGCAATTGGCTGGAAGCGAGGCATACTACGGCGTCATCGCAATATTGAGGATCTGGATTCGGAGGACTGAGATTTTGGTTATCTAGGCTGTACAGCATGGGAAGCTTGATGGAAGATGAAAAGGAGGATGAAGGGGGTTTGGATAAGCGAATAACACGTGATGTGGCGATTTTTCGCCAGGACGTGATGTTGAAGGAACAGAAAAGCGGGAGGAATGAACGCCACTACAGTTTGAAAGCGGGATGGCCTGATGACGAGGGGAGAAATGATCAGGCTGCATGGCAGCGCAGCGCATTGCATAGCATGGCACTACCGTCGTTGCAGATAAGGGAGTTAAACAAACGCAGGCAGGCGGGGTTCCTCATGTACACAGACATAGGTAATGCTCGAGCCAAACGCAAACCCACCCAGTGAGCCTCTTCTCCCAAGAACGCCTTGGAGAGTGCCAGATAAAAGAAACCAACAAACAAATGACTGGACTGATAAGCAAGCAACGGAGGCAAGTGCCGAACCAACGAACAATGAACCAACAAACAAGGCTGAATTGCAATCAACAATCTAACATGCACTGGCAGAAAAAAGGCGCTAAACTCAACTCAGGAGATACCTGACCAACAAGTGCAAGGATAACAGAATGGCGACAGCAGACAGCGAACAGCGCGTCAGCGTCAAGCAAACCCTGCACTCGCGTCTGGATAATATAATTCGACAAGCTGCCAGCAATCAGATCTTGAGTACGAAGATCGAAGGGGAAACGAGAAGAGGAAATGGGAGGTAAGCGCTGTGATGGGCGCCTGTATGCTGTTTGGGATGCGAGATGGTTGGCTGGGATTGGGAAGGTGTGGGTGGCAGTCTGGCAGAGCGTGGTATTGGGCGGGCCTTGAGGGCGTGGCGTTTGGGAGGGCGGTTGGCGGCTAGGTGAGGGGAAGGATGAGTGCGTGATGAGCTGCGGAGGATGAGAGGCTGTTGGAAGGAATGGATAGTGGCATGTACTCTAGATGTACGGCATGGAAAGGACAGAAGCTGGATGCAAAGCGAAAAGGGAAGGAAAATAGTGGACGAGCACGTAATTCTTTGGTAAATAATCAGAACCGCAATGCCCGCAATAGACGAATCAAAATACATCAGACGAAAGATGCAGCCAATCGTGTGACTGTCTCCACCTACAATTCAGACGAAAGTGACAAGAAAATAGAGTTAAACAGCGCTTTGAGCCAGTTTGACATCGCATCATGTGAAAAGATCCGAAGGTTTGATCGCTTCTACAGTAGTGGAACTCTCCTACCAAAACCAAAACCAAGAACCAAGAACCAAGAACCAAGAACCAAGAACCAAGAACCAAGAACCAAGAACCAAGATCTTTCTCTGTTGCTTAATCTGAATTGTGGATTGTACCTACAGAGCTACAGTAGGTGTGGACTGGACGTGCCATCTGTAATGCACGCACGCTCACGCCACGTCCAAGCTCGGCTTCACCGCCGCCACATCCACATGAACTGGCAGAGGCATACCTCCGTAGGTACTGCACAACTTTTTTCGCATGATGAACTCAGATAATCCGATCGGATCGGGTAGCAGCCAGGCAGGTGTCTGTGCTGCAGTGCTGTGGGGATATTGATTGCATTTTTATCCCAGGCGCTTTTCAGAATGGAATCGAGCGAATTCCGGAAAAGTGTTTCGTTGTTCATTGGAATCGATATGATACAAGGTTTGAGTAGCATTTGTTTGACGTGAAAAAGAGAACTATTGACGGGGAAGCGGAGACTACCTTACCTTAATATCCCAGAGCCTCGGAGGCTACCTCCCTGGTAGACATAGACTGGACTGGCCTGGACTGGACCCCTTTTCTCGGTTCTTGAGGTCGGGTCGGTTTAGCACTGAATTACGAACATTTTATCAGGCTGAGAATCTCAGCTGAGGAGGTCGTGATAATGTATGATATTCAAGGACTGCAGGCTAGTATGCCAAAACACGACGATATGCTTAGGATGAGCACATTGGCCTGGAATGGAGTGTGCTTTTGGATTAGTCGAAAGGAATTCGCCGAAGGTGCAGCAGTGATGTCGTGAGATGGTGAGATGGTGAGATGGTGAGAAAAGGTAGTGGGTGAGATCATGAGGTGGAGCTTTGGCCATTTATTGGCAGTGCTGATTCAGTTCAGGTATGATGCGCTTGCATCGTATTTGCTGATGGATCATCATCATAGCGAGCTTCCATCAGCACTCTCTCTGCCCTTCTACGTAGAATCCTCAGCTTCTAGAAAGATCAAAAGAATCACGAGGCGAAGGCGAGTTGAGGCGGGACGGGCGGGACTGGACTGAACTGAACTGACTCGATCGCACAGCGGGCGGCGACACGGGCACTGGACCCCTCAGATCGTCGTCGGTCCGGGAGTCTTTGTTGAAGTCTGACCGTTCCGTTCTGCCAGGCTGATGGTCAGCACTTTGTTGTGCTGTGGGAAAGCGAGACAGCTGCGTAGATCTGTCTTAGGTTTTGGAAGAGATGAGGAAGAAAGAGGATCCTTATGGTACAGCATGAATAGCTGGCATGGGCCTCATCTGATGTCTTGGCCTCCGATTCGCAACTCTAACCTTATTGATGGGCGAAATGGATACCAATATAGAGATTTGAAATTGGCTTTTGAGTCGTGAAGTGTAAACATAGCAAAAAAACATTAATAGATCAGATTAGCAAAGAAACTCAAAACAAGAACAGAGCAGAGAGAGCCAGAGAGAGAGCCAGAGAGAGAGCCATGGAAAGCCAAAGGCTGATAGTGAAATTATCTTTGCAAGATTTCTCATCTTCGACTGCTGAGTAACTCGGCTTGGGGAAGGAGCAGCAGAAGCAGCAGCATGAGAGACCCCCAGGTTGCATTTCCAATTGCATTTCATGGCCGCGATCCCACCAATGTCATTACGATGTTTCTCGTCGCCACAGCCCAGACGGCATTCCACCCAGCGAACCACGTCTCGCCGCCGCCATCCCCATTGTGTGCCAAAGCGAAAGCCAAACCTCAAGACTTGCCCAATCATTTGGACGATTTTTGCCATAAAAAGAGATAGAACTGCTGCTGCCAACTTCGCCTAGAGTTCAAATCAAATCAAATCAAACCAAACCAGGTCGAATTTCAACGCCAGAATCAGCGCAGCATCCTGCATTGCAGTGCAGTGCAGTGCAGTGCAGAAGCAGTGCAGACCCCGTACAGTACAGTAGTTTGCAGCATTCCCAAAGAAGCCCGTCAATCTCGGCAGCTGGATCATTGTTTGGGGTCGAGTACCCTCTGTTATTTACTTTCTCTCCATAATTCTCCTGCAAGCCTTCACGTCTAGAGTCTACAGTAGGTACACACATTCCGTGCTTCTGCTTCCCTCCCCAGGGCAGTCCCACCACGACCCGACAGAGCAGGCAGGCAGGGTGCATTGCCAGTGCCTCCCCTCCCTCATCACGGCTAGCAGAGGTAGCATTGCATTGCATAAGACCTGTCTCCTTGCCGACATCACCATATCACAGTGCTGTTTGACCATAGAATCAATGAAAACATATCTATAATACTGCTTGGTATTAAGCAATTTGCGAAACCCACCTGCATCGCACATACGGCCATTATTATTCTCATTATATTTCTTGCCTTGCCTTGCCTTGCCTGGCAATTTTGATCGGAGCCGGAGCGCATCCTCCCTCGCCCAGCCCAGGCCAGCCCAGCAAATCTTGAGGGGGCCAGGGAGGCAGGGGGCCAAGGCCAAGGATCCTCGAGCACGGCCTTTTCCACGTCCAGTTCATGTTCATGTTCATGTTCATGTTCTGGTGGTGTCAGGCAGTCAGGCTCCTCAGGCTCAGGCTCAGGCTCAGGCTCAGGCCCACCTGATTTGACTCCCTCCACCGCCTTTGCCTCCCTTGCCTTCGCCCTCGCCCTCGCCCTCACTCGAGACTGGTCCACCCACCGCCTGTGCTTCTGCTGGCGACCTACTCCACTCCGTCTCCGTCTCCGTCTCCGTCTCCGTCCTGCTGCTCTGCTGCTCTGCTGCACTGCACCCTTCGAACTTTCTTTCCTTTCCTTTTCTTTCCAACATCCCAGGACCGACCTTCCGACCGACGAGAACGACTGCGACATTGTGACAGCACAACAGTCGAGCGTTATTGGCCTTATTCCGAGTTCTGCTGGTTCTGCCAATCGTCTTCAGCCCCCTCCGGAAGCTGGTTCGACTGAGGAATTGTCAGCCAGGAGGCAAAGCCGCCATCTGCGACACGCTTGACTCCAACATCCTCGACACCTGCCAACCTCTTCTCTTCACTCCACTCTACTCACACCCCTTTCAACTCACCCTCTCCAGCCGCATCGATTCCATCGAGTCCTGGAGCCACATGCATCGTGCTTGATACCTCACGGCCGCTGTTTGTACGATCATTGCACTGCTCTGCGACTGTTGATAGCCGTCCCGTCATCCCAGGCCTGCTGCATCCGATAACGATTCAATTCCGTCCCCTTTCTGCGAAACCATCACAACCAACCTCCTTGTCTGCATTGAAAACACGTCGCTATCCAGATCTACACATCTTTGAGGCCGTTCGAGCAAGCTGCATACGCTTGCCGTTGTGTAATTATATATTCTGCGTTGGTGGACATCTCGGTTTGTTACGAGACAAGATCAGCCCAAGCCCAACCTTCGCTCACCGCGATTGTGCGGACCCAACGCCATCATGAGAGAAGTTAATTTCAGTATCCCAAATGTCAACAAGGCATCCGTGGGTATCACGACTGCCCTCTACGATCGACGAGCACTCGATTGCACATCCACACTACCATTAATCAATTCACTAAACCACCTCGCATACCTCACAACCTCGTCGGCTCGGATAAGGGACATCCTGACGGTCGATGGCGGCGTCGAGAGACTGGTATGCCTCCTCAAGGCCGGGCGGAGCAAGGATATGATGGACATGTGGAAGTGGAATTTGGCTTTCCAGTGTGTTGTTAATATTGGAGTCCGAGGGTCGGAAAATGTCCGGACGAGAGTGGTGGAGGCGGATATGGTCCCAGTCATCGCTACAATACTCGACAATTATATCAAGGTAGTTGATAGATGTCGAGAAAAGGCAGAGGAGGCCAAGAAAGCACAAGAACAGCGTCTACACCATACCTCACGATCCAGCGAACACAGGGGCTCACACAAAGGAGCATCATTTGGGAACCGACCATCCCGTTTCGATACCGAGTTCCGAGCATCACGAAGACAGCCTCCTCCACCCTCCATCGACATTCCTTCGACATTCACAAATGCTCCATTGACAGCTGGGTCAGATGCCATGGATATAACTCCCACCGGTCCCCAATTCGCCCTAACATCTCCACCCGAGAGAACCACATTCTCTGTTCACAGACACCACCACCACCATCATCACCATCACAGAGGGCAAGATGCCAGACAACACTTCTTACCTCCTTCTCGACACAATATCCAACCGCTAGCAACTGCTGTCCCTTCAATGGATGCTGCCGATGGTTTCAACCTCAGACCAGTCCGAGATGTTGATCGTCTACCGTCCATGGTCCCAGGTTTCCACGGTGGGCTGACATCCCAGCCCGAATCTCCAACAACCCCACTGCCTCCTAATCAATTGCGATCGCCAACCGTTCGTCCTACATCGATGGCTCCACCATCCGTGCGATCACGGAGGCGGCCATCAATCCGTCACCAAGCTTCAATGGCTGGTGAGCCCGAAGATCCAAATGCTGATAGCATGGCTTCCGACGAGTCTGGAGAGCCAGAAATGTCGGGAGTCGGTGCTGGGGATATCCAATCGACAGTCAATATTCAGGACATCACCATGGACGAGAACGATAGCATGCTCACAGCGGTTGAGACCCCTCTGGGACTGACCACGCCTACCGTATCCGAGGCACAAGATGCAGGTACATTCAACATCACACATCGATCCGTAATCGATGGCAGCATGATCAACGACGCTACAACTCCCACTGGACCAACTATGGGCCTCTCCCCAGCCCAACCCGCCGCCGCAAACACACCACCCGCAATGCCCAATACCACCATCCCTCGATACCTACTTGACCGACCAACTCCCACTAGCGGTCAAGTCCTCGCGGCAATGCCTAGAGACGAGGATGTTCTCATGTCTCTACAACTCCTCGCATATGTTTCAAAATACTGCAACCTCCGAAGCTATTTCCAGCGATCTCATCTTGTTCCAAAACTCAAGATCGGCTCCGAACTCCACCTACTGGATGTCGAAGACGGCTCTGCATTCTCACCATGCTCCTCATCATCCCCAACCTCATCTATCTCCGCCTGCGATTCTGAAGAAGAAGAATACCTTCTCCCAGACGACTTCAACATCTTCCCTCTCGTCGAAAAGTTTACCGTTAGACATCACAGTCAAGACATGCAATACTGGGCAGGAGTTGTGATGCGAAACTTGTGTCGCAAGGATGATAGCCGTGGTGGAATCCGACAATGTGCATATTACCAATGCGGTAAATGGGAGGAATTCACAAGGCAATTCGCCAAATGTCGCCGGTGCAGGAGGACAAAATATTGCAGCAAGGAATGTCAAAAGAGTGCTTGGGTGTTCCACAGACATTGGTGTGTTGCGGCGTCACAATAGCCTCCGTTCCAGTGCCTCGACTTTGACAACAATGGAGAGTAATGAGAGGATCTGGCTTGAGGCCAGACCAAGGAGTACGAAGGAGCGAACGACTTTCCTAATTTAATGTCCACATCATACTACGAACGAACGTCATACCAGCGAGGCCGGCTTGCATCCATTGCACGAAACAAATGATAGCGAATCCCTTCATTCACGAAAACGAAATCAAATCTGCATATTGGAAGGCGTTCTTCATTCATTCGATCGATCGATCAATCAACCAGTCAAACCAACTTGCGATACCTGTGCCGTAACATATTCCCTTTGTTTATTGGGCTTTTCCGACTGGATTGCGGATGACTCGAGACAGGATGCGTCTCATGGGCCGACTGCCAAGCGAGGCTCCGTGTTACAGCATTTGTCAGACATCAATCATGGCTTGCGATGAGCGAGCGAAGCAACTTTTAGTTCCTTGCATATCGGGGTTGAGCTTGGGAGGCTGTTGTTTTTTCCGTTTGACCTTTATTTTCTTGTGGTGCTTTTTTGCCTATGGTCGTAAGTCGTTGGCTTGCTTTGGATGGATGGATAACTCACCTTTCGCTTTGGAAAACGCTCTTGACTTGCGAAAAAGATCAATTGGTTGTGGGGAGGGTTGAGCCATGGGTTGAGATATGGAATGAAGCATAGCTATGCTTACGTGGATATTTCGGAGGAGAGAAGCGCGGAGAGGAAAAGTCTTCCAGCAAAGACTTCGGAGGCGGTGTTTTAAGAGGAGATTAGATACCAAGATGACGACACTTCGCATCACTTTGCGGGAGAGTTGCAGGGGAAGAAGGAACATAGGGGCGACGCATGAAGTTGGGAGGATAGGAAGGAAAGAAAGAATGGTTGTATGTATGGTTATTGAACGAATAGGAATCAGCTCGTATAGGAGAACTCACTTGGTCCTCACTGTTCTGTGACTCTCATCAGTCTTTACAATGACACGACATGCAGGATGTGATGTGGCTTTGAGATCAAAAGTCAGAGAGATCTTGCTCATCTGCTGCAAGGCCAGCATTACGTCGGTTACCAGGTCCCATTTTCTTTTCTGTGCAAAGTACCGTAAAGTACGAGCAGCCTAGTTCGTGTTGACATTATAGCTGGGCATCAGTGCTGCTTAATTGCTGGTTGGGAGCTTGGTTGTCATCGACGTAGTTCTCTCTTGCTTGTCTTCGATATTTCGGCCGTAAATCAAAGTCATAAACACGTATCCCCGGAGCGCCTGCGCCTCAGCATCTCTTACTGCCTATAATAAGTAAAATACGACTGCAGCTGGTTTTCAGTCATTTTCTTTATCTTTATCTTTACTTCTCTGTGGCGGTACTCCAACCTACGCCTCTTTTACTTTTAGGGAAGGTAGGCTTTCCACTAAGCTGAGGAAATATGTCCATTCGTTTGCTCGCTATTGGAAAGAGGCATCATCAGTAGTCTCTACACACTCTTCGACTCCTCACCTACTACCTGAGTACCTGCTGCGATATGCACTTCCCACATATTGGACGCCTATGCATCGTATAAGAGAAACAAACAAACATCAACCACTGGTGCTAGCCTCAATGAAACAGATTCCGAGCAACAATTCCGCTGCACAACATATTGAAACTTCGCATATTGATTAGAAGATTGATATAAAGTATTTCACTAGCGCTCTCTCACCCCCGTCCTCAATTGTTGAGGGGTGATGGTCAAGTGACTGGACTCAGCAACAAAGGCTGGCGCTAGTCTTCGCTTAATCTCACCCGTCGTGTCAATGTACCGAGTGCCCAGTTACCTTGCATTTGTCTTCTTCCGCATGGTCACAACGACGTTCTCGAGCTGACGGTACGAGTTTTGTACAATTTCAACCTTTGTGAAGTTGAACTGACTTGCTCACAAGCAGCAGCATATATACTTTTACAGCCCCTAGGATGCACACAACTCAAAGCCACTTTCATGATCTTCTTGTGGTAATGTCACCCCAAGAGAGACTTCTGCATTTGAGTTGCGATTATATGGAGTAACTCCACGCCGATGATTATTGCAATGTTGCCTGCCACAAACTTGGTAACTGCTGCTTGATGACCAAGATCCTGACGGAGCAAATCAAAAGGCAGTTACTCGGATCACGCCAACAACATTCAGACAAAGGTTTTAAGATGGCTGAAGTTGAAGCTACCGCCGAGAAGATCTCTATAGAGCCCCTGCATAAGTCAGCAAGCTCGCCAGCTCATTCAAATTTCCGAGGCCAACGCTGCTGAGATCAACAATGTTGTCACGCAAGCCCAAGCCAACCTTGTGAAGATCGATGTCAACCTCGCCAAGTTCCAAACAGGTACCGACAACACCAAAAAGGCTGTCCGATCTCTCAAAGTTTCTAGCCACTCCACCAACCCCACTCCTGCTACCATCCACCCCTCACTCAAAATGCCTTGGCAGCAGCTAAGCTCTACACTGTTCCTCTCGCCACAGGTCTCAACAAAGTTTCGTCGGAGGTCGAAAAGCAAAAGGACATTCAAAGTTCTGTCCAGAGTGCGGATATGTCTCCTCTTTCCCTCAAGCAACTGTATTCAATTCAAGAAACTATTTGCGATGTTTCTAGGAAGCTTTCGGGAGAGCTGAGGAGACTAGAGTCTAAGATGCTGCCCTCGGATCTGATATTCTTAGGATAGGAGGATATTCATCGATATGGGGGAGCTATTGCTTAATCTCAGAGAGTATTAAAGGGGGGCAATGTTACATGCAAGGAACTTCTCTTGCCATAAATGATTCTGTTCATGTAGTACCGAGAGTTACAACTACTGTTCCAATCTGCTTAGACTGCTCTTCAGTCAAGGCTGGTGACGAAAACCCGCTCATTTTCCCCTAGCAGCCAAGGCGACAGTCTCCCAGCCACCATAAGTATAGAGTAGTAGACTCAAATCAATTTGAGAGTGGTCAATATTGGAACTGAGGGCAAAAATCGTGGCAGATGAAACATACTTCCAATAATGGGACGTTTGTTTCCCAGCTTCGATGTTCCAGATTTTGTGGTTAGGAAAAGTACTTGCCAGACATTCATGAGGTCGGGTTCATTTAATCTAAAGTAAGTCAACCATAAACTACTCTTCCAAGGCGTGCTTCGTTCCATGGGTGCCTGAAAGTGAATTATTCGAGAGAATTTAGATTTATCCGTGACTCCTGCAGCTCGCTTAATTAGATTCGAGGACATTACAATGAAAATAAAAGAACAGCAGCGAACTCTTTCCCAGCTTCTTGTGTTTTTATCAACAACTCTTGATTGATCTCCATCTACAGAGTAGTGCGCAACAAATGCCTCGGGCATAATTCGAAATTCCCATCAGTCAACGCAAAGATGTCTCCCGGAGCGCAGGACTTCTATACCTGCGGCTGTTCCATCTTCTCCTACCAGGCCACCTCTACTTTCTACGCCTGCCAGAAACACAAAGGACTCAAGCCTCGTCTCATTGAGCGTGACTGCGGCCCTTGCCAGCGCGTCAAAGCTGTCGGTTTGGAGCTCAACGTGGTTCCCTCTTCCGACACTCACAATCATCCTCAAGCTAGACACTGCTTCAACAATCCCCAGACTTATGACAACTCCCAATATGTTGGCACGCAAGGTCCCTCCAACGGTATTACCAGTTTTGAGACTCTCGCAAATGATCTCGGTAGAGATTTCCGACAATGTGACAATAGTGACCGAGTATTCGGTCTAGACGAGTTCGTCATGAGTGGAGGTAATAGTGAAAGCATGCAGGTCAACCAGTCCGAGGGCTATGACATGAATGGTCAGACCACGCAAGCCAACAACGCTGGATATGTATCTGGATATGTTTTGAACATGAATGATAAGAGAATGCGAGTCGATGGCTCTGATCATGATTTCAACAACAGTCAAGCCATGCCTGCCAATAAGTCTCAGAACGATTTTGACAACAGCCTACCCGTGCAAGTCAACAACTTTGACAATGACATCAGCAACCGCCGACTGCGAACCATGTCGGCAAACTGCTCGGAGATTGGTTATGCTAACAGCCTACCATTTCAGGCCAACAACACTGAGGATAGTTTCAACGATGGCCAGTGCATGGAAGCCAACGACTCTCAGAACGGCACCAACTACGGCCAGCCCGTGCAAGTCAACAACTTCGAGGATCATTTCAATGGTTGCCAATTCAATCAAGCAGTTGAAGATGGCGGCGAAGAGTTCCAACATAACAGCCCCGCCACTCCAAAGCCAATCCGTATCATCGACCTCCAGAACACCATTATCGACGCCCCCGCCACCTTGCTCCGCGACGTTAAAACCGCTTCTCACCACGCAGTCACCAGCGAGTTCAGCGGCGACAAGCAAACCATCCTCGACGCCATATACACCTGCATCAAGAACGGTCTCGCCGAAGCTACCAGTCTCCGTGATGTCGACGTCAATTGTGAGCGTGCCAATGTCAAGCACTGGATTCAGGATATCAAGGGTGGTAGATCGACGCTGGAGGATATGGAGATGGGTTTGTTTCTTTCAGGGGAGGGGAAGGATTTGGGGAGAGCCATGAATGCACAGGCTACTAGGGAGAGAATTTTGAATGAGTGTATGGAGATATTGAAGAGAGCTTTGTAGGTAAGTTCTTGGCGGTTGGAGGTCTTGTGGTGGATTTTGAGGGCTGTGGATGTTTTACTGTTTGCTACCTCAAGTCCTTGATGGGCGGGGAAGGATGGGTTGCAGATGTCACTTCCTCTGGATCTTGGTTTGGAGTACTACTTTGAAACGTTGAATAATCTTCTATGGGTACTCTACTCAGGTCCAAGTGGTCCCGAGCCTCAGCTATTGCATTCATAAACACACTTCCGTTGCTTTTAGCTCGAAAGTGAATAGGCTGAACACGACAAGTAAAACCAAAATCTGTGTATCGAATGTGACTTTTTGGTGGCGTCACTTTGAGCATCCATCAAAACTTAGAGTATCAAGAACTTTGCTTTGCCTCTGATCAATTCCCTCCTCCACAGTTTTCAAGTGACGAGCATGGGACAACACGCGCGTGCTTCGCTTATAAGGCGGCGAGTCTTGGGATTTGCACATAACACAACGTCCCGTCACCGATTCCGGAACACAAACACAATGGCAGAAATCGTAGTAAGGCATCACTCACCACCTGCTTGATATAATGAGCTTTCAGCTGACTGACCTTTGCAGTGACTGTTGAGATGTGCCACGGCAAGATAATCATCACAGATGTGGCGCTGGACTTTCAAGGCTTGGAAAAGCTTTGATTGCGCAGATTTGAACCGCATCTATGTGCGAGAAATCGAGTCAGGAATCGACTGCGAAGTTTGTAGCGATCAAAACTCTGCCAACACCGATAAAGAACAACAAACTACAGATCGTAATCGTATCTTGACAAAGGTCAGCACAATTCGAGGCGAGCCAGACTAGAAGAAGGATGTTGCAACTTATGCCAAATTTGAAGGTGATTTCTGTACAGTAGGATGATGACAGTATGCTGGGGCAGACAGAATCTCTACGACAGGATCAGGAGAAGAAGATGACGAAGAGGCACTATCACTCATCTACTTAGTCAACAGCTCCCGTCTTCCAAACGCTGCTGGTAACCACAAAGGCCAGGCAAAATTAGCGGAACGCCGAAACGAACCGACTCATTCCACTGAGCCAAGCAATCAAAAGTCTGCCATACCTGTCTTCGCTACCACCACGAACTTTGAGGCGTCAAAGAACAAGGAAGCAACTTCTAGACTCCTTAAGGCCTCTATTCAGCTGAGTCTACAGAAGATGCAGCAAACATGAGATGCTGAACTCAAACCCACACCAACCAATTCACAAGCTCGTGGCAATGCGGAGGCATAATTTAATACAGCTGTGGATGAGACTCTCCAGGCTGTAGATGATTACGTCTTACTCGACCTACGGTTGTGTGCGGTGTGGTGGCACTGTTTATTCATTGTTATCAGTACCTGCTGTTCGGACGACAAAGGGTGGCAAATAAAGGACGTGTAGACAAAGATATATTATAAATTAAGGAATATACATTAAGGAGCCCCCGAAAGCTTTATCATGGTATCTTATATATCAGTGAGATCATTAATTAAACTTGCATGTGATATTTTTCTTTTTGCCTCAACCCACCTAATCAATCACAACATTTCCGTCGTGAAAGTATATCTTCATTTCCAGTGCTAGAAATACCTTTTAGGCAATGATAAATTGGTTAGAATAGCCCAGTGATCCTTTTATAGGCACGCATTGCCTTGATAATAGCCTTTCACGATTGTTATGAGCAAGAGACGTGTATTGAAAGGTGAACTGTTAGCTAGCTTAAGTAGATACTCCTACGTGACGTATAGTTGATCTCGCTAGTTTACTTTAAGGTGCCCACAATAAAATGCATTGAAGCCTCTCTGTCCCCTGAACTGAGTCTTTCCCCTTCAAACAAGACTGGCCACTCAAGAAGGTAAGTCTCACCACGCAACCTTGATCTCTCCTATAATGTTTCGAAAAGCTAACGCCCCTTCGAAGCACATTCAAGATGTGTATAGGACGCGTCGATCAATACCACTGCGGTTGCTACACCGATCCCAAGGTCTTCCGCTGCGAGCCCGCGCAGAAGAAGAAACCATGCGACGGTATTGGTCCTCTTATTACAGCCAACATTCTCAGCTTCTGTGATGTCTGCATGGAGCGCCGCAAGAACAACACCCTAGAGCTTAAGCGCATCATCGATGAATCTCGAAAGATTGCAGATGCAAAGGCTGAAGCTAAGGTCGATGCTATCAGAGCTGCTGAGCACCAGGCTGCCATCGATGCTATTGACATCAACACCCTTTTCACTGGACGACTCTCTGGACGCAACGCTACCGATGGTGATGAGACGACTGGCATCGGGCTTGCTGGGGTGTCCAGCTCCCCAGGCGACGAGAAGGATCGCAATTTCTCCCTGACTGATGGATCGCAGAAGGATGTTGCTGAGAAGGGCGAGGTTGAGCACACTGTCAATCAAGCCAACGATAACGAGCAACTCCAGCCAGCATGCTCTTCGAAGTTCGCCAAAGTTGCCAACAAGGTTTTCTGCGGATGCTTTAAGAAGGGTTGACGGACACTCAGAAACACTGGTTCTTGGCATGGTGGTAATCGCCTGGGGAATAGAGTCTACTTCATGGGTAGAGTCATGATTGTAAAGGCTTGGACGGAAGCAATTGACTGATCTGCAACACAAACAGAAGCATGCATACTCTCGAATTTGATACTTGTGATTTATGTCAAATTCTATTCAACTCAGTTTTAGATCTCACAGTACTGCCTTGGAGCACTGGACAAGTGATTGGAGGCGAAAATGAGTCGCTCCTTAGCATACTCACCCACAACTGCGTATTGAAATGAAATCTTGGGCCATTACTCACCTTTCCCTATTTGAATTACAACAAACTTCCCAGGTCGTCCGTCCTACCTTCAATTCTCATTAAAAAATTTGCTGATTACCACTTGCCCCCCGAGAATTTATAGGTAGCCAAGATATGTGAGACTCAACTTAATATCAGCAAATTCGCATATGTGCGAATCTTTTTGGCTCTGCTTCAGTGAACTAGTCATGGATCATGGATATCACAGCTCCTCCGAGTCACTGAGCGAGAAGCACTCCAAGAACGTTTGCGGTCAATGCAAGGAACGTGAATGACTTGATGCTGTCAAGCGTACGCAAGTCACCTTCATTTTTAAGATCAAGAATTCGGGGGTCAAATTGAGAATATCCTCCACTCCGGCGATGCGAATATCAACATGAAGGTCTATGTGTGTAAACAGTCATTGTCACGGGATAATGAGGGCAAGTTCAAGCTGGGAAGAAGAGAGCCATTGTCTCGCAACTCCTGGCCACCGTCATTCCATCCGCGTTCAAAGGCTATGTGAAACATCTCTCGCAACACAATACATAAATCACAGATGTCAGGATTTTCGTTGGGGAAACCTTGACTGATCATCTTGAGCGAATGAGTGAAGAGGAAGTCCAGGATATGAAGCAGGTGAAGGCTGATTGCGAGACTAAAGTCAAAAAAGCTTTGAGGATATGGGCAAAGCATTAAGAAAGTATGCGCCGAGGTGAGGGAGCTGATGGAATAGTAATGTCAGAGCAGTTGCTTCCGGAGAGCGGCATGCATTTGGTAGATGGCACAGTGATGTAAATCTGCTGAAGGTTAATTACTTCTGTGGATAAGTTGCTTATTTAAATACGGAGACACACATTTAGTCGAGTCCGGGACACAGAGTTCAATTCATACAACTCAGATCACGATAATTGTTGTTGAATGAAACTTTCAGAAACTCCAGAATCACTAGCTTCAACAGACAGTACCGAGAAGGCCCAGATGATGAGGGTGAACTGAGCTGAAAGTATCTCTGTATTAGTCGCTGAGCCGGCTTCTTCCTCCTGCTACTTTGGGACTATCTGGGGTCTGGCAGGCTTTTAGGATGTATCACCTAATTTGACGCCATGCAGTCCATGTGTGAATTTGGGATAAAATTAAGGACACGCCTCTCGTTTTGGCCCAAGAATTATTGAAGTTGTCTTTAGTGCGGCTACTGCCAGCTGATGACTTTCAAGACATCACGATCATAAGATCAAATCCTGTGACAGATTATGATGCCATGCGATTCTCGTAGGCTTCTCAACGACCAGTGTAAGCACTCCAGGGCAGTAAACGGAACTTCGAGTTGGTTGAAACTTAGGTAACTCCGTACATGTCGGGTTTATCTATATCTGTGCCATCTATGCTAGAACATCCGAAGAGCAGAAGAAGATACCCTACATTTACAGACAACCGTCCTCGGATCTAATCTTACTGTCCATCTACATACATCTTACATACGCTTCATATCCAATGTACGCCACCCATGCAGTTGTCTATTCAACCCTCTCGTCTCTGTCACTCAATAAAGGGTCCACCTCTCCATGTTCCTCTAAAGTTTTGCCATGTTTCGTGTATAGGAAGTAATGTTGAATGATGAATATGATGTCAAAGAATACACTGATATTGCCCAGGGCCAGTTTGACTGGGTTCCCAGTTATTCCCGCCCAGTCCCCTTGTAGATAGCTGTCTATACCGAGCTGTAGAACAGAAAGAATTCCGCCAACGAAATCGAAGAGGATGCCTTCGATCGACCAGCCGACTGTTGATTTATTGTTATAGTTCGTGATGACTTGAGGAGTATATTTGACAAGTGTGATAAATAGCTTGACGTAGGATACTGCATAGATCTGCATTCATATTAGATTAAGAACTGTTGTGATATATGCGCAAGATGCGGTGTAACTAACCACATCAATCCAAGCCCAGCCTGTCTTCACATCCTCGTCGTGTCTAGCTGCGACAATCACGGCGACGACCGCAACTCCAACGATACTACCAAAGAACACGCCCAAAATGGGTTTGCTGGGTCTTGCTCCAGGATCTCTTCTGGACCGTTTCTTGAATCCCCATAGCGAAGGAATAAACTGTGTCAAAAGCAAAGCGCTTAAAACCACGGCATGCGCAGCAAAGGCCAGATCGTTGAACTTGACCGTCGGTTCGAGCCCATGATGTCTTGCAGCATATTCGCCCCTAATCTGCGGCGAGTATAGGAAAGCAGCATTCGATATGAAGTATGCGACGAAACCTAGAATGTTGACGGTAGGGAAATCGATGGTACAGCCACTAGTTGAGCTTCTACGAAAGTTGAGGATCGGCTGCGGGTAGAAAGAAAGTGACCAACAGGTGGTGTAAATCCACCCAAAGGACCAGGACAGAAGTGCAAGAAAAGAGACTGCCATGGTTGGCAGCTTTGTTACCGGTTCATCTGAGGAATGGAGGTTGGGAAATCAAAGATGGGCTCTAGACATGAAGTCAAATTCAAGATCACGAGTCTCGAGCACGCGAGATGTTGATGACAAAGCACAATATTTAAGGTTATCGGACTGCTATCAGGCTGCTGGTGCTAGTATCATCTGTCTTGGCGATCTAATCGACCTCACTTCATTTCCCAACGATCACTCCATTTGTCCGGCTTGCAAAGTTCTACATTTTGCAGATTATTTGTATATCTTCAACAGACTTGGTAAGAGCACTCTATCAGCCACCATGGCAGTATCTTCTTTTACAGACTTTCCTGGAGAAATCCGCAACTCCATATACAACCACCTACTTGTCCTCCCTGCTCTCGCGACCCCTCGTCGCCTTGGTGATCCTCCACTGTACCCACAAATCCTCTCTGTATGTCGGCAGGTCCACGAAGAAGCTAAGCAGATCCTCTATGGTTGCAATACCTTTCTGGCACATCCCAACTTGCTTGGAGCATTGCCCCGTCTCCGATTGTACTACGATTCAATCCACTCTCGAAGTCTTATATCTCTTATTCAACGTTTCCATATTCGAGTTCGTTTAGATTGCGATCCGAACTTCTCTACCGAGAAAGCTGCGAAATGCTTCACGGGTGTGGAAGAGCTGTCTATTGAAGTGTTCCAGGCGCAGTACGGAAGTTCGGATTATAAAGTGCTGAGGTTGTTCGAAGGCATAAGAGGTGTGAGACGAGCTATCGTGTATGGAAGTGTAGCAGGATTTCCGGATTATGTGGAGTGGCTGCAGGATGCTATGAAGACTCCGGAGGGCGTGGAGGTCGGTGTGTTTGATAAGGGAAAGGCAGGAGCTCAGGTGAGACCTTACGACATCTGGATCGTCAGTGACATGCGAATGTGATTTTTCATGTGACTAATCGTTGTTTATAGCATGGCGGGCGTTGAATATACCCCCAAATTTTATAGAAACACTTGGTGAATTGTGTTGAGTACCTTCAACGATGTGAATGAGAATGTTTGTCGCTGCACCCTCATCCAGCTGATCATTGCGTCAGTAAGACAAGTGAAAGAGTTGCTGGGTTATAAAGCACGATGTTTTTGCTGCCCGGGAAATGACGCTGCATCTATCAATATATATGTCGCATCGGTTACTGTCGCTGGTGGGCACCGCCTTCATCGGCATCCTAATCGGGTTATCAAGACGACAAATGTGAGTCAAAACTGAGTCCGAGACTATTTCATATCCAAGCAGGTAATGATTTTAGTATCAGTCGAAGCTTGAGCTACTTAAGCACGCCAACCTCACTTCTCTGACCAGATTTCATCCATATCCTCCCGATGTTCGAGACTAACTTCGATGCTTTTCGATGCATACCTATTCTGCTAAGTGTCAGATCCAACCAAATAGTAGGGCTCATACTTTAAGAACAATTTGGTATCTCAAAATTGCTCTTAAGATCGTCTCTTGGCCATAGCTGACTCATAATAGAACTATCCCAATCCACATCATTATGGAGTTCCACGAAGCTGGTTCGATGAGCCCTGTCTTGGATAATATCGACTCAACAGCAGACGAACTTCTTGGCAATGACCAACAACATACACAGGATGATGCTCCTCAAAGTTCACTCACTTCAATATCATCTAGCATGGGTTCGCATAGCATAGTGAGGATTCAGCTGTGATGAGCCACTCAACTGTCGACGTACCTGCAATTCTGACGGTGCAGAACCAGATCCAGATCTCACCAACCATACAGAAGATACTTCAATGAGCATCACCCAATAAGCATCAATCATGTCTAGAGAGGCTGATCTGGGTGAGCCTACAGACTCGCAACTCTGCTGAATGTGAAGGTCGAGTTTCCCCTGACACTCCCACAAAACCCAAATGCTACTTTCATGGGATTGCCAGCAGAAGTTCGAATCGTGATCTACGAATTACTTTTGATCAGTTCAATTCTCGGTGACCTCTCTTCTACTTGCAAGCGTGACAATTTCGGCGCTGATCAAGCATACGAATTTAATCCATCTATTGTTCGTATATGCAAGCAGACTCAGGTTGAGAGTACGCCCATCCTGTACGGACGCAACACCTTCTGTGTAGTCTGTCTCCCGTATCCAGGTCCTACCTGGAATATGCGAGAAGAGTCAATCTTGTCGCCTCTCACAAGACACTCCAGCTATACTTCTACTTCGTTCCCTTTGTTGAGCCAGCTCGCACAGGTCTGCAATATCATGAAGTGGAAGGTGATTCTGAGTGTTGGAGCCTGGGACAACTATGATAATCAGCCATCCTGTCCTTTTTATGAGGTCTGCCGAGCTTTCAGTCGTAGCAAAGCGACCGATGTTGACATTGCAATCATTCCCAAAGGCGTCGCAGACGATATATTTGAATAAAAAGACATGGAAGCAGCGCTGAAGCCTTTAAGGCTGTTGCGGGGCACCAAGAACTTCCAGATCAGAGACACAAGCCCGTTCGAGGATCCGGATATCATCGACCAAGATGAGGATGCCGTCCACTTCACTTCTGATATGGAAGACCACGCTGTCCTCGAGGTTACACTCACTCTCTCCGCTCAGAGCAACGATCCTATAGAGAAGGTGTTCGAGATGTATTGTAGCCTACTACGGTACGCTCAGTCATTCGAGCAGCTTCTTCAATTCAAACAAGAGATGCCTCTCGAAGAATATCCCAATCAACCTGTCGCAATCGACTTCCCCGATGGCTCCATTGAGTCCGACTTCTTAAGCGAATATTTGAATCCTTTCAAGGAACTCAACTGTATCCACCCGGTCGAAGCTGCGTTGATGCTCTTTCGAACCTACGCCGATAATGAAGCCAGCCAGCAATTCAAGATGGTACGTGCAGTGGTTATTGAATACCTGGAGCCACAGTTTTAGCGTATTTCTGCTGCCGCTTCTGCAGTTGTTGCTTTTGTGAAGGAGGAGAAGTGTAGTGGAGGCATCTTCGATCGCTGTCAATATAGCTCGAGGTCGGATGACGACTACGCTACGACTTGTGCATCGGCAATTATGGTGTTAGAGGAGTATGATGCTACTTTGAAGCGCGACATGCCGTTCCACATCAAAGTTAAATTTCGCCAATTTCGATCCCAATTCAAGAGAGTATATGCTGCAACAGGTGTTGGCGATGCTCTCTTGGAGCACTTGAAATTTGTACTCGAGACAGGAAACTATACAAGCTTTATTAAATTTTTCAAGGTCGCTGTCGACAAGATGGACAATCAATATCTCGAGATACTCCGTGCGAGACAGGAGCTGTTCATGTGGGATGTACCTACATTCAATGACCGACAATACAATATCGACCCTCAGCCCGCGCTATCTACCGATAACGTTGATTGGGAGCATAACGAGCCTGAATTGACCCCCTTATCTTCGGACGCTTATGAGCCGAGCGATGTAGGTAACTGGAACGAAAACCTCTACGATGGTCAAGACGCCGAGTCTGATGATGATGCAGCTCCTGGATCTGAGGATGGCTCTCGTGAAGATGAGAACGAGAGTCTTAATGCAAGCGTTTGATGAAGATGCAACTACGGCAAGCGAAATTGGGGATTCTGTGGCCCCATGGAAGACATCGTTGTTCAGGATTGTGAGGTTGAAGACCTCAATCATGAAGATGATGAGCATTTAGAGCACGGTGCTTAACAGGACCATTCCGATGATTTGAGCATTGAGAACGTCAATAAATGCGCCGATGGTCGAGTCCTGAATAGAATTTCTGGATATGGTCAAGTTGGCATTAATGGTTTTGACACAGCCCATATGCAGTCAGAGGTCCCTGTTGATGTTCCAACGCATAATCCGAGCTGTAATATTCAGCAAATTCAGATCACTTGGTTATTTAATCTGCTCTCGGGGGCACAAGATCCGGCTCATAACGTGAGTGACGTGCCGGATGTGTCGCGGGAAATCGTTTAGACTAGGATCCCTGCCGATATTTGAACGCGAGCTAAATATCTCCTCTTCTTCATATCTTTTTGTGTTTGGGAAGCAGCTGCTTGGATACCTCTTAAGTGGTCGAATGGCCTCGATTTTAGATTAGCAGTGCGCTCGGCGTGGGTTCTTGGCCGGCAGACAACAATTGGTGTTTCGAAACATTATTGCTCTCTTATTTTCTTCGATAAAATTCCATTGGTTTTGGGTTTTGGACGGGATGGTACGTTTTGATTTCCGCGGCTTGGGATTTCCTTTTGGTGACGGGTCGGCGAGAGACATATTTGCTCACAATGGCGTGAAACCTCTGTATTCTAGTCTCGCCTTTCGGGAGGAAATTAACATCACCTTTAAGACATAGCCCATGGAAACTTGTCGTATTATCTTTGTACATCGGCAAAAATATGAAGCTCAGGATCTTTGTCACAAGTCTTTAGATTTGAGGATGGAGGTTCTGTCATTGAATACGCTGCTACTCCTCCTTGCATCCATTTCGCAAAGAGAACTTAAACTTTACTTGAAAATGGGAGGACTTGGGCGGGCTTTCTTCTGACCAAATCGATGCTAGTTTCCTCGAATTTTCGGAAGTCCGAGAAATTTTCTGGCAAGAAAGTAGATCTGCGCCAATATGGTTGTATCCTTGACAATGTGAATGCTCGCTTAGTTTGTTTACTTTGGTTTCTTGCCACAAATAAACCGGAGCTTCACTTACAATAGACAGACCACCTTGATCAGTTAGCGAGATTATGTGGGTCGTCTGAATTCTGTATCTAGAACTTCCGCAACATGCTGAAATCATAATAATAATCAAGAAATTGTAGTTAATAATTTTCTTAGCGAATGTAACACATAGTACTAGATAATATTATATTGTTTGGAAGCTTTTCTCATCTAAATTTTGAGTCCATTGGGTCCTGTAGATGACTCCAGTGCGCGGTTTAGGCATTATTCACGTGTAAGCCGCCATGGGTCATGGTCGTCAGGGTAACATGTGACATAATCGACTGACTCATAGCCTGAATCGTGGTGTGGTTCCTCGCATGCAGGTCATTACTTGGTCGTTATCTCAGCAACTAAACAATGTAAAAGGGCCTGACTAAACAAATTGGCGGTGGGTTGAGATTTGCTTGTATATATAGAGAGAGAAGCCCCGAAATGAATATAGTCTCAAGTCATCATTTCGATACTGACAGTTCGTAAAACTTATTCCAGCCACTCGCCGTCATTTCAGGTCATCACCAACTGCATCGAAGAGCACTCATTCCGAAACCGAGTTAGTTCACACACCCATCAAAGATTCATTCTTCTACCACTAATCCTCATAGATAGTCATTCTCTTTATTCCTGGCGATTTATACTGCACCAGAAGACTTGGAGGCCCCCTCTAGACCGCTCAATCAGCACAACAACAAACTTCTCATTGTTCTTTGAGGCTATTTCGAACAAAAATACGCCATTATGGATTTCAGATGACGATGCTGAGACTCGAATATCTATTACTGCCTCGACTGATCAAGTCTACGCCACAGCATGACGGTCTCAAATAGAACCAACATGCTAGTGGCTCAGCTACTGCAATATAGTTTATTGTCAATCTGTGAGCCTAATCAAGTGACGATTGGCAGGATTTTGCCGTTCGCGGGTGAAGGAAACTGCCCCCCTGCCCCCCCCCCCACAGATCTATAAGCCTACTCTCCTAAACCTACTCTCCTCAATCCAGTCCTCGGCACACGCGATTCTGTGGAAACAGATAGTGATTATGGTCAAAAAGCCAAATATCAACTATCATCAACCTTCTTCATGCCAATAACAAAATTGAAGCGGAAGCACTCAATTCCTATACGACTAGAACAAGTTCTACATTGCATGTGTTTCGATGCCGATTAGCTTTATATTCACCCACGAAGTTTTACCTTCGTGTCGCAGGTCACGCATCACGAGACTCAAATGCATAAACCAAAACCCCCTTCTGTGCGCAAGAGTTTTGGGAAAGTACTTATTTGGAAGTGCTAGTCGGCCTTCGCAATACCTATTCTCAGAGCCTGACCAAGTCTCCCAAGAGCCTCAAAGAACTCTGCCGGGCAATCTGCAACATTCCTCCCAAGCCCCTTGAGGTCAAAGCCGTCCCACGGGGCATGGAAAGTGGGCTCTTTAGCAGTGGTTACCTGAGCTTTGGAACTTTTGTCGAACCACACCGTCTTCTTCGGAACCATTCCAATTTTGACATAACTCTTGCTCTAGAGTTCGATATTCCCCATGGAACCCTGTTGGCTGCCCCTATACCTGATCTAATATCTCATTTGAAGGATTAAGCTAGAGCTTGAAGCTGATCTCGTCACTCTCGTGAAGAGTAACAGCTGACTGGAGTACTGCGTCGACATTTATTGCAGACTTCTCGAATACTTTCAGATATCCGAGCGATTTCAACCGTATCAAAGTGGAATGGGAATAGGACGAAAGCCAGAGGACAATTATGGCTCACTACCTGAATATATATCCATATGACCTTTTGTGGATTCTATCAAGGTGAACTCTGGTTCTGAAGATGCGGAGGGAGCCAGTGATGAGGGATGATTCCGTCGAGAAGTCTTGCAGCATCGTTGCATCTCAGACGAACTTAATTAGGCAAAGGTTTTCTAGGGACTATGATATGTCCATGAATCATTATCCTCCTCATCCGAGTTGTCGTTCTTCGTAGACGCTCTCACCTTCTCTGCGGTGTTCACCTCTTGCCTCAGAACAATATCTCCATATGAATAGCTCGTCTACAGTGACCTCACAATCAGCATTGATTGCAATGCTAATCGAATCTTTGCAGTCCGAGCATTCTCTAAAGCCCTCGGCGCGCATGTAAAAAATATCTGCTCGTTATTAAATAAGAGTCGTATTCTTTGCTGTACTCTAACAATCTGATTTTTCGAGGTAAAAAGTGACCTCAGTTTATGCCTCAGACCTCTGTAAACCCAGTGGACGAGACGTGTTGTTGAGAGTTATGTGAGTGACATTGACATATTCCTCTTGACTATTTACACTTGCCCGCCCCTGACAGCGAGCATCTTCTTCTCGGTACTGTACGCACAGGTCCCATGGAGACAGACTGCTGCCATCCTTGATGATAGGATTGACTTTGCCGAACTCCAACAAGATTGCCACACACTCCACCCTACCTGATCGGACAGCATAATGGAGGGCAGCTGGACCGTCCCAATCTGGGAGATTAATAATCGCCGAACTGCCCAGTAAGACCTTGATCTTGGATGGGTGTGTCTGACTCAGTGAAGCAAATTGCTGCATGAATACCTCGTCCTCAAGATCCATCACTTCAGAGGCGTTAGCCACGCAATAAGGACCAGGAAGTTCTACTAGAGCAGAAATGGCCAGTTCCCAGATATCAATGAATAGCACGGTGTCTAAGTTTCACCCGATTTTGACAAGAGCCTTGAGGTTCAACTTCAACATCGGTGTTAATCCAAGGAATTGAGAAAGTGAATCTCGTACGAGTGACTGCATGCCTTGGAGTCTGCCAGATGAGCCAGATCCTTATTTCCGTGAAGAATGAAGTTCTGGTCCTCGAAGTCATCTTTTCGCGTTAGATACGTAATTGAAGATGGTTTTGATTCTTTGATACGTTGTTGCTTGAAGATTTCGTGAACAGATAGGATTTCAGTATGAGACAATATATCCAATATCAATGACGAAATGTAGCTCAAAATGTCACGATAGACAGCTTAAGTCTTTTAAGCAGCAAAAAAGTGACACAAAGACGGAATGTCCCTTCTGCAGTACAAGATACACCTGCTTAGGATTAGAGGAAATCGGTCCGCATCTGCACATAGGCAGTAGCCTGAAGAAATCCTGCAGCACCTACACCTGTTCTTGTTGGTTGTGCTGTTGCCGTGCCACGCCAATTGTGAACTATTTGAAATCCGTAACTAGGAGAAACGAATGACAGAAACTAAAAAGTATTTCACTGTGTTATAGAGACTCAAGCTATCGGGTAGTTCCCTCTGGAGGGGCTTGTTCTTTGGCATTTCGTCCAAAAAAGAGTCAGGAAGAAGTTCGGGTCACGCCTCACGTGACACACAGTCCTTGGGGTGATGGTCTGTTGGAGACTCAATTGATCCATAACTGGCCATCTCGCGAATCAGATATCGCCGCTCACCGATGAACAAACTGAAAAGGTATATGGACTTGGAGTAGCTCTGGCTCCATCTAGGGATCTTGCGTAATGACAAATGTCAGTCGTTTGGAGGCAATGGCGAGTCAGGAAAGTTGTTTCACAGCACACTCGACCGAAGACGCGCCCATATTATAAGCTTTTTCACCAAAGTCGAAACAAAATTCCAGCCATCATCCCAGACTCATTGTCCTGTCATCCACGCGGCGATTTGCCACCATCATCGAATCAAGGCCAATCATGACGCTGCCTAGACTTGTCCATCTCGGATACATCAAGAGTGAGCCACAATGGGATGAACATTGAGGAGCATCTAGTCTTGGTAGATCTGCCCCACAAAGCTCGAAACAACGATCGCAATGAATGTTTACCCGAAAATATCTTACGTCCAGGCTCAGGCTCAGGCTCAGCGGCACGCAGCGTGCATTCAAACATATATTACCCACCCCACCAACGCCCCACTCGAGTCCACGCACTTGGGAGAAGCCGAAATCAAAGAAATTGGATGGATGGGTTCTCCCCCTCCTGCCTTAGCGGAAACAAATCAAAGTGATAGGTTTGGCCATCCGGACCTTGACGAACGGGGGTAACTTACTCGATAGATGAAAAATGTCGCCAGAGAGATGCCAAACATTGGCCACAAGCATTCCAAGGCTGTCTAGGCTGTATTCCTCTGCCTGCTACATAAACCTTTGGGTCTCCCCCTCTCTTTCATTTTGCATTTGCTATCGTGAGATTTCTTTTCGTCGCTCCATTCAGTCATTCTTTACAGCCTCGACGGCATAGCTTGGCTAGCCCTTGCCTTCATTCATTTGACATCTCCTCTGCTTGATTTATGTTTTTACTCCCCGGAGAGCCGTAACCTCATCCTCAAGCTCAGGACTCTTACTCAACCCCTCACAAGAGTTCCATCAGCATGCGTTTTTCCGTCTCCGTGCTGGCATTTGCCGTAGGAGCATGTCTTCGTCGTCAGTCGATCCAAATCCTGGCATCACATTCCAAGGGAAGACCGACACCACCGGATTCTACTTTGGTATGGCACTTCCGACGACAGTTGGGTCTGATTTCATTGGCCAGATGGTGAGAAAATCTGCTCGATATATCGGAACCGGAATCTGACTAGGAGTAGGTGGTTCCAGTCACCACAGGCTATGGAGGTCTTACACTTACCGGATCGATGACAGGCAGCTTGCTTGTTGTTGCTTGGCCCAATGAAGGAAAAGTTATTTCATCTTTCCGTGAGACTAGGTAGGCTTCAAACAATAATGATGATACGTTGAGGTGTGCTGACACTCTTGAAGCGGGCACACTTCTCCCGCACTATACACGAATGCATCCTTGTCTCTTTTACCTATTGCAAATGGAACATTCATCAACTCCACCCATATGTCTTTCACTTTTCTTTGTGGGGGATGTATCATGGGCAATGCATTGACTTTCGAGGCTTCTACCGATACCATTGTCGTTGGTTGGGGTTTCTCGAAAACTGCACCAACGAACCCTTCCTCTGCCGACTCAGCTACATTCGTTTACCACGAGGCTGGTTTCGGAGCCTTCGGTCTTGCTCTTAGCGAAGCAGGCTCTGCTGAATACGCAACCTGGGCAGCTATGGCATCTTCTTCTTCTGGTAACGGCAACACAACTATTACCCCTGCAAATGACGGATCCAACTCGACCTGCACTGTCACCTCAAATGTTGCAAACTCTAGTTATGACTATATCGTTGCCGGTGCAGGACCGGCTGGTATCATCGCTGCTCAGCGTCTTGCTGAAACCGGATAGTCCGTCCTTCTCATCGAGCGTGGACAGGCTTCGACCTATGCCACTGGCGGCCGATCTACTGTGGCCTGGAATGACACCGTCACGCAATACGACGTTCCCTCTATGGCCTATTACCTCACAACCGCCTCTGACACCACTTAATACTGCCCTGACACTGCCAACATGGCAGGTTGCTTGCTCGGTGGAGGAACGATGGTCAACGCTTTGATGTTTGTCCCACCTCAAGATGCGGACTTCAACGACAAATGGCCAATGGGATGGAAGTGGAGTGAGGTTGGTGCTTCCGCTGCCAGACTTTACGAGCGTAATCCTGGAACTACCTTGGCTTCTGAAGACCGACAACGCTATGACCAAAGTGTAAGTAAACGAAAGGTCTTCATTGCTCGATGCTAATAGTTTTAGGCTTTCACCGTCTTTTCATCATTATTCAAGACCATGGGTTGGTCTCAAGTTGATGCTATCAAGGAGCCCAACCGTAAGACTGCAGTCTACAGCTATCCTCCATGGGATATCCAAGATGGTTTGCGTGCTGGGCCAGTCAAATCATACCTCCCTCTCGCTAATGCACTATCCAATTTCGAGTTGATCCTGAAAACCAAGGTCGTACGTGTTGTTCGTTCCGGTTCTACTGCCACTGGTGTTGAAGTCGAGACTTCTACAGGAGCTCGTCAGATCATCAACTTGAAAGCTGGTGGCCACGTCGTCCTCGCATCCGGGTCCATGTCCAGTCCACGTATCCTGTATAACAGCGGCATCGGCCCAACCGACCAACTCAGCACAGTTCAATCCGGGTCTGCATGCGTCACTCTTCCAGACGAAGCTGACTGGATCAATCTTCCAGTCGGACAGAATCTCAAGGTCACCCAATATTCACGTTGACATTCAATACTTCTTCAGCCAACGCATCAATGGTTGCTAAAGACTTTACCTTCCCGTCGCAGACCAACATTGACTTATTTGCTAAGCAATCCGGCCCTCTCGTTCAATCCGGTCAGCGTATCGACTTCTGGACCTCTCTCAACACCACCTCTGGGACCAAGTTTTTCCAAGGACCATGCAACTCTCCAAGTACAGGAGCAGTCCGTATCAAGATGTACCTCACACACGGCGCGACTTCGGTTGGCGCTCTCGGTATTAACGCTCAAGGAGCGACTGTATTTACCACTGATCCATGGATGAACACCGAGGATGATCAGACTGCCACCGCAACCATGATTGATCAGATCCTCAAGGCCGCAAAGAACAGCACGATCCTTACCCCAAGCGATAAAAGCCTCACCGGTGCATCCATGGTTGCGGCCAAAAGTTTCGCCCAAGGCTCTCATTTTGTTGGAACCGCCATCATGGGCGAGATAAACGATGGTTCGGCCGTTGTCGACACAAATACCAAAGTCTTCGGAACAGACAACATCTTTGTGGTTGATGCTTCCATCCACCCTGATCTACCGACTGGAAACACTCAGGCTATGGTCATGGTTGTTGCAGAACATGCTGTGGCCAAGATTATTGCTCTTGGTGCGTCAACCGCTTCCAACTCGACCACTTCTCCTACTTCATCTGCTGCTCCATTTGCGAACACCACTGTCCCTCAAACTGGTGCCGTGATCCCATTGGTCTCGGCCGTTGCTACGCCAGTTCCAGTCGCCGATGATGACGACTGCTGATGAATTCTTCGTGTACATTGTTGTTTTCGCTCAATTTCTTGTATATATATGAACTTCCCAAAACATTGACGGATCAAGGTTTCAAGCCCATTACCAATCAATTTGTCTTCCAGCATCCGTTTCCCTTCACTATGGCCATTGGCATCTTGTCGCTTTTTTATACCTTCAAGACCTTCTCTAGAACTCGTTCTTGATTCATTTTCGCACGAGGCTGCTGCTTCTGCTGCCTTTGTTCCGTGGAGTGCGAAATCACCCCGCCGTCCCTTCCATTGGGCTATGCGGGGCAATTCAGTGGCAGTTTGTCAGGGCGCGTGGTACAAAGGCGCACCTACGCTGGTACCTAGAGAGGCGCATTCGCTGCCATGCAAATGGAACGGCTGCACAGATTCAGAACGTAACGAGGGACGTCCTACCTACCTATAAGTACATAGACGGGACAATTTCATTAGGCAGAATCCAAATACGCCTCCTAGCTTCCTTCAGAGGAAAATGCAAGGTTTTTCTCGCACAGTGAGGAGGGTACATATGTACAGAGAGGCACTTCAAGTAGGTAATGCACGGTTACTTACGAGGCTGTTCTCTGAGAGGAAAGTCTACCTAGACTCCCGTCTTACAGTTTCATTTCTCATGGTTGCCCTCACCTTCGAGAGTTGCCTCTCACGGCAGAAGGCACTTACTTGCCTTTTGCTCAAAGGTGCCTTAGGTAACTTAAGTGCTTACAGTACTTAGGTTAAAAACATAGTTCGCGCTTGGGTCGTTTGTTATAGGTAAATCAGCCTCTTGTCTTAGGTCACGTGAATAACTGTCAGGCACCATCAAGGCCAATTGCAATCCTCACGTATCCTCGTGACTATCGCTCATAGCCACAATGAAGCTACGCACGTCTAAGATGCCAGATGCCGGACAAATATTGACATGTCATCTAAGTTCAACGGGGAGCGGGAGCGGGAGCGGGAGCGGGAGCTGGTGCTTACTTCGTTAACGCCACCGAGGCCACGCATAAGTTACGCTCCAGTACAGAAGTGCCTTGGGCTTACTGTAGCCTTTTCAGGCACGACCACGCTAGCCCCTCACCCTCGCCAAGAAGTAGGTACCCCTCAGCCCCTCTGCCCCTCCATGCATCTCACCAGCTTCGATTCTTGTTTCTTGAGGCAGACGTAATCATTTAGGCTCAACATTTCGTGTGTTAAGAAGAAGCTCAATCGTCAGAAATCATAACTCTTCAAATCTCGCAAGTCGACGAAACCTGTTCCTTCTCAGACTCAATGGCAGCTTCAACATTAGCACCACCAGCAGACAGTGAACTGTCGAGTACAGACCAAAAGCCAGACATCAGCGCCAAATACGACATCCCAAAGCCAGAGCCTTTCATTTCCTTCAACGCCCTCAAAGATCGTATCCGACACCATTATGAGCTTGCCTCGGACTACTACTTTTCTCTCTGGTAAACCTGTATCCACAGTCTCTTCACATAATTCACGCGCTAAAGTCACCGGCAGGGGGGAACATATCCATCACGGCTATTTTCTTACTCCCTCCGACACCAAGGAAAGAGCGCAAGTCCAGTTGATCGAACTTCTGCTCGAGAAGTCAGGATTACCAACCGGAAGTTCCGTTCTTGATGTCGGATGCGGAATTGGTGGAACCTCACGCCATCTTGCCAAGGTACACGGTTGCAATATTCTCGGTGTGACGATCAGTGGACGACAAGTTGAAATTGCGCGAAAATTGACTCTAGAAGCTGCTGGGGAAAAATCAGATACTCCTGATACAGGGGCCCCTGTGAAGATAGCCGATGGATCAGTTCGCATCATCGAATTGGATGCAGAGAAGATGGGAGACTACTTTAGTACGGAGCCGAATGTTACCAAGTTTGACTGTGTTTGGATTTCGGAGGCTATGAGCCATCTACCGAATAAAGAGTTGTTCTTCCGGAACGCAGCATTGTTACTGAATCCTGGAGGAAGGCTGGTTGTTGCGGATTGGTTCAAGGATGAAAACTTGACGGAAGCTCAGTTCAAGGCCGACATCTCTCCCATTGAAGGTGATATAGCCCAGCAAATTATTGCATATAGCCGTACTGACATCATCTAGATGGCATGCTTCTCCCACCTCTTTGCAGTCAGATGGATTACGTCCGCTTAGCAAACGGTGCAGGACTCAAGATGTTCGCGGAGCCATTCGACATCAGTAAACAAGTCTCAAAGACATGGTAAGTTCTTAACTATTTTTCAAAGTCTGCAATCTTAACAAGTCCGACAGGGACATCTCATGGGCCCTCATCCAGAATCCCGCACTTTGGGCCTTTGCAGTGGCACAGGGTAGAGATGGGCTTGCCTTCATGCAAGCGTTCAGGGCTATGAGACGGGGATTCGCAAATGGAACATTCCGATACGCTGTGATGGCATTTCAGAAATGAGATGGTGGCATGATACCAGATCTTGCGTCGCTGAGATCCGATGACATGCCGGCTGGCACGTGATGCACCTTGAGATTTCATCTTAGACTACCTAATGTCTCTACACTCAGCTTGTAGCACTTGATACATATCTCAATAGATCATAGAAATCTTATGGGAGTTTACGTGGTGCATTATATGGGACCTCTACCCCGTGGCACAAAGTATATTCCCGTTGATCCAGGGGAACAGAGCAGGGTCAACACAAGCAGACCAACCAAACCAAAACCCCTCCTCATATCAGTAAATGTTCAGAGCAGTATTTTGTGATGCAAGTCGAACTTCCTCTACTTGACATTAAAAATTGTACTAGCTACAGTCTGTCTTCCTCACCGTTCCACCCCTAGTGGGACGCCACCCTCTCCGCCACCTAAACAGACTGATTCCCTGAATACCCATACACAATCCCTATATTCTCATTCCTCACATCAAAAGCCCTTGTCTCCAAACTGCTATACGCATAAGTAACACACTTCCAATTCTCCGCCAGTAAACTATAATGAAGATTAAAATGTCCCCTGAAGTACCGCTACACGAGGAAGTCCGCATACGCCGCGATAGCAGCACTGTTATTCCCGGTGTCTGGAATGATGCTGGAAAGGCCTTGTGAACAAGCGGAGCCGGGGTTGATGGACAATCATGGACTGCTCCTTCACGCCCAGGCCGAGGAAGTATTGTGTTAGGTTTTTGAGCTCTTCAATCGAGCTCCCTTGAAGTTTCTTGATGTCGCAGGCTGGGATGGCGATACGGGATGTGCAGGTTGAAGTTGTGAGGGCTGTGGTAGTTTGGGTTCTGGTTTCTGTGACACTGAGGATGGAGATGTTAGCGTGACGGTCACGGACTGGTGATCGACTTAATTAATTGTCGATATGACATATTTGAGGATGCTTGGGTTGACTTGCCGGTGTTGCCATGATTGTGGATATGGTTACTGTTGTTGCGGTGAATTCGATGCAGCAGCATGCAGAAATGAATGACACGGTACCCAAGCATGGAGTTGTATAACCAGAAGCAGTGGCAACGGCTCCGCGCTTGTTCACGACAGGGTGCTCGAGTACTGTTATTGTGGCTGGATTGATGACAGCTGAAGTGTCTATTTAAGTTGAGAGTTCAGTGGCAGTAGTTGATTTTGCTGTCGTGACTGTCGCGAATACGACTCTATCATCTAGTCGTTAGCAGGGGTGTCAAATGCAAACGAAGTGTTAGGCAGCACCCAAGTAGCAATTGGGTCACTGTGACAGTCGAAGTATACGCTATGAAAGTGACACGATCAACTTTAGTCATAGCTGGATAAGATTTTTTGAGTAAAGAGTTCGTCAGAGTCAGGGCACGCAGACAGTTCCCAGCAACACATGCTCGCTTGTTGAGATCCGCTGGGGTGGCTGAGGTGACGCCGACGAGAGCCACAATGGCGAAGAAGCTCTTCATGATGGAAATGACAGTGTTAGGAAAGAAGGTTGAAGACGGTGATGGAAAGCTGGAATCACATTGATACAGAAGAAAGCGTAATATCTGAGGGTGGATTGACATTTTATTATATCTCCAACGCAGTGGATAGGAGTGAAGATCCTCAAAAGATATGTCTCAGAATAATTTGCAGCATGATGGAGAATTTATCAAACGGGAATCCTCGAGACTTCTTCCTGCAGCCTCGTTGTGAAGTTCATGCTATTAATACGATGTTCCTTGAATAATTTCTTGTCGCTTGGGAATCTCCTGTATGCCACCTTTGAAAAGCGCTCCGGCAGGCGTTAATGAAGAGCTGAGCCAGTTACTTAGGACTGTCCCGGTTGCACGTGGCCGAAAGTTCCTTCGTATCGAATCGTGCATTGACAAAAATTTGCCCTGTTCAATACTCAGTCCAAACCTCAGTACCTTCGTATGCTCTAAGCGGAACTGCACGGCTCGTGTGCTGATTTAGTAACATGTCAAGAGTCAGTATCTGAGTACAATATGCGCTTTAGAAATTTCAAGCAGATAAGGTCGGAAAATAATCAGCAAACTTGCTGTCCGACTCCAGGAGTCTCTTTAAACCAAGGCTGTTGGAACAGTAAACAAAGTTCCATCTTTGGAATTGGCGAGACGAAGCGAGTCAAAAGCACCTGCCCAATCAAACTTCGCTGCAGGGAACAAGCTTCGCCAGACGTATCCCAGGAGCAAGAGAAAATGAAAACAACATTCTGGTACAAACCAAGTTTAGACCCTGAGCTCGAGCCTCGGCGTTTCGGCTCACAATCAACCTCAGCTCTCACGTTCTCTGAGCGGCGTGCATACCCATGATTTATCCCCTTGATAGAGTAACCCCTCGATTGCCGTACCAAACCCACGGTTTACAGGGAGTGCATGACCTGTAGCGACACCCTGTAATTAAGCGAAGAACGCTGAAATCTGTCTGCTGCGTTGTCGTCTAGGTACCTTAGGCAGCCTCGGGCAGCCCTAGCGCCTCGCTTCAGCGCCGCCCTTCCCGTCTGACTGGTGTACAAGCGAGCCGTGTTTGAATTTCCAGCCTCCCTGTCCACCGTTTCAATATTTCTCGAGTCGATGAAGAAAGTCTCCTAACCTCATGGCGACCAATCTATTGGTTTGTCTGGAGTGCTTACCTTCACTTGGTAAAACCATGAGAAGACTCTTCCGACTTCACATTGGTAACTGTTCGCCCTCAACGTTTTTGATGCTCTCCATCGACGCTTGCTGGAGGACGTGGCCAGTGCTGTGTACGATCGTCGCTCCAAACACTCATGTTATTGTTCTATGGCTGTCAAGTCTGTGTAGCTTATTCTTCAGCATCTGCAAGCATAATTGGCACTCCATAAAGCTTGTAAACTCACCGAAATACGCGATATCCACTCATCATACACCAGGCTCTCCTCGCTGCCATGTCCTCCTTCTGTTTCTACACTATCCTTGCTCCAGCAGAATTTTTAAGCGGCCGTAGTTGTAAGTCACGTCCCAATTTTTTCGGCCTCAACCTTACGTTGATGAGTAACACATATATACCCTCACTATTCTGGACCGCACGATTTTGGAAACTGGCAATGGGCATCTTAACAATCGGGTTGATCAGGACGGATGCCGCATCGCTTGTGTAATCTACCCTGGCATGCAACACTCCCCCTTACAATAGCTGCCCGGTACCATTAAATGTCGGAAACCAAGGGAAAGATTGGAAACCTAGCAAGGTTGAACTCAGCTACCAATCACATCAATCGGGCAATGGGTTTGAAATATCGACAATCCGAGGACCGCCTACGATCCTTGACAGACTTAAACACCCTGCCTGGGTGGACGTCCCCCACGGACGGCCCGCACTTCCAATAGCCCAACACAAGCTTTAAGCTTCTTCCACAACGATGATAGCAAGCTTCAGGTACTCATTCCTAGGTCTCATCAAGGGAGATTACCTTTCTGTAATTATCACAATAGTAATAGCAAGCTGTCCTATGCTATTGAGATACCGCAAGAGCTTCATAGCAGTCGATATCCGTGGCACTAATTTCTACACCTCATCTTCCAATTATATGGCCGAGGTGAAAGTTTTCCCCACGATCTGGCAAAATCGCCATGATTTCAAGACCACGTGGCACCTAGTTGAAGCCAGACCCAAAGTCTATTCCACCACATCCTCCAGACACAAACTGTGACACTCAATATTCCCCACCCTCGAAATCATTTCGTTGGCATTGCCAAGCAGCAACGATGTTTACTTTTCCGTGTAACTCACTTACTCGCGTGCAGTGTCGCACAAACAAACTACCTACCGATACAACCACTACCACAGGCGAACCAGAATTGCTTGTTTCGACCAAGAATACGCATGCCAAGACCTCATTGTCAACATCACCGTCTATGATTAGGTCATAGATCAGTCGGATTATTTCCAGTATTAATAGACTTTATTAGTGCTGGAAAACTCTTGGTGTCCGGCAGATAGGTATTGAGAAAAAGTAAGGCCGCGGTGTTTGGGCAACCAGGAATGACAAGCCTGAGTGATCTGCGGGGAGACTGTATTGACTTTTGTAGATCGACGCGGGATGAGAAGTTTATTTTTCGGGTATAAATCCCCACAGACCGCTCTCCCCCCTCTCTTTGGATGACAGTGTCTTTGCTGCATTATTATTCCTCTTCATCGATCAAACATTGTGGCGCTGTCTGTCTTGAATGTACTCGTATCGTAGTACCTTGTGTTTATATATGCCACAATGGCAAAGCACCAAGATCCAGAGAAGTTCGCGACAGATGGTCAGCCCGGCTCGCCAGTCAAGGGAGACACGATCGTACATGAAACGAAGTCGGCGCCGGGGAGAAGCCTGTTCAACGGCACAATCAAGTTGACGACAAGCAAAGGGCGCAAGCAGGAAGTTGTGCTTATTCCTCAGCCAACAGTTGATCCAAGAGGTACGCAAGACGTCCTCATCCATCTTTCGACGGGATATTTAAAACCCCATCTCGTACCTTATCATCTGATTTGCGCGTGTTTGTCATGAAACCAGACTGGTCGTGCCTCCTGCCTACCCTCAAGCATGCAGCTCAACTCCTTGCGTTCCCCCATGTAGCCTGGATCGCACTCATGAATGGCGTGATTATTGGCTTCGACATCTCCATCATCATAACCTACGGGCCCATCCTCGTCGCACCGCCCTACAGCTGGCCGGAGGCGTCCGTCTCGCTCACGCAAGTCGGGCAATTCCCCGTAGCATTTATAGCAATTCCACTTTTAGGGTGGTTCGCGGATCGGTCAGTGGTGTGGATGGCGAAGAGGAATAAAGGCGTTCATGAGCCGGAGTTTCGGTTGTTGACCTTGGTTTTCCCCCTGGTACTGTGCATGATCCTGCTGATTGTGTATGGACTTGGAGCGCAGTATCCATTCAAGTATCATTGGATGGCGATTGTGTTCCCGCAAGATGTTATTCTGCTTGTGCTGTTTGCATTGAATACTGTTGGATTGACTTACCTACTTGACGCGCATCCGCAGCGGGCGGGGCCGATTTGTGTCGTTATTTGCGTTTGTAGAGGGTTGATAAGTTTTGGCGTGTCGAGGAATACGGTTACCTACGTGGATAACGTTGGCTATTTAAACTTATTTGGGATTTACACGGGCATGGTGGGTGTTTTTGCCTTGACGGGCGTGGCCATTTTTGTCTGGGGGAAGAAGTTGAGAATGTTCTGTGCGAGATGGGCGAATTGAACGGTGGGGAATGGGTTTGTGAGAGAATTGTGAAGATCGTCTTGCATTTCTAGTATTTTTTTGGTTTCAGGTGGAGATGAGGAACTTTGATCTAGTCATTTGCAAAGTAACTTTAAATGCAGTATGTTTCGTTTCATGTCTTTATAAAGGTAATGCACCTAGCGCTGCATGTCGTTCTCGCCTGAAGCCAGACTGGCTATGGCTCGTGGAGTGACCTCTTCAACTCTTCGAATAGATAAGTGCTGAGAATAGCTCAGAATCCTAGTTCTGAGGTATATAACCTTTGCCTGGCTACGTACGGAAGTAATCAAGGGCATATCAGCCCGTTCAATGGCATGTGATTAGGTATACGAATTAGCATGTCTCTTCAGCTTGAGCATTGGTAGAACTTCTGATCAATCACGGTTTCTCCCCGGTGCCAAGACTGTCAAGCGGCCGCTGCATAAAGTTTGTTGCACATCGCAGTTCCTCGAGCGACAAATTGTTGATATTCTTGCACTAGCGCGAACTACAAGCGAAAAGCTTCAATTTTTTCAATTCTTGTCGCGCTGCGAAGTCCAGGTCCAGCGAATAAATCCCCACAAAGCCAATAATTATAGCATGCATCAAAGCCGGACGTCAATAATGGGGCACAAGCGATGGCAAGACTGAGAAACAGAATGAACGGAGTAGACAGCAGGCAGGAAAGAGAATCAAGCAATTTCCGTCCCCACGAAGGTACATGGGCGCCCTTTTCACGTTGATGCAGGCTTGTCTTTCATTTATTATATTCTTATCACTTCGCAACACTATATTATCATATACTAAATATCCATACAGCTGTTGCACATGAATATACAAGCACCCGCCAGCGCCGTCCTATGCTTCGCTTCGTAACCTGACAACCCAAAATGGACACGATCTCCACTCTGCCCATTCGTCACAAAAGAGAATATAGCAGCCAAGTGCACTTCAAGGCCCCCCAAATCTTACAAGCAGCAGTGGCAAGGACATACAAAGATCCGGCCGTGTATCGTTCCTCGTACGTACATAACAACGTCATAATCAAATAATCAAACAAAAGAAAGGTAATTTGTAATGGTGAGAAGGAAATTACCACCGTGTAGTTGGTCGAGCTCTGACGGGCGATGGTCTGTCAAAACCCCAGTTCGACTTTCCACCACTCTGTTGGTATTTGCTGTTCTGGAAAGAGTTGCGGAAATCGTTTCCGAGAAGGTCAGAGACAGATTTGGTATCTTCGATCAAGTGGGCACGTGCCTGATAGGGGAGAATGTTGCGTGTCTTTACAGCTCTTTTCTTGGGAGGTGCGTTGACTTCGGAAGCTTTACGTTGGTCTTTGAGGATATCGCGTAGTTCTTTGTCGTCTGCTGTGATTTGAGCCTTTAAAAAGTTGATGTCGGTGTTCGAGGATAAGGTTTCCATCACCGGGATTCGAGGGGTGTATGGGATCGACGCCACATTCGGAGGATCGATGGGAATAATAGCTGGATCGAGGAAGGATGATGGCTTGGTGAGGAGAGTGGTGATATCGATAGATTCACCGTGTGGAATCTTCTCGTGGTTAGAGGGAGTGATGCAGTCCATGTCGACCTCTTTGCGAAGCACGTGGTCAATGTCAACAGCTGAGAAGTAGGCGCACGCTTGTGGCAGATCATTGATGCCGACCTGCTGAGAGAACATCGAGCGGGTCCAGATATTCGAGACTTGAAGTGCCATCGCAGCTCTATATTTGTCATTCTCACTTACGATGTACCGAATCTCGTCGTGAACAGTGATTGCAAGTCGTGCATTGATATTGAAACGGCGAATGAGGTAGTCCATCGAAATGATTATGAGGTGAAGGTAATCAACACCAGATGACTGAATGGCCCAGTTGATCCTCGATGTCATAAAACCCCCTTGGCTGACAAATCGACTCATCAAGGCTTCTGTGATACCGGCACCAAGTACTGGGGTACGAGGTCGCTCTTGCTCGGCGAATTCTTCAAGCTTGTTGAAAACAAAACTCTCGGTCCCTCCACGCCAAAATGGCTTCTTGTGGAGTACCTTTCGATTCGTCTTAGTCCCTTTCGTGGCTTTGTACAGATTGGAGGCAACTTTGGTCGTCTCAGATTCTGACAGTCCTGGATTAAACTGGCGAAGTAGTGTCGAAGCAAATTTGAGCCCTGCACCATAGATTCGCCCATAGTTGAAGACCTTCGCATCGTTTCGGGTAATGCCTAGAATGCCGGCTGTTCTTGAATGTAAATCGGTTCCAGCTGCTTTTGTGCCCTCAAGCGTCATAAAACCGACAGCATTTCCACCGTGCAGCTTGAACTGGGCATCACCGACCAGACTGGCTATCCATAATTCCTCGGAGTCAACGTCCGCGCCGACAAAGCAGTATCCTGGAGGTGCTCTGACCATGGATTTTAATTCAGAGCCTACTCTGTTCTTCTTGGCGTTGCTAGCAGTAAGCCACGTATTTTCAACAGCTCGCCTGGTGACTGTTCCCATCGGAATGACCTGGGGTAGAATGTACCCCGTCTCCAATTTTGATGCTCCCATATCAGTACCTTTCTGGACATCGCTCTCGTACACTACCATCTGAGACATTATTCTATCCCTTGCACTAATCCAGTACGAACAGGAAGCATTCATTTCTAGTGCCTCTTTCGCATACGCAAATTCAGATGAGAGAATGCCCTGCTCGAAATATGACATGTAGCTCTTCGCCATTGGGTTCGCACAACGTGCAGTAGGGCCATCTTTGTGAGGCAGTTTGAAGTATGTGGCGGATCTGTCGTCTCGTAATGCTACATCTTTCTCCTCGAACGCAGTACATTCTTGCATTTGTGTCTGGGTATATTTGTGGGCATCCGCCAGAGGCACTCTGAAAGTCCAGCCGTACTTATCTGACCAGACCAGAGGATTCCCATCCCATGCTAAGCGCAACAGCAGAGGGGCTATACGAGTTCGAACTGAGAGACCAATGGGTCCATCCGTTTTGGCGAACAGATCTTTGTACCATTTCGGCATTCCTGGCATCTTCTGACGAGCAGCCGGCCGAGGAGGGTCGTTCTTCTTTTTTCCCTTGACCATCTTGATCTCCTGTCCCGACCAGTCCAATTGTCGAAGCCATGGATCGTTCCTCCACTTTTCGATATCAGCCTTAATCTCGAGTGCTTTGTCCGTTAGTCCGACCAGCCTCTCCTGAACTGCGTCAGACAGCTTGTGATATGTCGCTTCCGCATTTTCGATGTAAGACTCCCACGACTTGTCAACGGGAAGAATGACGGAAGATAAGTGCCGTAGAGCAGCAAAGCTCACAGGATGTGGGCAAGTCTCCAGAAAGTTTTGGAACACGATCCTGTAAACCTTGTGCGTGACATCGACATCGGCAGCACAGTAATCTAGCAACTCGTCAAGTTTGCCCCTTACTCCTTCCCGGTCTAATTCTCCGAATGCGTCTCTTTGCGCCTTGTCGATAGAAATATCCAGATGGAATTTTGCCACATCCCGTAATGAATTGACTGAACTTCTCCCAACCCATAATTCTTCTTCCTCTTCTGTCAACGCTTTATTCCCCAGCAACGATGCCAATTCTGCGTTATCAGTTTCACCAGCAATCTTGTCTCTCAACTCCCGGTTCTTCCTATGCTTCATCCATGTCGGCCTTTGGCGAGAACACATCCCATTCACAGCCACATGTAATGACATAGTATCCAAGAAATTGTTCTTTGATTGCTTGATGTCGTATTCCTCCGCTATCCGGGCACGATCATAGCCAATATTATGTCCCACAATGATCCGAGGTTGTGTGGGATCTCCCAGAGGGATAAGGTGGCGATCGTTTTCTGATTCTCCCAGCAGCCATGGCGACAGCCACGCATACCAGTTTGTAGGACTAAGAGCACAAGCCATCACAGCGAATGAGCTTTCTTTCCACATCACTTCCGTATCAAAACACAACATGTCCTCTTGCGGCGCATCCACTGCCTCCGTTCTTCCATCCGGATAATATTTTGTCCAACCACTTCTCCGGACCCATTTCCTCGGCTTCGGTGGACCATTTGATCTCGAGAAATGTTTTGCCTTTGATAAAAATGGTTCTGCAGCATCCATACCAAGCTTGTAGAAGTGCTCATCGAGTGTGCTGCCTTGGAGCTCGGGAAGATCAAACGCAATCGGTGGCGGGTTTTCTGTGTTCTTTCCCAACAGCTCATGCCGTCGAAGGTGGTCCCTTGATAGCTCTACCAGTTCCTTTGGAGGAGGCGCAACGTTTTCCGGAAAGATTTGTGAGTAGACGTGGCTGCTGACTTGCTGGACCCCTATTTCATTGTACCGTGCGTTTGAGGATTCTGGAATATGTTAATAACAACAGTAAGAAGTCCTGGGATGCCGCGAAACGAACTCGAGAGAGACCCTGACTTCGTAGCAGCCTTCTCCTCCTGCTTGGCTGCCTCTGTCGCGTATGGACTGCATTGCGCCCCAATGCTCACTCTACCTCGGGAATGACGCGCCCGATGCTTTGCAAGCTTCACAAAGCTTGCAGCACGTAATGAAAGTAGCATGCTAGAGATGACGCAGTATTCTTAGAGCATGGCGATGGTGTTGGGGGTGCTTTTCCAACGGCCACGGTTGAATGCGGTAGCGTGAGGATATCGTGAGAGGGAGGGAGGGAGGCGGAGGCGGAGGCAGGAGGAAGGAGGCAGGAGGCTGCATAGAAATTTGGGAGTAAGGGCTAGCAGTGCAGTGCAGTACAGTGCAGCACAGGGCAGAGGGCAGAGGGCAGCCTGACATCCCTGGCCACCACGTCCGTCGTCCATCGTCCGTCCATAGGGTAAGTACTAGGTACTCGAGCAAGCGTAATCGATAAGGTCAGCACATCACCATGAGTGCCAGTAGTACCTAGGTATTGTAGTCCAGTGACTCGAGTGACCACTCCACTGCGCTGACCAGTCCAGTCAGCCAGTCCAGTCTCTCACCACCCACCTGGTATAAGTAGTCCTTCCTGGGCTGCTGCAAATTGCAATGCACAGTGGCTCGAGAGGGCCAGAGCCACACCAGTGACACCACACTGGGCAAGGCAAGGCAAGGCGCCGTGGTGCAGGCTGCAGCACGCTGTGCTGCCACTGCCACTGCCACTGCTGCCACTCGAGAGAGACCCCCCGGGGCGTCGGGGCGCCGGCGCGGGCACGGGCGGCAACACATCACATCACATCACATCACATCACATCACATCACATCCCATCACTTGTAGTTGATTGTCTTCTTCTCGTCGTCTTCCCGTCCTCTCTTCTTTCTGTCTTCGCCCAGTATATTGTATTGAGCTGAGCCCATGAGGGGAGTCCTGTGTGGCAACCACCAATAACCAGCAATCCCCACCAGTCGACACGACACGACACGACACGACACGGCCATGTCCTTCAACCCGTTTAGACGACATGCCGCCCTCGAGTCCGCGAATGAATCCCCCGCAGAAGGCAGTCCTGTACAGCACAGTTCACAACTAAACGAGCACCTGCACACTTCGGACTCCAATTCACCTTTTGTTCTCTTCGACTCGGACCAGGCAGAAGATGAGCCGTCTCCATGGAGCGCATCGTCATCAGGCAGCGGCTACGACTCCTTGACTCTCCCACCAATAAATCCCGACAACAACTTCCACGAACTTCCTTCGTTCAACAACTCCCAATATTTCGATGCCCTACCTCGCATACAGTCTCCCAGCTCGTTTCTTGCCAGTCGATCAAGAAACGCAGCAGGAGACGCAAACACAAACCTACGACCTCAGTCTCGAAATTCCCAAGAGAACCACCAAGAACCGCCACCCTCGAACCAACAGCAGCGACGTCCGCAGTGCCCCTTATCATCACAATACAGACTTGCAGGCTCCGAATCACCAGATCCCTTTGGGGAGCTAGATTTTATTGATTTGTCACCACCGCCTGGGGACATACCTTCACACTCTACAAGACAATCCTCCTTTGTCGACCTCACAGAATCTTCACCCGCAGCCATGTCCCCTGCCTCGAGGAAACGTAAGGCTCCATCGCCTGGAGTAGGAAGATCAAGCAAAGTTGCCAAAGGTGGCTCGTCAAGAACTGCTCACCCTACCTCAGCAGTAGGTACGAAGAAGGACGAGATGTCCGAAGTACCAACGATAGATTTGGTGGATGTTGAGGATAAGAAGGATTATGATGAACGGATGGCGAAGGAACAGGCAGAGATGATAAAGAGGCAGAACCAGGAAGCCGCGACTAAGTCGGTCAAATTGGCCGAGTTCCAGTGCATCATTTGCATGGATCAACCCACTGACCTTACTGTCACATATTGTGGTATGTACTTATCTCAATGGTGGGTGCGAACGGAGGCACTAACTTTCTAGGCCATCTATTCTGCTCCGAATGTCTTCACCAGGCTTTGCACGCTGGTGACAAGAAATGCTGCCCAGTGTGTAGATCCAATATAGCTGCCAGGAAAATTGGAGCAAAGCAGCCTAGGAACGGCACCTTTCCTCTCGAGATGAAGTTCATGACGGCGAAGAGAAAGGGAAAGCAGGCAGTCCGGAATTAGTCTGCGGACACGAGACAACATTTACACTGCAGGGATCATGGGGCACATTGGGAAAGGATTTTGAATGGATGTACAGGTATACCATCAGCTGGCGTCAGGGGCAAGGGCATAATCCCAATGTTAAGATTACATTGGTGGCGTTCATGGTGGACTTGAAGGATTTCATGGTCGAGGTAACGGTGGCACTCACAACTTGCATTTGCGTGATAGTCAACTTCATTTGAGCTAAGGGCAGCGGATGGGGCGATGGCGGCTTATATCACGGCTGTGGCCGTTGTCCCAACCCATTTCTTAAAAAGAACAGTGTATAACAGTGTATATTCATACATTCTACACAGTCATCGATGCATTCTCTTCAAAACACAAAATCCCAATATTTGAAAAACACAATATCATTTGCTAATCTTCCCTGATTACTTTGAGCAAATCTCTGATCACAGTCAGGCAATATATCTGAGTTTCATTGTATACACGACCACTACCCACTCAACGGGTTAGGAACCCCCAATGTATTCCTCCTACCAACTCCCTGCGCCCTCTTCGCACCCCCAATAATGGCATCCAACGCTTGTCCAAGAGCGGTCCCATCATAGATCATTCCACCACCTTCGCCTTCATTTTTCCTTCCATAAATCCTCACACATTCTATTCCCAGCCGTCCCAACTCCTCTTTCTCGACTCTCGGCGTCCCCTCTCCTTGCAAATGAATGACATGGCTCACATAATCCCTCCAGTTCTCCTTGCTGACTCTTCCCTTCCCATCTATCACTGCTGGCCATCTTCCTCCTGCATCAACCCAGCTTTTGCTTTGAACTCCAAGTAAAGAAGGAGACTGTCCCACCCCAGTCCCAGATCTAGTCTTAGAACTCGAACTCGCACTCGCACTCGAGCTAGAAGCACAAGCATCCGCAATCGCACCCACAAAATCTCTGGCTGTAAATTCCATTCCCACCGCCCTCGTCTCCCTATCCAAACTCCCATTCAAAATCAAGATCTTGTACTTCACGCCCGCTTTAATAATTCGTCCACCTACATCCCGCAACACCAGACACGGCACAATACTCGTCCACAGGCTCCCAATCGAGTACACCACTGTACTCGCCTCCTCGATACTGCTCAGCACTTTCGGGTTCGCGGCAGGTCGAATCTCTTGTCCGTAGGGATTGATGTACCAGATGCGGGAAATTCGGGAGGGCAGGTCTTCCGTGTGGGATTTGGCGAAGTTGATGTTTTGCGTGCGGAGGGTGGGGAGAGAACCAGGGAGGTTGGCATCTTCGGCTTCGCCGAGGTCGTGGTCTGTGAGGGAGAGAGCGCGGTTGGCAAGCGTTCTTGGACTCATTGATATGATGTCCTCCTCTTGTTGATTGGGCTGTGAAGGGATCTCGCTTGTATGAAGAGGATCGATCTCATTCTCATGCTCACTGCCAGCTTCGGAAGGCATAGGCGTCCCAATTCTCGTACCTCCCGGAACCGGTGTCGGGATAGGTGGAGGCGCCGACCGTGCAGACGGATGTGAAATTGCATTCTGGCCTGTGATCTGTGTGCCATCTTCTAGACCAGCTGAGATGTGATGGGAGAAATTGCTATTTATGGCGGGGATTACGTTAATATGTGAAGGAACGCCAGTGATGGCTCCCAGGAGGTAGATAGCGGATTCAAAACTGCCTGTGAACAGGCGGGCGCCTGTGATGAAGAGGTTTCCTACGGAGGCGGATTGGAAGTTGAAGGATGAGGTGGGTCGAAGACGTTTTACTATCTCGAGGTTGATGGTGTTGAAGAGAGAGCGGATGAGTCTGTGGTTGATTTAGCATCTATCTTGTGATAGGGTCTCAAACTTATCAAGCAATCAGGCTCGGAGCTTGTTCCTTCTGTGTACTTAAACGGAAGAATTGAAACGTGAAGTTGGTGTATTCTGACTCAGGAACTCACTCTCGCTTCTCAGAAGAGATGGAGGTCCAGAGTACATGTCTGGATTCAACTATATCGAGCCATTCTATTCGGGCGAGAGACGAATTTGGTGAGAGACGATGGTTGAATAGTGTCTTGATAGCTGTTATCTCTGGAGACGAAGGGTTCTCCGGGATAAGTCTGACCAGTCGACCTTGAGGTGGAGGTCAGTTGAGGCACGTGATGTTTAATCAAACTGGACGTCCGATTGAAAAGGATGTTATACAAGCTCCAAAACCAACACCGCAGGAGGCAAATGAAACGCCTTTGGAATTTCTTTCTCTCTCCACAGAATTGAAAATTCGAAACTCACTCCTCACATCGCCAATCCCCGGTCCACCGAATACTCGAATCAACTCGCTCGACGAACCCCCATTATCAGAAATAGGTATGATACTTCAAGTTCACCGCATCAGCACCATTCTCTACCACACTCGGTCTCATCTTGCCAAAGAAGGTGATAGCAAACTTACTAACTCAACGAGCATCCTTTATCTTCAGCTACTTTGCCGAATACATCGACTAGGTTATTCGCCGCCGATCCTCCGGAAAATATAACGATGTGACGTTTGCTCATGGTGCACAGGCGATTCCACTGCTCAGCTGGGCAGTTGGGCTGGGGGTATGGGTATTGTCTTGGTCGCTTTAAGTGCAAAGATGCAGAATCAGACGCCTTGAGGCATGCTGGAGATGCTGAGCTGCTTTTTGGCTATATATGGGTTGATGGTGACAAGAAATGCTTAGCTCGTCGGGGTTAAGCCGAGGAAATCTACGGGAAGTGTGTTATCTCCCCACTACTATATCAGTATAAAGGTTCCAGAGACATAAGAAGTCTCGACGATCAGCTGTGCTGTCTCAATAGGTAGAGTGGCAAGTAGTGCCTGGAGTCAGTTGGGGTTCTGCTTGTTTCAGACACGTGACGTATGACATTCCAACTGGGGTTAAGGTAAGGTACCTAATTAGGTACCTACCTATCTATACAAAGAACCTTGCTATCAATGTATTTCTGGCCGATGATTCTTCGAACCAGCAATCAAGATCAAAGTGAGCAAATTTGCTTCCTGTCGTTGCGCTGAAGTCTGAACACGGTGGTGAAAGCCTGCATCCTTGTGGCTGTCGTATTGCCTCGAATCTCGCCAAACACTCGCAGAAAGCCGTTGCCAAATTTCATGCTATGTCTCTCGCACCCACCTCATCGTTTCCGACAAGGACATTATAAGTGGGGAGGCCGGTTCCATGAAGGCAATATCGATGATGCAGTCTTAATGGAAGGCAGCGTCTGGGAGCAAAGTGGGCATGGTCTCAGTTCTGGTGATCCTGGGGTGATCTCGACTAATGAAATGTGTGCGAGTACGATGACTTTGTGCTGGCTGTGCTGAAATAAATCATCGCCAGAAAGTCGCCCTCATCACCACATATATAGTATACGTCAGCATTAACTTCACAGCTGAAGGTCTTGCTCTCGTTGGTGACGTGGGTCCGTCCAGAGCAGTCCGCACACTGGTCGCTCGAGACCGGAGAGCGTGGCGATGCTATCTTCTTCGACATCACGAGCCAAAACCTGCGGACGGGGAATACTCTGCGGACGAGAAAGTGGACGATGGCAAAACAAGAATCCTTACTACGAGAAGGGAGATGGGGGTCACAGATCATACTGATGCAGCGACCACGGCTATTTGCTAGTGGTGCGGATTGGCAGTCGGGCTATATTTTTTGCAGCGAATGAGGCAACTCGAAAGAAGCCGACCCAACAATCTCTTCAAAACAAACTGCCAAGACTTTGCAATCGCTGTATTGGATCAGATCTGTAACGCGAAACAGACAGCTTCGAAAACGGACAGAGAGGCATCTGCAAGGATTCTGTCGGCTTCTTGGCAGGAACTAACTTGGTTTCATCGAGAAATAGGACTCACAGCAGACTCACACATTCTTGTACGAGATTTCTTCGGGCGTCAAATCGGATTGAGAGCATAGCCATGTCAATGAACAAAGCAAAGCATCATGGTCAGCCTGTTCCGAAGCCTGTTTCTTACATGATCCACCTTTTCCTGCTACTATTGAACTCTTTCCTATCCTTGTTCCACAGTTATAACAAAACTCATACACCTATATCATACCCTGGATGTTTTGTACTACTATTCTCAAAGCTTACATTCACAGCGCTCCTCAACAAGGCAATCTGCTCCTCCGGAAGTCGGACTGTCCCTCAGAAGGTGCCAAAAACTCCTCAACCTCTTCATTGAACCCATCCCTACAAATCCAAAGCGCAGCAGGCAACGCAAAAACCAAACACTGTCCGCCAGAGATACCTGCTCGAAAACGTCAGCCAGCAGGAATACCGAGTTCTCCAATGTGTTCCGAAATTTTGACGCTCGCGTCACTGTCACTTAGCTGGCTATTTTGGGTGGTGAGCAACCACTAGGGATGTGTAATATGTGTACAGCCAGGTTGCTGCCCATATACCCTGAGATCCATATAGTACTATTGTAGATGGAATTTGTGCTTCTAAACATATTCTTCTGGCTCATGCTTGCTATCTGGAAATGCGAATGTAAACTTCCAGTGCCACACTTGACCACAGAATGCTCCTCCGGCCCCGGCATCGATACAATTCGAGCTCTCGAAATCACTGGTGCAATACATTTCTTCGCAGCCCATAACCTACACGAAAGTGACAAAAGATTGTCCAAACTCATGGAAGCAGGGCTCGTAGGAACTGTTCATCTAGATCTAGAATCTTTGGACAGTGCAAGAGTAGTTGTCGGCAAATCGAAGCAAGCAAAAACAAATTGAGTGTTGTGATAATGCGGGAGTGAGAGGGACACCGGAGGGAAAGATGAAAGATGGGTCTGAAGCGCTATTTGGAACTATTCAATTTGCTTACTTCTTAATTATTTAAGTGCTCAAAACGATGCTTCTCACGGTTTTTCATACCGGAATTCAACTCCCTCGATGTAATCCTCTCTTCGTAAGCTCAACGTGAAGCTGGTGTCGACTTCAACGACTTCAACATGTCAAGCGAGGATACAACACATATATTGCATATTCTCAACCCAAACCATTGTGAGTGAGATTGAAAGGTTAAACAGCGTTATATAGCGGCAAAGGTCTTCACGCCTGGAGTGTTGATCCAGGTGGAATTTCGACAGGATGGGAGAAGCCGAATATCAAAGATGTTTTTGTGACGCTTAAGACGGTATTGATTGAGAGAAAAAGTACTGATCCTGATGCAGAATGTTCAGCGAGGCGCTTCGACAAAGGAATTTGGAAAGGGAGGGTGGAAAGGGAAGAGTGGGAAGTAGGGCGTAGTGCGCGTGAGCCGGTAGAGCCAGGTTTTGAATTCTCGAATCAGGGCATGCTTTGGACGTTTTGTATGAGGTGGCTGCCAAGAAGTGCTGGGAGTATACGTGGATGATTGGGTTTAAGGAGGAAACCAAGGCTAAGGGGCTTTGAGATGGTTGCCCATGCTTGAAATGAAGTACATTCCTAGTTCTTACTTTCAGCTGGTCATCACATATTGTTTGCCCTCAAGCAGGTACTTTGCACTCAAAATCTCGTTATGACAATTTCTCTTAAGCCCCATACATCCTAGAACACTGTCGTACTCAATCATGCCCAACGCCCGATGTCCCCTTCCCCATTTTCCAATCCTAAGCCCAGCCAACACCAGATCAAATCTTCAAACTCCCCACATTCGCCACAATCCAATCGTAACTCGAGGATCTGAAATTGTCCGCAATAAGAAGTGCCCCTGTAGCATAAATTTGAATCAGCTGCTTGCCTGCGCTCCACTGGGGCCAATTTCGGTATGACGACCCCACATTCGGGTCCAGATTGTATACGAAGCTGAAGTAATATGAACGGATGGAGCTTGATGCATAGTTCGGGTAGATGCCGTAGAAGACTTGCAGGATGTCACTGCCATGGAATGTTCCTAGAACTGGAGTTCCATAGTTGTACGATGCGAGGTAAGACCACGAGGGCACGTTTGGATAAACGGATGCATGGGTGGCGAGAAATGTGCGGCGTGTGAGCGTGAACGTTAAATCACCAAGAATAGCCGCTAATCGTTTGTACTGCGGATATATGGCATTCAGGAACAGTGTTCCAAATGGCGACCCAGCAGACCAATCGTCCGGGTATGTTGATAGGAGCCCGTTGAGTTGAGTTGTGGTAGCATCTGGGAAGAAGTACTTGGACAAATAGGTGACGATTTGCGCGGTGGTGCTGATGTTGCCTTGGAAGAGGGCAAAAATAGTCCCCTCGTCCTCTTGGTCTCCAATGATAAAAGGCACGGGTGCATATCTACCAGAGGCGATCAAAACGTCCGGAGATGCGGTCAGGACCTTGCCATCAGGACGAGGAAGATACGATAAAGCCACTGAAGAATAACTCAAGAGTCCCGGAACAGAATTTGCTGCGTTCAAGAACTTTGTATAATCTAGTCCTCGTAGACAATCCAAAGACGAAGTTGCCGAAGAACAACCGGCTGTTTGAACGACTTTATCGTATACAGCTTGTCCCTTCGGGCAATCAACTGGAGCTGCTGGAACAAGACTGCCAGAGTTCATAATAGCTCCACGGAAAAGGGCTTTGCCTTTGTATTTATTGTTTCCGTCGTACAACGCCATTTGATCCAAAACTGAAATGGCACCAGCTGATTCGCCCCAAATCGTGACTTTGGAAGGGTCACCACCAAAAGCCGCAATATTATCGGCGACCCACTGGAGACCAAGTCTCTGATCGAGCAAGCCCAGATTGGATGATCCGTCCGCAAGGATCTCTTTCCCGGGCATGAAGCCGAATCCTCCAACTCGATAGTTTACAGCAACAAAGACGATAGGCTGCCCGTTCGCTACTGATTCTTTGATCAGCGACGTCCCATCGTACATGAGAGTGGACCCCAACTCGAATCCTCCACCGAAGATCCAGAAGAGTACTGGAAGCTTGGAGGAGGCCGTTGTTCCAACCGGCCGCTGGACATTGATTGTTAGACAATCTTCTCCAGCATTGGTAACGGTTTGGAAGAGAGGGGTTTCCAGCAGCAGGCCAAGAACGGCGGTAGGCAATGTTGAAGTGACATCATTACTGAAGAACATTTGAGGGCATGACTTAGGGATTCCTGTCGCGACGACAGTGCCGAGTGGAGCGGCGAGTGCTTGAGGAGGCTTCAGACGGAGAGGCCCGACCGGTGGTTGCGCAAACGGGATACCGTTGAAGGTCTCAACCGTGGTGCTAGAGGAACCGATAATTGTTGCTGAAGGGGAGGCGATGGCAACAGTTGGAGCTGCAGCTCGCTTTCCAGGAGGAGCAGCGAGAGTCGGAGGCAAAATGCCTAGAAGAATGAGAGTAAGCTTCATGATGGATGAAGGACGGTATGACCTCTGGTCAGATGGACACAGCTGCGACCTACTGATCAACCATTCAAGTGGCAGTATGGCATTATATAACTTATGTCCCGAAGGCCCAAGTCCCAGTCCTCATCCCATTAACATCGTGGAGCATTTTCCATTTCCATGTGGCTCCTCGGCCAAAGCTCGACCTTAAGCCAGCTGATCAGAGTCATATTTTTATCAGGTTCGAAGTCCGGCGCTCCGCTCTGCAATTGAGAGATGGGCACATGATTTGGGCCGATAATTTTGTGACCATCGAAGCTGCACACTTCATGGCCATTCAGGCCGAGTGTGATTGGTGGGGATTTAGCCAATATGCGCCTTTCCAGGACTGTGTTCGTGGAGTGCTTGGATTTAGCAATTCAGCACACCTCCACGGCCCTAAGCGGGACAAATGCCGAAGGAATGCTGGGATGAAGTGTTAGTCCTAACGGGGGAGCTTCCCATTGTAAACAAGGGCGAGAGGGACGATAGCTTCGGGGTTCATAATGTTTTGTCCAGCGGTGCGGGGTAACGGGAAGATAAGCTGTGTCAGTGCACAACATGAAGCTGTTCTGTGCTATCGTAGGGAATGTGCATCTCACTTTGAATGGCAATGCTTTCATGTGAAAGACATATATTCTCACCTTTAGGTACAATAGTGAGCGGCAATCAGAATAGACGGCGAACGAAGCGGCACACTTGAAGCGCTGCAGCGACTGGCTGTGGTGTAGAGTGGCGGGCTCGATCGAGTCAGGCCAGTATTTTGTTTGGCTTGTTCGAAGTAGAATGAATACTATGTGTGCGAAGATCCGCCATCTCCACTTGGTGCAGAAATAGAGGAGGAACAATCAAAGTCAATCTGAAAAAGAAAAGTGAAAGTGAGAGTGTGTACTGATGGTGTACTAGGATTCCCCATAGCGGGCCGGCGGGGTAGATGCAGAGCGCGGCGCCGCCCCCACCTCGGTACACCGACGCTGACCACAACCACAACCACAGTCATGGTCATGGTCATGGTCATGACCACGGACCATCAACCACATTGAGGTTTCCATTCCATAGTTGCTGGGCCGGAGCACGCACTCGGAACGGTTAGCATCAAGGGCAGCAAAGACATATCTTTCCTTTCCCCGTTAAAGAAGAAACCTGCCTTTTGCTCGCTGTCTTTTGCAAACCCTGGTTTAGTACTGACTCGCAACTCGCAATTTGGTGGAATACAAATGGAAGTCATGGCAACCAATTGCGGCTCCATGAACAGCAATTCCCGCAGGATATCACGACGCCTAATTCCAGCCCCATGAACTCCAAAATCCAAAATCTGTGCGTTACTCAACTATGCGTATGCAGCCCAGCCTGTAGTTTATTAATAATCACATGCAATCGAAACCCCAGATCGGGCGAGCACTTACCTGAGAAAAGCATGGCGAGATTCTTTTCATCTGTTGCTTGATTGATCAGATCGTTCACCGTTGCCGTCACACTCAGAGTCTTTGACAGCTTCTTGTTCACGACTGTTAGTGCTCGATCAGCCTCACCGGGCTCGTTGACAGTCTTCTTCTCATTCGGATTCCCAACGTCAGCTGCTAGTGCCGCGCTTTGGCCCTCTTGGATTTTCCCCATGCGAATCGGGTTGATTGACCAGCTGTAGAGGGGATCGTACCGTAGCACCTCGAGGATTGCCATGATAGTAGAGCTTTCTTTGCGAAGTGTCTCGAGTGTGAATTCGCAGCATCGGCGAAATACGCCTTCGGTTTTTGTGATGCCCATCCCGTCGACAATGTCTCGAGTGCACCGGAAAGGTATTATCTCCGGCACGGCGAGAACACGTCCCATCTCGAACGCGACACCTAGATCGATGTGCACAACCTCTCCAGTTCTTTGGTCTAGTAAGATATTGTGACCATGTCTATCGCCTAGACCAAGGACGTGTCCCAACATCGAGATGGCGGCAGTACTTCTTGTATATGCAAGCCTGCTCAGGAACCAGTCGTCAGGATTTGGAAATCTCTCCGTGAAAAAGTATCGCATGGCAGGATGGAACCTCTCTGCAACTTGACGATAGGTCTTGAGTCGGGTGTCGAAGGATTGTGTTTGTACATCGGAAATTGCCTTCCTACAGGCATTTGCCTTTAGATCTTTCGGGTGGTACTTTTCATGCGCTGGGATCAAGTATTCATGAAGAGGAATTGTGTTGGCGACAAATTCTAGCACTCCTGTCTCGTTGGTGAGAGGCAGGACACGATATGTCTTTATACTCAGATTTCGCTGGCGAGTAGATTTGTTTCTTTGCAAAAGGCCGCTCACTTGCTCAAACACTTGCTCCATGATAGCGTCCTGTCGAAGATCATCGTTGCCCCCTTTCACCTACAGACTGTAAGTTCGGTTTGAACATTAAAAGTAGAGAAGGACTTACGAGTTGCGTGAACTTGGCACCGTTACTTGAAACTGCAACGATAATCTTGGGGGCGCTAACGCCCGATGCGATCTTGATGACTGGATCCAAGCGAACTACTTTAGGCAATTTTGAGTAATCGCATAATGGGGACAGTGGTATTTGCATCGTAGAGGGGGGGAGTCCCAACTTTGCAAATTTATTGTTGAGGTTCGTTGCAGCTATCGAGTCCTTTACAGCAATACGTCGTCCAGATCTGTATTTCTGCTCGTTCATCTCACGAGCCAGCGCGCTGTAGAGCCTGTTGCAAGTTTGCAGCGAAGTCCATATCTGACTGACCGATTTCGATTTGTCAAGTTGTCTGGATATTTTGTTTGCTGCAGATCGTCTCGACACTGATGATTCATCTCTATGATTGATCTCACCAACCGCACCGGTATAAACTTGGTACATTCCATGGTATGGATGTTCGCTGCATATCCGCAAGACAAGGCCAAAGAGAAGGATCTGGAATTGTTCTTTCGTATCCTGGAGCCGAGAGGTGAGTTGGTTCATGAGGGGTGCAAACTTTCGGCTGGGCACCTGGCCTAAGTGCTTCGACACAGCTTCATTTGCGAGAGACTTCTCAGAATGCTCCATCCATAGCGCAGAGAAGCGCAGTGCATTGCTATCATATTCATCAAAGGCAGCCAAAGCAAGTAGATAGTTTTCGAGACACTGTCGAACGAACTCGTTTCTGGTTGACTGATGGCGAGTCAGCTCTTCCCGGTCAAGTTTGAGCCATGCCTCGTTCCTATTCAAGTTGCGTTTGAGATTGGTTTTGTCTCCAGTTGCACGTTTGTAGAGCTTCCGCAACTCTTCTACATCATTTTCCTTGTTCTTAGTGAGCTGCTCAAGTCTCTCCAGATCCTCAATGCTGTCTGGATCTTGGAGTTGCTGATCACAGAAAGTCGCGAACTGGTGAAAAACCTGCCCAGCAACGTGACCATCTGTTCGTCCATTGAGTTCCTCGAGAGCTGGACGGAGATATTCGTTGATCACTTTGTCGGCTCCTTGGAGTCGAGCAACGGATACACGATAGCCTGTCTTGGTCAACAAATCCGATCTCTCCACGACAATCGTCTGGTTTTTCAGCAATGGTCCATCGTCTAAAGCCTGGAGCATGCGGACAGATGAACCCATTTCACCTTGGTCCCACATGGCATTGGCAGCTTCCAACTGAATGGCCACTTCCGGATTCACGCCAACGTCATGGCAAGGCTTGATCAGGTCCATCATGGACGTAGCCAAAGACAAGGACTCTTGCAAAGCACCGTGAGCGCGGTTTATAGTCGAAGATAGAAGTGCAGTCTCAACCTCGACGATTCGAGTGTCGATTGGTTGAACATGCATGATTCTCTGTAAACGTGGCTCCTGACTCAAGGTACTCAGTGTCGTACCCCTACAGGACAAGATCTGACTGATATCGTCGAACCTAGTGCATGTCAGATTGGCAGCTTTTTAACAAGAGTTGGCCTGGCATACCTTCCTGTCTTCATCCAGATGGAACGACTCCTAAACCTCGATAATGTCTCCTCAAATTGTGGTGAGCCTCGCGAAGTAAGAACTTCATCCAGCTCCACTAAGGACGCTAGAGTCTGCAGGGAGCTGTGAAGAGTACTTGCACTGAGCTCTCCTTGCACCAGAGTCTTCATGGTACATTCTAAACCCTCATTCACAGCAGTCAGAACTGTTGCTTCACTGACCGCTGTGTGAACGGCCTGAAAAGCTTTGTATATCGTCACAGAGTCGTTGAGCCCGGTGCTTGGGACAGGAATATCCCATTGCTCAAGCTTTCGAGCTGTGCGAAACATTGAATCCAGTGCCGCAGAAGTCATTCCGACACTCTGCTGTGCCTGGAGCAGTGAAGACGAAAGACCGCTCAAATTGAGTACATCTAGAGCCTTTACTAATGATTGTACATCCTGGTTCGAGTCTGCCTTTCGCCGTCGGATATGACTGTCGTACTGGGCGCCTCGAAATGCCAGGCTTTTTGGTCCGTCCTTCTCATAGTCAAAACGTGCTAAGATAGCATTCAAGCTGGCATTCTGTTGGACACCATAGTACATGTCAGGATCGTCGATATTCTCAAAGATGCTGAGGAGAATCTCTTGGGGGATGTTGCCGAACTCATTGTCCCTTACTACTGATGATCTTCGGGACGCCCTCACAGGTAATGAACAATGTTCTTCCGCAAATAATATTGCTGTTTTGAACATACCACACTGGGTAGCAGCGATGGCAGCTTTAAGATAGTCAATCATAAGCCAATGTGACCGATCGGCTATGGATTTTTCCTGTGGTAGCGGCTGTGTACGAAGATATAGAATCGTGTTGAGCAGCATTCTCAGATTATTTTTCTTGATGGCCGCAGCACCATCAAACCACTGGACGAAAGCTTGAGATAAATCGTCCTTGAGAGCACGCTGATCTTGGAAATTCGTGGAAATGGCCAAATGAACAATGAACGGAAACGCCTGATCGGCAAATCCTGGTACATTTTGCAGAATTGGAACCAGAGAATGAAGCAGGGGCTCGTTGGGCAAAAATTGAGTAACCGCAATCGACAGATCTCGAAGCCAGTTAGCCTCAAAGATAGCCTCTGCTCTTAAAACCTGCGTCAAAGACATGATAACACCGGTGCCTTGCTCGATCTCGGACGGGGGTATATGATACGGAGCCCAGTTTGATGCTATAAGAAGCGACTCCGGCAAATGACTCTGGTAGCCAGCACCGTCAGATGTTGACATGATGACACGCAAAGCAGACTCTGCGAGTCCAGCATTCTGAGGTGATCTTGCCAGTGTCAATTCTCGCAGGAGACTGACAATGCAGGACCTTGATTCGCCGTCCTCATCTGCTGTTATCGATAATTCCTTTATTTGTGACAAGGTAGATTCCTGTAATAACTCTTCGTGTATGTGACCTGATGAAGCGAAAGCTCTTCCCAGCACTCGCGCGGCCCAAGAGAGATATGCTCTGTTTGCAGAGCCCCGGCAAGATTTCCAGACTACTGCAGCATACTGCTTTGACAGAGTATCGTCTCCAAGGATATCTGTACGGAACGACTGTGGGCTTTGAAAATCGGAGCTCAACAGCGATAAGGCAAGCTCTCGTGCAGGTCTTTCCAACAATACACCACCTCGTTGTTCATCCTTGAAAAGCTGGATCAAAAATCTGCCCTCAGCCGAATTCTTATCCGCATTCCCAAGTCCTTCTGATATAAACGCAGATTGAACCAGGTTCTGAAAACTAGGTCGCAATTGACTTTTAAGGACTGGAGAATCGTAGTCTTTGAGATACTGGCTGATCCACTTGTAGAAGTTCTGTGCTTTCGACTTCGTACTTTGGTGTTGGCTCTCCTGTGTAGTGCTAGCTTTTTGCGACTCAAATGCCGATCGCAAGGACCTGGACATGGACATCGCAAGTCCAGCAACAAATGTAGGTTTTTGGCGTAGGTCCACAGCGCCAGCGGTCATAAGATACATTGCGATGCCAATAGCATCGGCCGCACACTCCGGGTCATTGACAAATTGACGCATGCTGTGAAGAAACATTTCCAAAGGGTAACCCTGAGTTGCAGTATTTCCAGCCAAAGATATTAAGACTCGAATTTTTCTCAACACTGAACATGCGTGGAGAGAACCAAAGGCAGGGTGCATGCCATTGAGAAGCTTTCTTGCAATTGACACAACCAACGCGGGAGTGTACAAACCCTGGACTTCATGACCTGTCCGTCTGCATAAGTGCACTATCTCGGCGTGGAGATACCGAGCTTTGAAGTGTGGTTGCTGAGGAGCAGGCAACTCTGCTGAAGACATTCCTAAATTCTTGATCTGCCGCATGATGTTGCCAGCGTATGCGAGTGCTTCATCTTTCATGAAATATTTATTAACACTCTGTTCACTACTGATGATGTTGAACATGACAGCGATAATGTCCGCAAAATGGAGGTGTAGACACTCCCGAAACACATTGTCACCAATGTGCATTTTCACTCTCTTCTCACCACTGGTCCAAGGTTCACCATCGGCACGAGGAGTAGCCATGTCGTAGGGGACAGAATAGGCTACGATTTTGGTGAAGCAGTTTCGAATGAGGTCACCGTAACCAGTACCAAGTATCTCCGCTACTTCTTGTGCCTGTTCATCTTGTCCCCGCATAATCATCAACGCCGTAGCTTCTTCTTGGGCGTCTTTGACTAGATCTCGGAGGCTCGAAAATCCGAAAATTGCGAACGGGATGTCCTCGATCTTCTGTTTGTCTAACCAGGTATATAAAAGCTGTGGCGCAAACAAAGCGAATATATCTCGCGGTCCGTCAACATGAAGTGAAGAAGCAACTGTCCGTAGGCAAGTTGTTGCATGCTCAATGCAATTTGGCATTTTTCCAGGAGCCTCAAATATATAGTAAATGCATCGACGGAGTAAAGTTGACCATTGCGATGCCAATGTAGCAAGAACGAAAAGACGGAACGAAATACCTTCCGACCAATCTGGGTCCATTGGCAACTTTGTGAAGATATCCTCGAAGACGCTATCATGGTCCTTCAAAATGAATAAGTCAAAAATTTGCGAAACTTGGTTTCCAATATAAAACTTGACTACAACGTTACCTCCCTCTAGAATGCTGAAGAGATTTGAGCGTGGAGACGTAGATCTCTTCCATGAGACTCCGTAATCTGGGTTAGCTCGCATAAGGTAGAGGAGCAGCCGTACCATGCCTTTCTGCACTTCTGGTGAGACGACGTGTTTTGAAAGCACCTTGAGGAACCATCGGTACAACTGAGAAGCTGCTTCTGCGACACTACTGTCATCTTCCACGGACCACAGAGGACCTAGAGCCGTGAGAGCATCCAGGCAAGTGCCAAGAGCCACCTCGCATCGGTCATAATCATCGCTCTGCAGGATCTCCCCAACTCGCTCCAATAACCGGTAGGCATCTCCGTCGATAATAACTAGATCAGAAGCAAGGACTTTTTGAAGCAGCGGGCGAGTCAACAAGAAATGCTCATCGTTGAGCAAAACAAGATAGTCGATGAAAGAAGTCGGTACAAAACCTACAGAGTCCAAGGTCGTACCCATCGCAGCAATCAGCATCATATGTCCAGTCACTGTGAGGTGGAACGAGCCAGCCCATAGTTCCAGGGCAAGATCCCATCTCGGCAAGTCTTCTCGTTGGCTTCCAGCCTTCGGGTGCGGCTCTAGGATTCCAAAATCGACGTCGTCATCATCAATATCCATCGTATCCGCATCATGCTGGGAAGATGAGCTTCCAGTTGTAGCCTGGCGCCGCATCAGGATATCTGCTAGGACGCTGAAGAACCTCAAGAGATGTGGCGAATTTCTTGAAAAATCAGAAAGCTCACTGGATCCACAGCGGGGTAGATGGGGTTGGATTGATTGAAGTATGATCTCCATATGAAGTTGCGAGCCTTTCAAGTCTTTGGAGTCAGCCTCAGCAAGAAAGCTCGTAATTTCTTCAGTTATCCCCTCCAAATCTGTCTCAAGTTCTTGCATCTGAGGTATTTTGATCTCAGTAAAATATGTCATCAATAGAAGAACAGTGATACAGCTGGAGAGCAGACTCCGAAACATATCCGTAGATACCAACGCAGCCCGATCGGCGACATGTGACTTCCAGCTTTGTAAAACGTCTCGTGATTTAGGTTGTAGCAGCTCAAGTACAAGCTTTCTCACCGTTTGAAAGTGAGCGGTGCTGAGGAGATAGACTACGTCCTTGGAGTCCACATACTTTGGGCATGAGGGACAAAGTAAAGCTGTCGCATCGGTCACTTCTTCAGTCAGTAGTAAGAGATATCTGACTACTTCCTGGGTATTCAGATGGTGCTGCCATGCCTGTCCTAGGGGCCCGCAAGGTATCGCAGTATTCGCAGGAATACTCACGCGAGGCAAGCCAAGACAAGCCCGGATCAAGGCCATGACGTGATGAGGCTGTACCTGGGTGGACAAACGTGTGGCAAAATTGCCATCATCTAGTGTGCAGTCAGTATATTATGTAGTACAACTTGTTATCGATCGCACCTGGATTCCATCTTGCAAATAGCCATCGAGTGGCATGCTGGGCAGTAGAAAGACTCGCAGCTGGAACTTCTGTTACTCTAGCGTGCAAGATGTCGAGCATCAAGAAAATGCTCGAATCACAAAGTATGACTGGACCACTGATATCAGCAGATGTGACAATAGCATTGAGGTCCTCGCCGATTTCGTGGTATTGTACCAAGCCCCTGGCAATTATTGAGTGAAGTTCGAGTGCAGCAGCACGGCATGTAGCGGAGAATGTCAAATAGCGTATTCCAAGCTGCCAAACTTGAGCCCATTCGGAAGGATTGATCTTAGTTGCTGAAGGTTGTGCTGTACAACTTTGAAACTGTTAGGCCCTAATGCAAAACAGGAAGGACAAAAGAACAATATGTTTACCTCGAAATTGCTAATAGAGCCCAGGAGGTGATATTTCCACGCTTGTCGCCGGCACAATTGTGTAATTGCATCAGCAACTCGGACAAAACCGGATGGGACAGTTCAAAATCATGAAGTACGAATGGTAGCAATTGAAGCCCTGCTAATCTCGTGTTCTCGTCCCTGTCTGTCACGAGGTCGAGCAGACGATCTGTAGCGCGTATAACACACCGCCGTTTTGAAGGTCGTTTACTGCTATGCTCATCTCCGTTATCTTCAAATGTCGATGATTGCTGGCCTAGATTCAGAAGTCGCTCGATGATGCCAATGCCCCGGAGAATGGACCAGTTTCTTTCAGCCTTGACATTGTGCGGACGCAATTGGAAAGCGTAAAGACTAAAAGACATCCTACTGATACACTGTCCAAAGTCTGCCATTGCCACATCGCCAAGTTGTAACTGGTCGCGATCCGAACGTCGAGCATAATCCGATTTGAGTGCTTCGGAAAGCTCCTCCAATTTGGACAAAAGCTCGGAAGCATTGCCATCCAAGATCACACGCTCGATATGAAGATGGACGAGAAAGAAGAAGATTAACATCTCATCACGCACGGAATTCAGCATTTCATCCTTCGCTAAAGCTTTGCCTTGCCAGAAGCGGCAGATTACTGGGATGACATCTTGAGCTGTGGATTTGCAAAAGGCGGTTCGATCAGTCCGGGCAAATCTCAATACAAAATTCAACGTGGAAAAGGCTACTTGGTGCAGTTGACTTGCACTGCCGCCTGACGTCCTGAGGAATCTGGTGATACTTGCGCCAATCGCGGAATATCTTGTGGCCAGAGGAGCATTAGGAGCCGACACAAGTAAGTGCAGTGCCTGGAGAAGATCTTCGGCATTCTGTCTGGTCAAGAAACCTTCTCGATTATGACTGTTCTTGGTGGCGGAGCTAGACGGATGGCTCGACCCATGTCCAGAGTTGCTCCGGGACGACGTAGGCCCAGGGCGGCGTTCATGATCCTCAAGGTACGTGTTAATCCCGAAAAGGCAAAAGTCCACGGATGCTATCCACACTTCGCTCTTCAGGTGCTCCACATTAGCCTGGTGGTCGAAAAGTTTCGTCAAGGCTTTGAGATAGTGATGGGCAAGAGGTTCGTAATAACCACCGCCTGGTCTGGGAAGTGTCTGGATGATGTGCTCCAACACAGCTGCAACTGTCGCAGGACGTAGCTTTGGTGCCCCAGCGATTATCACAGTTCGCAGGACATCGCCGCATATCTCCAACCGAGAATCAGCTGTTCCTCGAGTGTTTTTCTTTGCAGCAAGAAAGACTTGTAACTCGGCCACAGCCATTTCGAAAGCAACTTCATATATCTTGTGAAAAGATTGGTCTGTGAGGACATCACTAAAGAAAGATTCAGTGGGTGGGAATATACGGTAATAGCATGAAGCTTACATATTTGCCTTGTGTTTCCTATCGAAGAAAGCCTTTAGATCTGCGACTCTTTAGAATAGTTGCACATGGCCATCCAAAATGTGGCGTACCTCTCATGCCTTCGCTTCGTGACTTCTGGGTGCTGGCACGACAGGCCTCTGGACAGGTTTAGCGATCCGCAAGATACTCGAGATGGCCCAGCAGAGCAAACGCACCTAGGGTACGGTCAAGGCGGATGTCGCCATCGCCGAAGGATTCGCCCATCTCGTATGAGCGCCCCAGCAACTGCACATCACCACTTTACGGCCAGAATACTGCAGCGGTACGTAGGGTGTATATGTGTGCAGGTATGCGGAGACTGTGGAGCTCGATTCCGTCGCTGGAAAGGCAGAATGGTGGCGAGAGGTCGTTGAAGATTTAGAGACTTCGCTGGTGCTGTGCTGAGAGATCAAATCCAGAAGCGCTTATTCTGTGAGAGAACAAAAACCCATCGTAGCTCGAGGCTTGGTTTGGGCGAAGGCGAGACAAGGCTGGAGAACGCGGCTGGCGGAAATAGGAAGACAGCAGAAGCCTCGAAGCTTTGAATTCGTTGGCGATTGACTGGGTCAAATGGGGTATGTTGCAGTATGCTATCAAGAGTCTGGTAACTCTGAGGTCCGGCGCATGTCCTGAGTCCGAGCTGGAACTGAAAGTTTTGGTGTTGATGTCAGCTCGGCTCGAGGGTGGAGCTACTCCTGTACCACCCCAAACGACGCGGTCGGGTCGGCGAGACGCGAGCTGGAGCTTCAAAATTCAAATCCCAGACTACAAATCCTTGGCATCCAAAACATCTCTGTGCATCGCGAGAACCTCATTTTCCCGCCACGCCACGCCAGCGACTGCAACTGTGCTGCCACGAAATCCAGTCGGGAGCATACAAGCTTAACCCCTAGGCTCGCTGCTGTCCTATGCTGCAGCCGCTGTCAACACACCTTCCCCTGCGCCCCCTGGCGCATCGACTTTGACCCATGGCAGATTCGAATAGCTTGGAAAGCCTCCAGGCGCTATATGCAGATCTGCTTGCTCTTTCACAGTCCCGGCTGTCCAGTATAGAACGCTTGGGGGCACAGCTTGATGCGCATATAAGGGATTTCAAGAATCTCCTTGACAAGAAGCCGCGAAGTGACCAGAGCCGCCAGAGCCTGGCTACAGGTATGATGTGCAAATCGTACATATCTGGACAGCAGATCGCTGACCCAATACAGGGAAGCTTGACGTAGCTGGTGACCAGTACACCATCAACGAAGATTTCCAGCAGGGCGCCTTGCAACTAGCCAACGAATTGAGCCTGGACGAGCTTGACGCTGCCCGCATATTCCTCGAAGTCCAAGACGAAACAGACTCATCGGGGCGGTCGGCCCTTACAAACTCCATAATTCGTTTTCACCAACGTCGAAAGACCGTTTTGGACTGCCTGCTGTTGATTTTACAGCAGTGTGCAGATGATGATCAAGATGAGGCTGTTCGGGAGGACATGCAGGCAGTTGTGGCACAAATTGTTCAGCCGAACAATGGTTCAGCCAGATACTCTCAGCGATGCCTTACCACTATGGAAGATATCACACTGGGACTCCAAGGGCTGGCGGAAAGCTTAAATCGTGCTTCTCTCTTGGGTCCGGCCCAACAGGAAGAGGCAAGAGACACCATCGAGTATCAGCGCGTTAGCCTCATCAAGCAGCATGAATCGATTGGTACTATTATGGTGTACCTGATTAAAGAAAACCATTCTGTCAGATCAGACTTCGATCGAGTATTGACTACCCTTCAGAAAGCTGACAAGTACGATAACATGCTGTGTAAGTGCAATATTTGTTCACTTTGTCTTCATCAGCTGTAATATTATCGCTGTCCATGAAATTCTAACAGTTCAACAGTACACTATATCCCTGCACTTGCAGCATTCATCTCTCGTTTTGGAGGTTCCGAGCCAGGCAGAGATCTTATGGATGCAAGAGCACTAAATGATAAAATCTTCTCCCGCGTTGATGATAATACTTCATGGTCATTGACACATGTCCATGCAACGGTTAAAGCACTTTGGCTTGCCGAGTATAGTGGCTGGTATGTCGAGCATTCTGATGGAAGCATTCCTGATGAACAGCTCGCAACCGGTAAGTGCATGCACTATCTTGCACAAGGTACAGTCTGTGTGCTAATGATGACTATCAAGAGGCGAGCCATCGATCTACGCAATTTTCCGAAGCCTTGAGGGATGGCGCTTTCGATTTCATCCTTTCCGTATCTGCGGATGTGAAGGCAGCAGAGTGGCAAGATCCAGCTCGTCATGGTCTCCGCCAATGGCTACAACGGAAGGTCCCTGTGATATTGAATGACAACATCTCGTTCTCGCAAGATTTCCAAAATGTGCAGATGGAGCAGCTTGAGGGATTTATTGAGGCTTTCATCACGAATCTCCCAGACGTGCTGAGAAAGCTGCGAACTGAGGAAGATGAGCAGCGACAGTCAAGCAAGGAGCACGAACATGATCTCGATCTTGAGAAATTCATAGTTATTATATCGTATGTCTTTGAAGGGCGCTCTAAAGCAGCATATGATGGATTCTGGGATGTTCCTGATGGAGCACTCCTGGGTTTTGTTCACTGGGCTTCGAAGCGAGCATCAACACCTCTGGTCAGTGCGTTTTGCGAAATGCTCCAGGCTATTTCTGAAGACGAAGATTGTGCGACGGCTGCTCATCAATTTTTGTTAGATGAGGGACCACAGTCCTCCGGGAAAATGAGGCGGACGCAATCTTTGACCTGGAACCAGATATTCAAAGAACTAACATTTTTCTCGTCCAAAATTCGCGACCGCCCGGCATTACCTCAACCCCAGAATTTCCGACCTGGCAAGCCTCATAGCGACCTCGCGGAAGCAGAGCCGGAGTCAGCTATGATGCTGGAATCTTATCTACGACTGATCACGCGACTTTGTTCAGAGAGCGAAGCTGCCAGGAACTTCTTGGCTCAGCATCCTTCCTTTCACATCACCGACCTCCTATTTCAGCTTGCTAGCAGCGCTATTCAACCTCGGTTGAGAGCATGTGCTTTCACGACACTGCAGTCACTCCTCAGTCATAAGACCAGAGAGGCTGGCGAATATATTTGGGCTTCTCTTGATGTCTGGATCACGGGTGGGTACTCCTCCGGAGCTACTGCTCCAAAAGCTTCTGCATCAGTAGCAACATCTACTGCATCAATGGGAGCTATACTCAGAGGGCTAGCGTCAGGTTTCGAAGAACCGAATGCATTTGTAGGGCTTCTTCATTCCCTTGTGCTTCCATACAAAGACGAGGCCGGGCTTCACGATGGATTACCTTTCCCAGAAAATCTAGGTATCTCGACTCGCCAGCCTGGCATCGACCCCTATATCGATTTCGCTCTCGGTGTAATCTTCGCTACGCAGCCTCAAGAACTCAACGAAATAGTTCAAGTGAGGCTGTTGCAACTTACCTGCCTGGACTTCATAGCAACTTGCCTGGACACGTTTAATGAGGACCTTGTCATATTCGCAAGCCAGACCAACGTGTCAGTTGATGCAGCTATTCAAGCCTCCAATCTCCTGAACTATGTCCTTCTTCATCCTTTCTCAAGAGTAATGGAGTGGATGTTCAACGAGAAGGTCATGGCTGCGATTTTTGCTGCAGTTCATCATGAAGCAGCAGATATCGCACGTGCTGCACCAGACTCACCACTGGTTCTGTGTTTGCTCCGAGGAATTCACGTCATCACGTCAATAATGAATCTACAGCCGACATACCTGGACATCATACGACCGTTGATGAAATCGCAGCCAAACTATCGACGTATCCCGGTTGCCAGTGCTGCTTTCAGCTGTTTTGAAGACGGCGTCCTCAACAATCTCACCATTTTTCCACACTTGGGACGCTACTGTGGGACAGGGCACGCAGAGCTTGTGATAGCATCATTGAAGCTTCTTGAAAAGCTGTCGGCCTCTCCAAAGCTTTCATTATCTCCGATCGTGGGATTTGGCAGAGGGTCTGATCGAAATAGGGCCCTCGCCGCACTCGATGACGATGCCGAAACAATATCGAAAATTCTTCTACGAGAGATGGAGGCAGATATTGACGTCAACCAGGGCTCGGAGTCACCTGCTTATATTGTTCAGATCCATATTCTGGATTTCTTGAGTTCGTGCCTTCGAGCAGCATCTGGCCAGCCAACTATTGCTCATCTATTACTCGGATTTCAGTGCGATTCCAGTGGACTTACCGTGGGAGCAGATTGTTCTTTCAGCCGGGGTATCTCCTTATTCCATACCATCTTGAACCTTGTTCTACAATCCCCTGTTGGTGACGAATCTGGTCCTGTATCCTGGCTCGTTGCCTTGGCTATGAAAGGTATGCAGGTACTCAAAGAGCTGTGGAGCTCACCCATCTCGACGAAATTGGTGATGTCGGAGATGAGGGCAAACGACACTTTATTTCTCATGTTTGTCAGAGAAGGAGTCATAGAGCCAGGCATGACCTGGAATGGATTAACACAATCCAATCCAGCTTTCACGTCCACAGCATCGGCGACCTGTTTCTCAAGTTATCTCTTCCGACGCGCCATCATACTGCAATACCTTTCGGCAGAACTCCGTCAAGTTGTGCAGAGTCATTCTCCTTCTTTAAGAGAGCGGATTTTTGAAACCCTCATGGGCTCTACGACAATTGATGATGGCCAAGTGATCGATCACGCCACAATCTTTGATCTGTTTGACTTCATGGATCCCGACTTCAACCGCAACCAGAATCCGCCACAATTCTCATGGTTCAGTGAAGCTGACCTATTTGCTTGTTTGGATGATACTGAGGATGTTTCATCTCCTTTCGATATCAGCAAAATGAATGAGCTTCTCGTGTTGAGGCGAGCCGAGCTTACCCGCACTGGGAGACTTGCCACCCCTCAAGATGCGACTATGGTAAATATTCAAGCTCAAGGTCTGCTCGATTTCTACGTGCAAGATAATGAGATCAAGAATATCGGTACAGCCAGATTGACTGTATTGAGGGCTTGGGTTCAGCTGACGCTTGTTATGATAGAGAGCGGTGAGTTAGAGGGCACAGCCAGGACATCTTTTGTCTTGCGAGCGCTGCAAACGATAATGCCGAGATTAGAAGGCGATCTCGAGGACATAGATGAGGCTATGGAGCTTGCCCGCCTTGCCAGATCGCTGGTTTTTGGACTGACTTTTACGTCTGACTCACTCAAGGCAGGAGATATGGGTAACCTGGTCAGCGATCGGCTTTTCCACCTATTCCAGGTGTCGCTCAGAGCCATCAGCACCCTTGGATCGAACATTACATTGAAGGAGTACTACTACAACATCTGCTTCCGGTATTTAGAAGGTATGTCAGGCGTGAATGGCATTTCCGGGATCCATAAAAGGCACAGCATTCAGACCATCAAATCAGCAGGAGAGCGGTTTATCGATTTTGTATGTGACGATGCGCATGGTGGGGACCAGACTTGTCGAATCTCAGCCTTACTCGTACTCGTAGCATTGGTCAAACTCGGTATAAATGAGAATTCCAAGTACATCATAGAATCTCTGCAGCGGCTGAACTTTATCGGCATTCTCGTCGAGTCCATACAAAACGTCACCACGGATTTACGAGACGTCAAGAGTCAAGGTAATGCTTCACAGAATGGTCTTGAGTGAGATTCATGCTAATTTTGTCAGATGTCGACATGAACCTTTCATATTGTCATGCTAAACTAGCGCTTCTATTGAGCATATCGCAGACCCGATTTGGAGCAGCAGCTGTGCTCAATGCCGGGTTGTTCTACTCGGTCCAAGCTTCTCATCTCTTCTCCATTGATCCTGATCTTGGCGTTGGTATGCCTCCACTTCAGCCCTCTCTCATGCTGTTTCCACTAACGAGCCTAGACATTGAAGGCCCAGGTGCTATAGACAAGCACTACAAGCTATTGGCAGCGGTGATGCGCATTCTATGTGCCGCTGTCCTGAGCCGGGGATCACAGAATCTACAGACTATTGATCAGGGGCGCAGATTCCTGTCTGACCATAGATTGACCATACTCTCTGTTCTGAAGAAGTCAGCTGGGCTGGGTGGTCCTGCAGGCTCCTCAGACCATAGCATCGATGAACTGGCAGAGTCATATATGCTGCTCATATCAGTTACTGACTTCCTTGATGTGAGTCCTCTGGCCTCCTCAAATATTATCTGCGGGTACTAATTTCGTACAGTTCGAGGATCAGACAACGCAGAAGAAGCAGACAATGAATGGATTCACTGTGTTTACTTGAAATCTCGTACGCCTCCTTAGGATCTACTATACCATAGATAGATAGGAATGCTGTTTGGTGTACTAAGACCCTTTGGGCATACCACAATTGGGGGAGGGAAGGGCAAGATCTGCAGATGAATGAAAAATGAATGGAGATGCATACAATAAGTTCACCCGAAGCAACATGTCTGTACATACCCAGCTGCAAGTTTGTTCAACACCGACCAGTGCCACGATGAACATTCGTGTCTCTGTTCCATTTATGCTTCGCTGAAACCAAGCCTCTCATGTTTCCAATTCTTTAGAACATGTCAGCCTGGCCGTGTTGAGATTGACACTTAGGTACCTCGGTAGGAGGTAGCTAAGGTAGTAGGTACCTAGTAGGTATTTGTGCCCATACTGGCATCACGTGTCTTGCATCTAGCCAACCCTTGTACGGCGATAAGATCTCCATATCGCCCATATCGCCATTCGACCCGTCAAGTTCGCGTCATCCTTGTTCACTTGCATCCTCCAACTTCACTTCACGCACAAATCCGTAGGTCCGTAGGACACAGCTTGCACTTTCACCAGTCTGCCCTCATTTCGAAAACGCGACTCCACGCAGCTCCGAGCCCAATTTTGACAGTCCTTGGTGCAGCTTTGTGCAGCTTCTTGAACTATCCGCAGCACCATCTGCAGCTTCCCGGTCCAGCACCTCCTCACCCGAGTCAAACCCCACGGCAAGCTCTCACAGAATCCAACGCCTTCATGTCTGGTGAAGGTTCATAACGTCCCATGCCGTCCCCGGAGCGATCTGTTGAAATCAGATCCAGTGCTACCGAACAGCCAAAGAGAAAGTACCCAGATCAACCACATTCTTGTCTGCCCCCATCTGAATACCAAACCAGCCGCTCCAGTGTCCAGCCCACTCTGCATTCTCCCAAGCGACTGAAGACCTCGCATACGGCTGGCAACCAAAGCCTGTCTTCGACGATGAGCAAGAGCGTAGGTCATGGATCAGGGCCCTTGAAAGTCATAGATTTGACGGGATTCAAGCCCCAGCAACAGATGCATTCGAACTTTCAACCAAATCTTGGGGCAAGAAAGCTTGTAGTCAAGAACTTGAAGACTGCTTCGCGGACGAAAGATACAGAGGCATACTATGCGCGGACCTGGAATGAGCTTGATGGAGCATTGACGTCGGTTTTCAATGGACGGACCACTGATGTGGCTCTGGAGATTTTGTACCGAGGCGTGGAATACATATGTCGGCGTAATAAGGCAGATGTCTTGTTTGAACAATTCAAAACTCGCTGCAAGACCTATCTGGAGAAAGATATGCTTCCCCAGCTCGAAAGCGAGATAGGGACAGGCAATGTAGATGCATTGAGGGCGATACACAAATACTGGAGAAGGTGGAATGAACAATCAGTAAGCTCAGTACCAAATGCTTTCCTTTTCGGATGCTTTCCTTTCCGGCTCATATGGCTAACATCTACCAGACACTACTTAGGGCTATATTCAGCTATCTCGATCGATCATATCTACTGAATTATAAGGACCTACCACAACTTCAAGATCTCAGTATTCAACAATTCCGCCATGCAGCATTTACAAAAGCCAAAGCCAAAGATGGGAGGCGATTGGGTGAGAAAGCAATAGCAGGAATGTGCGATCTGGTCAAGAATGACCGAGAGAGGCAGGCCGAGCTATTTGATGGAGAGCTCCTCAAGGACTCTATCCTAATGCTGCATATTTTTGGGATATATGCCAAGTCCTTTGAGCCGGAAATACTCGCACGAAGCAATGTATATTTCGAGGACTTTGCAGAGGAGCGAGCCACCTCCTCCATGCAGGATTACATCTCTTCCTGCGACAACCTGTTGAATCGGGAAGCTAATCGTTGTGACATGTTCAACTTCGACAGCACGACGAAACGAAGTCTCCACGATTCTGCACATCACATACTTATTGAAAGCCGCTCCAATATTTTGGTCGACAAAAAGGGTCTCTCTGAGCTGATTGAGAACAACTCAACGTCATCCTTGAAGATGCTGTACAATCGATTGAGCCTCTCGAAGATTCAGTCAAGCTTGATACAACCATTCGAGGCCTATATCAAGGAGGTTGGATCTGTGATCGTTACAGACTTGGAGAAGGTTGACCAGATGGTTGTCCGTCTTCTCGAGCTGAAACGCACTCTGGACGTAGTTATTCGTGATGCTTTCGACAAAGATGAAACATTTACTTTCGCTCTACGAGATGCCTTTGGCAATTTCATAAATGATAGAAAAAACACCGCAGTATCCGGGACCTCGAAGACTGGTGAGATGATCGCCAAATATATGGACCAGCTGCTTCGGGGGGGGTTGAAGGCTGTACCACGATCTCTAACGTCGGATGCCAAGGATAGAGACGACGCAGAAAAGCAAGGTCTTGCAAGCACAGGCGATGAAGATGCTGAGCTTGATCGGCAGCTTGAGCAGGCCTTGGAGCTCTTCCGATTCATTGAAGGAAAAGATGTCTTCGAGGCATTCTACAAGAAGGATCTTGCCCGTCGCTTGTTGATGTCCCGTAGTGCCAGTCAAGACGCTGAGCGGAATATGCTAGCGAAGCTGAAAATTGAGTGTGGATCCAGCTTCACTCATAACTTGGAGCAGATGTTCAAAGACCAAGAGATTGCCCGAGATGAGATGGCCGCGTACAAGGAAGCAGAAATCAGAAGTAGCGGGTCTGTCGACCTCCAGGTCACAGTGCTGTCCGCTGCATCCTGGCCAAGTTATCCGGATATCGAAGTCAATCTCCCTAAAGAGGTTGTAAAACATATCGAAAAGTACGACCGTCATTACGTGAACAAGCACAGTGGACGTCGCTTGATCTGGAAGCCAGCTTTAGCTCACAGCGTATTGAAAGCCAACTTTAAGAAGGGATCCAAGGAGCTTCTTGTTTCCGCCTTCCAAGCTATTGTGCTTCTTCTGTTTAATGGTTTAGAGACAGGTGAAGGGGATGAGAATCTCTCGTACACGGATATTCAATCAGCTACCAATCTCATCGACGCTGAGCTCAAACGAACACTTCAGTCTCTCGCATGTGGCAAATTCCGCATTCTCACGAAACATCCCAAGGGCCGTGATGTCAACCCCACAGATACTTTCACAGTAAATGCGAGCTTTGGAGACCCGAAGTACAGGATCAAGATCAACCAGATCCAATTGAAGGAGACTCCTGAGGAGAACAAGGACACTCATGAGAGAGTCCAGAAGGACCGGCAGTATGAAACCCAAGCGGCGATTGTCCGTATCATGAAGAGTCGCAAGTCGCTTGCACATCCTCAGCTTGTTGCCGAAGTTATTGAGCAGACGAAGAAGAGGGGTGCGGTGGAGGTGACAGAGATTAAGGAACAGATTGATAGTAAGTTTCCTGCCTTCCAGCGACATTGTGCTAATGACATGCAGAATTACTGGACAAGGATTACCTCGAGCGTGATGACGAGACCAACCTGTATGTATACGTCGCATAGACAGGAATAGATGGGCTGGAGACGAAAGAGCTAGGTAAATGAATACATCTCCGCTACTACTTGCGGTTGAAATGCTAATGATGATTACGTCTGCATTGTTTGGCAGTTAACGATGTTCATCAGATGTATGAAATAATCCAATATTGATTCGAGAGATCGAATTGTTTCATTTCCTTGTTGCCATTTTGCATCTTTTCGAAACTTTGAGCTCACTCAAAATCCTCTCCGGTATAACTGTGTGGCATAAAGTTGGTAGCACATATTTCATTCTCCAGGTTCTTCAAAGTCATTGAAATGGCCCTCGGATTGCAAAAACGTAGAATAGGCCTTCAGGTGAAAATCTACCTCACATCTAGGAAGCCACGCCGTCCAGCCAATCCATGAATCCTTCTCCTCATTCAGCCTCACTGCAATCAGAATTCCTCTTCAATAGCATCTTTTTCTTGTCTGGTAGCTTTTCGGCCATGCTTTTCTTATGATATGTCGTCATGAAATAGCGAGGCAGATGATTAAATAAATGCATTGCCGCAGAACCACGCCAGAGGGCTTGTATGATGCAGACACTCTGCTTATTCCCCTGTACTATTGGATCCACGAATTGTCCTGGCGGATACGAAAGCTGCAAACCCTTGCCTCACGTCGAAGAAACCTGCCCATTGGAAGCTGACTGGAGCCGCTGACTCTCCGTGAGTGGCCTCGTCGGGACTGGACTTTCCAGTCTTCCTCCCAGACAGGATTTTCAACAGGTACGAAAAGCTATTGCCATCTCTGTGAATCGATTGAGCTTACTGTCACTTCTCGCGGATCTAGTGCCAGCTACGAGAAAGGTGAAAGCGCAGCTGCGTAGCCAAGAATATACTCATTACGAACAATCAAGGCCCAATAATGATACGGAAACCATCCTGCCCCATAAGAATCCTCACCTAGGACTGTTCTTTGTAACCAGTGTTCTAGTGAGTTGGCAACAGCTTGTTCTTGAGGTCTGCGGTAGTAATGCAGGAGACTCTGAGACTTCGCTGGCCTCACCACCCTCATTTAGATTGACAGCTTGCTCGGTTTAGGCTTCTATAACTGTATTGTGCTATTCTTTTAGTATTATTGTGATTCTGGAGATCCTTTTCAATGGGTATGCCGCCTCCTGGAAAACAATATGCCATCCATGCTTTCAAATCGCAATGGCCCTCCTCCACATCGAATTTCGATGTCGGTATCTCATTGCAACTCCTCACTTTCTGCCATCATGTACGATCCATCTTATCTCTTCTGTACTTACTAAATAGCATGGCATGCCTGTAGTGTGCTCTAAAAAGCACTGGCTGGACGTCACTTGATTCGTTCTACATTCCCAACGCTGAAAGGGTCTCATCCAGCTTCCTCTTGACACAATCTACCTTAGTGCCTTACGAATACATATATACATCTCAAATAGATACAAAAGTCTTATTAAGATATAAGAGAGGTTGTGTGGACCGGAATAGGGCTGCTAGCAGAACGCCGTGGGCGGAAGGAATGACGAGAAATTGTCAACGGATTCGGGGAAACTGGAACGAAAACCATTCTTCTCTGGTCTGGAGCAGGGGGTTTATCAAGAACTGAATCTTAATTTTATTGGAAGCACAGGCCAGTGCGATGTCTTTGATGCTGCGCTGTGTCTCTTTTCATGAATCAGAGCCTGAGCTGCATCGCTACTCTCCAACGCAGTCTAGAAGGTCTGAAGTCTAAGAACATACCGTGTTGCAGTCAGAGGAAGTGTTAGTTCATGCCAAATTGCAAATCTTGAAGCGTTTTTGAGTCCATGGTTTGCGTTCTGGATTTCACTTGGTGCGGTGATGATGCGGTGTGGGAATATGTTTGAGAGTTTCGTGAAAAGGAAGGGGAGCATCATTTGGCTGAGAATTTCGAGTCGTACCAAGCTTACCCCTGGAACCGCCCTGATAATAGAACTTCGAACTACAACGCAGGCTTGAACCAAAGTTCACTACGTAGTTAATGTCTTCACTATTATCACGCCTGCCTGCTTTTTGAGCTGCGTGTTGATAATTCCCCAGCGGCCGTCAGCTGATAGGCTGCACGAAGCGAGATCGTGTTTTCGGCTCAAAGGCCAATCACAGCTGCGTTGGAAATCTGGTAAGACGAAGACAACAGTCATTTGGGCAGTCTTCCTATCACAGCATATTCATTCCTCAGCATATTCATGCCTCAGCATATTCATTCCTCAGTATATTCATTCCTCAGCATACTCATTCCTCAGCATACTCATTCCTATCTGCCAGTCCAATACGCATCGAATAGCCCCTATGGTTTTACAACATCTAAATACCTCAAGCGCAGCATCAGATCTAGCATCGTACCAGCTTCCACAGTTCCCCAGGTACAAGAAGAGCAAAAATATATCATCGTTTACCATTATGTTTGCACGGTTTCTTCTTCGTGTTCGCAGTGGCAACTAGACGCTGATTTCGGAGTTTTGCTGCCAAATCCTTGGTTTTCCTCCGCATGGCGTTCGTCCGATCGACGAACGCGCCGCTCTATGACAGATTAGTATGTAACGACAATATCAAGTAGGCGTGATGCATATATTACCACTGGGGGAAATATCCATGCAGTTGATGGGTTCTATTGTATGGTGGCCCGAGCTTATCAAAAGAAACTCCTGGAAGAAAGCTTCGAGAAGAGTTGGGACGTCACCTACGCATATGACACACAGCAGAGCTGGGATTAATGTACCCAGCACTGTGAGGATGAAAGGGAGCGGACGTTGAGAGCCTCTATTTCTGTATACGGTCTGATTTACGGTCATATTCGGACTTTTGAAGAAGAACTCGGACACCATCTCTGGAAGAGGTAGATCATTTGTCGCAGGACTCGACATATTGATGGGGCTCCTATAATCCTCGATGTCGCAGATTGCGGCTGCTTGATTGGGATCAGAGCACCGTCTCAAGGCATCTGCTTGTCGTGCAGGACTTGAGGAATTGAAGTATGCCTTAACATAACCGACCAACAGAACCGCGGGCTCAAGCGGTGGACCTCCTGACCAGCCTGCATCTCCATTGGACCACTGTGTGAGAATCAAGTGTCCAGGTTGAGGTGATACAGTACTATTCATAACTCCAATGACTTGCCCATCACCGAAGAATAGGATCTGGTCTGGAAGGTAATCGATTCGATATTCGTGAAATCCAGTGGTAGGATTGAAAGGCAGAGATGAAACCTTGTAGTCTTTTCCGATGACGCTGAAACCTTGTGATGCAGACTGAGGAGACTGATGGACGAGATTGATTAGGAAACTATTGTTGTTTCGGTTGAATTGGCTTGAAAGTAGCTCCATGTCAATCTCCTGGGAATCATTGAAATACTAAAAAATATTAGTACATGTGTGAGTTTTAGATGGGCCGACGAGCCATGATGGACGAACGGAAGGACTTCAAGGAATATCTTACCCAGAAGAAGGCACTGCAGGTCCCAGACACAGATGGGAGCTTGAGCAGGGCTCTGTAACTGCCCCATAACATATCCTCGCGGGCCGTGTTGAGCTGAGCGCAACGTACAAACCCATCTACTGTTGCGCTTGCGCTAACTGTGAGTCGTAGGCCTGGGTCTCCTCCCAGCTCTCCGGGGCCAGTCCAGTTCATTGGATCGTTGATATGATTCAGCTTGACATTGTCGGAAACGAATTGCATACTAGGTAGAAGTTGAGAGAGATCAGTTTCTAGTACACGCGCGCGAAATATTTCAAGATGCACAGATCGCACCAAAGCAAAGTGTCTGAACTGGTGCACTAGAATCGACAGATGACTTGACTGAGATTTCGATCAGGAGAAGGAACTTTTGCCACTCACCCAAATGGACCACGGGCAGATTGAGCAGTGACGGTGTAGTTTTGACGTTGCCAATCCGTGTCCTTTGCAATGTCATCCAGGTGCAAAAAGTCGGTCTCCAGAAGATCAGTCCAGACGTATGGGGTGGTAGTGGCCAGATTGACGGCGCCAAGATGGCTGTCGATATCACCTGCGGATACAATCAGAGTGTTAGCGATCGAAGTGGAGTGTAAGATAACGGGAATCTGGACTTAACTACCACGAGAAAATCCAGCAGACAGAGTGACCGCCTTAGAGTTCTCGATGGTTAAGGTTGAGTTGATGAGAGACCGATAGCCGCATTGGCAGAAAGCGCCAACGTCACTGACCGAGGACGCCAGGAATACACCTAGACCCATGAATAGAGTGTTTAAAAACAGCATCTTGGGGTATGGAGGCAGCTGTTACTGCGCGAGGCGGCGGGAAAGGGACGTGGATGGGGACGGGGATGGGACGGCGACGACTAGGGAGAGACAGAGACAGACGGGACTTTGTTGTGCTGCATGAGAGATTCGAGGCTGGACGTCGGACGAGGCGAGAAGTCGTTCCAGTTACCAAGAGTAGCAGTGGAGACCATGCACTAGGTAGGGTTGGAGTTTGGGATTGGGATTGGGATTGGGATTGGGTCTGGGTTGTAACTTGTAAGGTACCTTTCCTTGTGCCTAAGGTTGGCTGGGGTAGGAGCGATCTTTCCATTGTTTACCTTACGTTCCAATACCTAACTTACCTACGAGAACCTTGACGCTGTGGGACGGACGGGACGGGATGGTAGGGAAGGCATGAGGTACCTTAGGACGACAACCAGCTTCTAAGGTAAGGAACTAGAAAAGAAACATGAAACATCCAGCCTTGAATTTGCTAGCTGCCAGGAAGGTGCCTCGGACTCCGTCTATCCATGCCATGGCGCATGTGGACGGACGCTCCTAACTCCGATGTTTATCTTGCCAGATATATTATCGACCCAACAGTCTTAGGTTTGATCCTTGTATCAAACGTTGTCAAAGTCAAGTTCTGCGCACATCGCACACAAGATGTTATCGTCTAACTGCCTTTGCTCTGAGTCTCTGATGCGACGCATGAGGTGAAGCAGGGAGGTGGAGACTGGCTGGGTAGTTTTGTTGGTCATTGCGATTTGCATGCTCTCTTTCTGGTCATTTTAGAGGCCATAGCTGGATACACGTAGTATTAACGGGAATTGTAGGTACTGGTCAAGAGGTAAGTGACTCGGTCGGTCGGGTTCACCAGATCAAATATCATCTACCTCTTCTTTTTTTACCTCGCACGTATGGCCTTGGCCTCAATAGTTTTGAACCATCGAAGCTGATTCGGTTGATGGAATGAAATAAATCCGGCTGGACGGGTACCTCTTTGAGGCTGTCTTCTCGATATCGAGAACAGCGTTGGGCGGACTACTGATGGAGCCTCATACGAGGGCTACAGTCCAGTTTGGTGAGAGGAAGAGAGCATCAGCTAGCCAAGCATCAGAAATCCCTACCTTTTAAGGAGTTTCAAAGTACCAATCTAATCGAATTGAGACTCTAGCTATGGCGATTTGATGACAAAACGCTGAAATGTACACAAGATATTTACGTCCATGGCCACCACTTGGTGGCGAGCCTGAAGCGGGTTCGCTTGCAGTACATACCTTGCAATTGCCTCCATCTTGTGTAAAGCATTATACATATTTCAGAGATGCTCCAGGACGCTCCATATCACTAATTGAGGGCTCATTAGTTCAAATCTTCATCCTACTGCCACTTGCTTATTTAAAGATCACACACAAGCTCTGTTGACTCATCCACTTTGGTTACATAATCACTGTTGACCTTGCCGAAAACATTTTCCCAAGTTCAACCTGCATCGTTCACAAGTCACAAATACAGTAATCTTCAGATGTCATTCTTCAACGTCTTCACAAAATCCACGCGCAGCGGCGATGCATGGTTCTCCGCTGGCCCAAGTACCTCGTACCCCAATATCACAGAATCTGGCAGCACAACGCTGTCAGATCGACTCCTCTGCCAAGACACCGTCGCTCCTGGGTGCAGAGTTTTCTACGTGCCAAGCGATGATAGCTCACAAGCTTCTGAAATAGATCGAGCAGGTTCCACAGGTGTCCCCGCGGATTTGACAGATCAGGTTGTGGTGTTCCAATATCAGGGCGACTTCCATGCAGTGGATCACGTGAGTCTGTGTCTTTCAGCGATGTCGAGACCACGATTGATATAGTTCTAGAGCTGCCCTCATTCATCTTATCCACTTTCAAAGGGTACCCTGTTTGATATCGAAGATTTTGGTGTTCGGCTGAGTGCGGGGATCCGATGTCCGAAGCACGACTGGTCTTTCGATCTGGTACGGGGAAATGGAGATCGAGGAAACTACCGACTAAAGATTTGGGAGGTGCAGTTGCGGCCTATTGTTGGAGGTTGCGATGAAGCAGGTAGGAATGGCGAGGTCAAAGAAGTCTGGGTCAGGAGGAAACAACGGATGGGATGAGTCTTAAAAAAAATTGAGACGATCACAAGGGGCATGTATTGTTGACGAGCGACATGAAAAGGTGGGGTTAGGGGTTCTGTGGGGATAATACCGCGGCGAATTTCAGAGGTAGTCGCAGGGTTTGATAATCATTCAAAAGATTAAGCTGCAGTCTTGTAAGATAGGTATGTCATTTTCCCCTGAACACCACATCTGTCTGAGATAGGGTCCGATTCGCAACAGTTTGCCAAGAAGGACCCAACGTCGAATCATCATATAGAGTCATCTCGCACAATGCCGTACTCACATAATACCTTATGTGATAGAGATGCTGTAGGTTGGGGAAAGAGGAGTGACCTCGAGAATAGCAGGACCTGTTCAGAAGTTAGCAATGTACATGGGCAATCTGGAAGCGCCGACGGACCAGCAACAATATTGGAATCGGTCAGATTGCCAGAGTTATCCTTCATCAAGGAAAACGTAACGTTGCCCCTCAACCATCATTGGAACTGCGACCATGAACATGCCCTGGGACATTGACTGGGATGTCACAGCGGCGACATTCAACCCGCTGGCAAAGGTAGCAAAGACTTCTCCTGTGATAGGGTCCTTAGGCTGAATATCGATATGAACACCTTGAGCCGTTGGGAGACCTGAAATAAGAGTGAGGCGTGGGTATGCCATGACTGGAAGGGGCATGTTGGTCTCTGGGCATGAATTTATGAATCCAGATGCGACACTAAGTAAAATTTAGGATGTGGTTATGACCGAAACTTATCGAAACAAACTAATAAACGGCATTGAAGCCAAGTGGAGTGCCAAAGACGTCTGCGGATAGTGTCTCCCCAACCTAATTGAGAGCTAGCGGCCATCACATGTTTTCGAGAGTGCTAAGAAGAAATATCTCACGGCAGATCGTTGTTGAGATTCTGTTTGCAAAGAGTCAATGAGAGAAGACGTTCAAGACTACAACAGTTGACGGAACGACTCACGATGCAAAGCTTCAGTAACTATGATGGAACCAGCAGCTCTCAAATATGCCTTTGAGGTGACCAGAGGGAACACCACAGAAGGTGTCAGTAAGCAGGATGGCGGCAAGCGATTCAACTTACAGATAAGCCAAGACACCGACACCCTCAATGACAGAAGATAAGGCAACGAAAGACTTTGGATCGGTTATTCGAAAGCTGTACTCGCACGCAGCGATAGGCATTGCTCCCGCGGCAGTGAGACCTGCCTCGAGATATACGACATGTCCCTTCTCATCATGGGCGACACATTTCAAGTAATAGCAGTACTTGGACGAGAAGCTGGCATCAGTAAAAGCCTTCTGGTCCCATTCACCGAGAGCCTTCTTGTAAGAAGAATTATCAAGGTGCTCGAGTTATGTGCAGTCAGCTACAGAATCACACGTGCATGAAGTTACTTTATATAGTGAGTGCGTATTGCAAGACGATAGCGTCGATGTCACCGCTGTCTTGTCTTTTCGTGGGTGTAGCAGAGATGCCAGAGACGAAGGTGGCTAGAGGGAGAGCGGGGACAGAGAAAGCATCTTTATAGTTGGGATTAGTCGGTAAAAGCAAGAGAGCAAGAGTTGGTTTTGGGTAAAGTGTATGATTTCCAATGATGGATTTGTTGTTCGGCTTCAGAAGCACCTCACTTGAGCGTACAATATATACTTATTATGTAAACTGGGAAGTTCTATGATCGTCATGATCAGAAGTCTTAAGATCTCAGCCTGAACGCAAATACTTTTCGGATCCAGAACCTCCCGCGGGACTACTGGGCATGGGAAAAGAAGACGATCTAGAAACTGGTCTGGCGAATCACATACTTATCCTTAAGGTCCAGAACTCCGAATTGAATTTTCGCCAACATCTAGAAAGCTAAGCGAAGTGTATTCTTTGTGGTAACAATTTATTCTAGCCAGTCCATGCCTGGGAAACAGACAGTACTGAGTTAACCTGGATGGAGAAGCTGTAGAAAACCCGACATATCATTGCCGGCTCGTCAAGGACCCGAACTATTGGAAAGATCCCGCCGCGATAAAGTCTATTTCAACTGCCATCTTCTCCTTCGAGTCTAGTTGACGGAGTTAATGGCGGGGTGGAGTGTTGGTTCTTTCAATGCTATATTCCGAGCTTAAGTCATGGCTGCATCGGACGGTGACAGCTATGCAGCTATAGGATTGGTCTCGATATGGATGATTGGAATATCCGTATGTCTATGGCATATTTCGATAAGAGATCGTGATGTTGGTGATGCTAAGACTATCAGCAAGACACTGTTAAATGCTGCTCGAGAATTGGTATGGGTAGAAATAAGGTATTTGCATAACTGCAAAGAGAGCGCTACTACCCTATGACTTGAAATTTCACACGCACGGAAACATCCCTGGATAGCAGCAAAATAGAATGCGAAAAAGAGCCCCAGCTCATGTGGTCTTGATAAATCTAGGTATATCTGAGGTCATTGATCCTAGACACTCTGACCTCGGGGTAGCTGGACTGAGCCGCTTGCGAGAATGTCCCCTTTGTACAATGTACCCTGCTGTGATTTTGCTAGTTTGCCACAAGTGTGGCATCCAATCAGGTCATATGTACGTATCTTTTGGGATTTTGATTTGTGGCAAAATCCCTCGCGATGACACGAATCAACAAAGTCACAAGGGGTACACTGTACTGGGCGAAAATAAAAGAGTCAAGGGGAAGGTGAGAGGGAACAAGAACTTGAGAAGCCTGTTATCCGAATTAAGTATACTCGCTAGCTGCTCAGGGTCTAGCGTTTGAGCTCTGTCTTGTTTGGTTTGGTTTGCTAAGCGACAAGCCTATTCATCATTACCCTGGACCCTTGGGTTTTCAGCTATTTGATTTCTCAGCCTCAATCCTCAAATACCACGAGCTGAATACCACTTGTTTTGAAATTAGTGTGCTCGCTGTTTCTAACTTCATATATACGTAGGAAATTAAGGATAGCAATATTCCCCTTTTCAATTTTCGTAGTGTTTTGACTACCGCGGTCCACCGGGCTGGATGTTCGGATTTTCTCGTCCAAGACCTAGACAAGACTCAGGCAAGATCTTATGAACTCTATCGTAGGTTCCCACCTTTGTCTTCGTTGGTAAGCCAGCTACCGTTATTCGCGTGTGCCTCTTCAGCCATCTACCTGTGGACGACTTGACGTGCTACTCAGGTAATGCGGTGGGAAATCGTGTGAAACATTGTGCCTTGTAATTCGGTTTCTATAACGATGTCAGAGAATAAGCTCTCTCGTCGCTAAGATAGTGGGCAGATACTAATATCGATACGATCACTTGTTGGCGTTGGCTCCGAGACAACCACCTTCACAATTTCCGATGATAGTAGGGATGCGATGACCGCTATGTCCACGTCGAAATGTGATGATGTATAGGTGCATAGATATATTGTAATATAAAGTGTTGGATGGATGAAGGCTAACAACCTCATGGTTGTACAACATTTTCATTTGAGTTCAGTCTTAGCTGCTCCTGCACGGTTGCTGTGACGTTAAGTACGAACCTGTACCCTAAACTGCTAAAAATTTAAACACACTTGCTTTTGTACGAATAGTAACATCTCTCATGGACGAGCTATTTAGTAAAGTAACAGATCATCTTTTTTGTTATTCGGGATTTTAATGAGCCGAGCAAGAGCCTTTTCCGTTACCCTCCTGCGAATACAGCATGCATATTCTGGACACTAAACGGTATATCCTAGAGCTAAAAAAGCTTCATCATGATATCCTCCTCCATCTACGCTGAAATGAGTTCTAAGTAAGTCAAGATGGAGATACCCGCGACCGCTGCTAATTTTGCTGTTCAATAGCCGTAATTTCATATCCTCAGATCTCGGATTTAATAGCGATATCAGCACCCATACCGTCTCCTGTTCCGTTCTTCTAACCTTTTTCAACGACATATAGTCTCTCTCCACAACTAGCACGATATACTGCTTACTCTCACGGAGCACCACGTGAGCCGACCCTTATCCTAACGAGGCTATTCTAATACCGCGGGTATTTTCAAGCTACCCGTCTTATTTTGACAATTTATTCTTATCGAGCCACATCGTTAGCCCCACGCTTAAACTAAGAAAAAAAGGCATCTTGGAGGTATCGTCGGGGAGGCCCTTTGCTTTTTCATCTATCTGATAGCGTATAACACTAGAGGATCCAGTGACTGGCCGCAACCTTACTAACGGCGACTATCTTTTGGTTATCTAGGAAGGCATTGAAGGCTTAAGTGATCGCCGCTGTCTGTATAGAAACTAATATCACTTCTACATGCTTACCCGTTGTCTTTAACGAAAGACCAGAGGCCAAGACTGAAAAGCAGACAACTACTCCTAAAACGTATTTATAGCACAAGGTACCAGATCAATTAACTATCCAAGAATGTTTCCTTATCTCGGACCACCCGTCTGCAACCTTAATCGCCCATCCCCAATTTCCCGGCCTTACGACGTTACCCGAGGATCCAATTGCACTCCCTGCAACCCAAAAACACGCACGTCAGAACGCAGTATATGTTGTTGATGAGTAGGACCGTTCGCTCTAATCCTTTACTACCACGGAATTGACCACAGTGCTTAGCCGGATCCTTTACTTTCTGATGCTTTTCAACCCCATTCTGAATAAAGTGAACAGCTACAGACTACCAGGCCATTCGTCATTTCATCTCCCTCAGGTAGGAACGAAAGCGGAAGGCGCGCCCGGGTTCGCGAATGGGAGACTGGTGGAGCTGAGACGTTGTCACCGGGACATATATGAGAACCACCATACCTAGGTAGGGTGATGAGGGAACTCACATTGGTATTGAGGAGGTAAAATGTCTTGGAGGGGGCATTGCACACAGGTTACATCGGACACATGCAGTTTAGGGTAAAACAATCAATAGAATGCCGACTTCGCTACTGATTATTTATACAACGACAATGACCCTTAGACCCTCCACTCAATATCAAATTGTGTATTCCTCAACCACCATTGCTTAATATCCAGTTCTCCTCGCCTGCTCCAAGGAGCCAAGAAAACTAAATACAAATGGGAATGAAAGATAAAATCAAGAGAATCGAATCCAGCCAAATCTGCAGATGTAAAGGAAAAGACTCGATGCAGGCAAGAACAGAGCGCCTAAAGCCGAATAAATAGCAAGATTGTATATCGAACAAGGTATCTGATGAGTAAAGATGAGATGAATGATGATGACGAGGAGAAGGGGAGAGGTATAAACGACCACTATTAAATAAGTAATATGCTGCCAATAACCGATCCCTGAAGAAACAGACACAAAATTTTGCATGAAGGAATAAAAAGTAGCTAATAGGACAAGGGCAGAAACAACACACTGGGTGGGCCAGCCAGTTGTGCGTGCGTGCGAGATTAAGCAGGATACGCCGAATGACAATGACGCGCCGTGAGATGTGGTATATGAGGAAAGAGAGAGAGAGAATAAGATCTCGCATGCTTGGCCAAGCCAAGCCGAACCAGACCAGCCCCGTATTGTTGCCCGTGACCTTGTTCTTTAGGAAATGCCTTTCTGTCCGCAAGCCAAATCCAAGCCTGCAAAACGACGACGCTTATGCAATTGACAAAGGAGAGTTTTAAACGAGAATGCGTGAGATGGGATTGGGCCGGATATCAGTGTCTAAAAAACATAGGAAATCATGGAGATCGTTAAATGCAACTTCGACAAATTTAATACACACTGTCGTCATTGTCGTCTGGTCCCTGAGAAATCATCGACGGTGTTGAGACATCAGAGCCTTCGATATCATCCTCATAGCCGATGAGAGCTTGGGAGTGGAAGCGGAAGGATTCACCCATGATCTTGGTGATACTATTGAGATGTTAGCATTGACTTTGGATTGAATGGGGCGCGAAGGAACTTACCCCCAGACGACAACTTCATCCAGCATACTTCCCCAAAGGCGTGCCACGGTTGAGCTAAGCTTGTTGCCAACGATCTCGACAGAGTCATCGTCAAAGAGAACCCGAATCTTCTGGTACATGACCGTTTCTTCCTCAGTTGCGGGCTCGTCGTCATTTTCCAGGCGATAGAGCCACAAGCTGAGGATAACCATGAGGTCAAGACCACAAAGTGGATGTTCGATGCTCCAATTAGTGGGCGAGGTGCGAGCCACCCATCGGATTCCTTGCAGAGCTGCAGTTTCAATGCAGTTGAAACATTCTTGAATAACCTTGATCATCTCGCTGGATCTCTTGACCTTGTCCCGTGCGTTGCTCATGGCAGCAGCAACCTCGTAGCAGTCATGATACCTCAAGACCTCTTGAATCGACTTGAGGTCGACTTCAAGACGGGCACGTGCATTTCGGAACATGGCCGTGGCATTGAAGATCAGCGGGTGGCCCTTGTGAGGAGCACTGAGTGGGACCGAAGCAAATTCAGGCTCACAAAGATCAAGCGATTTCTCCCATGTCTCCAGAGCCAGACGAAGTTTGTACTCGGTAACCACATCTTGGAGAGCTTCTGGGCTGCGCTTATGGTACCAAACTTCAAGGAAGAGCGCGTTGATCATGACACGAGTGGCAAAAGCGCTGTAGCGTAAGGATTCTCCTTGGAACAGGTTGTCGTGGGCTTCCATGAACGATGGAGCTTGTGACGCTGCGAGTTGTTCTGACCAGGTGGCTTCGTCTACAGTATTGAGATTCCACATCTCCTCGGTCGATGGCAAGGAGAGGTCTTCAAACTCGTTGAAGCTGATCGCTGGAGTATGGTTGTATGACAGAGTCAATAGCCCGAAAAAAATGTAGACGGCATAGTAAGTACGTCTGCAGCCTTCGTCTTCTACCCACTCTGCTCGAGTAGGTTGAGCCCCTTCGCGTTTGTCCGTCCGTATCTTCAACTCGTAGCGATTGCCAGCGACCATGTTGGCGAGTAGACTCTTGATAGAACAAGCCCACTCGAGACCCTTCGGATCACCACTCCAGCTAGCAAAGATCATGTTGAGTAGAGAACTTTGCATAGTCCAGAGAGGGCACTTTCGCGAGCTGAAGTTCTCCTTGTTCTGCAAGAACTGGTTGACGAGGACCTTGGAGCCGATGTGAAGGATGTATGCTTGATCTTGATCAAACGCATACAACGCACCGATGGAGAGGACGGCCAACAGTAGTGGCGGCGAAGCATCACTTGCTTTGAATGACGCCGGATGCAAGAAGGGCAGATGATGATGAAACAATCCGAAATAAGTCTGGAGGTACCTGTTCAAGGAGCCCAAGCTTGGAAGACGGAAGCTCTCTGGGATGGCGCGTTCACTGTCACCATCGCGAATGTTGTCAAGAATGATGTTACGCTCATCGTCGTTGAGAACCTCGGGAGCCTTTGGGGACTGTTGTCCATTACGGGATTGAGATGGGGACATCTGACTTGGTGTGGCGGTTCCCGAAGGCGGCAAAGAGTTGATCATCTGCTGAAGAGCTGGAACGAGACCATTGTAGCCCGAAGCTGCCGCCTTGTTGATGGGAGGTAACTGATTTGGATGCGGATGCATGGTGCTCGTACTGGTGAAGGAGGTCTGCGACTCTTGCGACCCGGAGGCGGTGGAAGTGATTGAATGCGACTTTGGCTCAGTAACTGACTGCGGCATGAATGAATCCCACTGCACCTGAGGAAGTGAGATGGCTCCCGATGGAAATGTGACGGATGGCTCCAGAAGTGCAGATCCATGCGAGAAAGCCATTCCAGGTCTATTCTCATATGGGCCCACGCCCGCGTTGCGCATCGCCGCAGTTGCTTTGTGGTGCAGATCAGTCATCAGCATCGCCGCCGTCTCGAGATCCACCATCCCATCACTGCTCGCCTCGATCTGCTCGAGGGCCGAGGTGTCAATGGCAATGGCTGACTTGGATGGACCGGCTATTGGACTGGGCTTGGGTCCCGCTCGTCGCTTTACGTCGCTGTGAAGAGGGACGCCTCCATCTTTGGCGTGCACCGTCCGGTCATGTCGAAGCAATAAATCGCGTCGCACGAAGGTACTTCTACACTTCATGCACTTGAAAGGGCGCTCCTTGGTGTCTGCAAGGTCATGTTAGTACTATCCTGAGGACTATCGTCAAAAAATGAAGCGACGTTGTGTCGATGTTATTGTGGACGTGCTGGGTTGAGGTGTCGATCCAGCCCCTCACACGCAACCCGAGAGGGGAAGCTGTGTTAGTTGTGTGGCGGGCGGAACTCGACCGTCGCGAAGAGAAAGTATGGAATGCAATGAGGGGAACTTGAGGATAATTATAACAAGATCGGGGGGAGACACGCGAAGAAACAGAAGGGACGAATAAATGACTTACGTGATCTCTCATGTCTGCTGCGATGCTCACTCCTGCTGAAGGCTCGATTACAGAACTGGCACTTGTACTTCTTCTCTGGGGCTAATGACGACGACGACGACTTGCGCATAGCCGACGACGATGCCGCAGTGGGCAGGACGGTCATACTGGCGACAGGCATGTTGAGTGTGTTGCTGCTGCTGATGTTCTCGCGTTGAGTGGTGATGCTGTGCAATGGTTTGACTGTGTATCCTTGCTGTGCTTGCTGCTCTTGTCCTGTCTACCCTATCCTCCTTCTTCAGACCCTCGATGGTTGAATATCGACCGTCTGGCTCGCGAGCGTGGGCGTAGGGCTTAAAGTGTAACTTGAGTTCTTTGCAATGTAGGGTTCATTTGTTGGTATTTCGTGGGCATAGAGTTGTGTGTTGTGGGTATAATGGTGGCAGCGGCCAGTGTCGCGACGGGGACAGATTCTCGCCTGTGGTGGGCAAGAATGGGTCGCAAGTCGCGTTCGTCGGGTGTTGTTAAGTGGTATTAGGTGGCGGAATGTGCGTCGCCAGGTGTGCTTGATGATGGGGATGGCAATGGGGATGGGGTTGGTGAGGGATTAGAACGGTTGACGGTGGATGCGTGGTTGATGCGATGGCAGTGTGTTGTTGCTGTTGTTGTTGTTGTTGTTGTTGTTGCGAAAGAGGGGTTGATGAGAAAGGAAGAGCAAAACCAGAGAAAGAGGAGGGGAAACGAGAGTGTAAGGAGGCAGGAGGCAGGAGGCAGGAGGTTCGGGGATGGAAGTGGGAGTGGGAGAAGAGTGTGGTGTGAATGAGAGAGTCCAGTGCCAGTGCCAGCGTCCTGACAAGTCCAAGTCCAGTAGTGCGGGTGCAGCAGGCAGTGGGTCAGTACTCAGTAAATTTACCTAGTCCTCCAGGGCAGGGCAGGGCAGGGCAGGGCAGAGGACGGCAGGGGGCCGGGGGCTCGGAAGGGAGGGGGGGCGAGGGGGGGGCGAGGGGGGGTGCAGGTGAGGTGTGTGACTTAGTGGACTTCGCGGTGGATCCAGCTGCAGCGTGTGGCTGCGACCATCTCCCCTTCTGGCTTAGCGGAGCACCAAGAGAACAGGCCGAAGAGAGGGGGAGCTGTGCTTGTGCTTGTGCTCTCGTTCATGACCTCCGTATTATTATTATTGCGCTTGCCGTTGCTGGAAGGGCTAGCTAGCTGGACATTGGTCTTTCCAAGCTCCCAAGCACATGGAAGAATGGAAAAGGAGATGGCGGGGGCGACCGCCCTCGCCCCCCTCGCCCTCGCCCTCGCCCTCTCCCTCTCCCACTCCCACTCCCACGCCTTTGTCTGCTAAAGCGGCGAGAGTGTGCCGGATATGGCTACCTCAGTATTGCTAAACGACTGGCTGGCAGCCATTCAAGGACTCCAGGGGCGCGCGCAAGAAATCACCGCTCAGCGCGCACCAGCCAGCAGGACATGGACAAGCACAGAGACGAAGGAAGTAACAGACCTCGAGTCTCAACTCTCAAGAATACAGGACGTCACGTCGCACGATCTGGTTCAGCCGAGAATGCCCTACCTGGCGATACAGTGTTTGGTTTGCCTGACGCGATTCAGCACCCTTCCTCCCCGAGCGAGAGCCATAACAATACTACGCCGGCCCTTCCGTCAAACTAGGTACGTACCTTACCTACCTAAGGTAAATTAGGTACTGTGCGCTCGAATATACTGTAGGGCGTTGCGGCCCATTCCTTGCTTGGTTCAGGGGAAAAGGCACCCGTGGACCGTCAGTGCCCATCTCCCCACTGCCCCTCTTCGCTTCGTCCTTTCCATTAATTCCAAGGTTCACCACGTACCAGTTTATCATGCGACGCAACACTGGATTATCGTCAGAGTATTGGTTGAGGTATCACCAGAAATTCAACTGGACCTAAGCAGCAATTCTTGAGCGAATCGATAGTACTCTATGAGTACCTTACCTGTCTGTGCTCAGCGCCAGCAGCATGGACAGCTATTCGTCATGTTCCCGAATTATTGAATAGGAGACACAGCCCCGTCATCACCATCACACTTCAGATGACTGAGGAGATTATATCAGAAACAGAACCCCCCGATGGATACAGACAGGTATGGATATGGAGGGGTCATCATTCAACTGTTTCTTTTGCGAGACATGGACCCTTAAAATGCTACCAAGGGAGGTCTCGCTTCGACTCAACTCGAGCTAATAATTGTACTGTAATGAAAGTATATTTTATTTCAGGCCAGTGCTGACTACAGACTTTCGAGTCAGGCGGGTCGAGGCGTATTCCCTTCCTACGTGAAAGCATTGCTGCCGTCTGAAAATAGGGTCATCGTTTGAACGAACGCTAGTCCGACTTGCAGCACAGCGAGAGTCTAGAGTGAGGCTGTGAGTTGACAACACAACAAGAGCAGCAACAATACCTCAGCAGCTCAATTCAGTCGGTCGAGGGGTAACAGTTCCAACGTCCCAATGACTGTGACCCAGGAAACATCCCACCAACCACCACCACCACCAAGCCGTTCAAACAGCAAGCGATGGGGGCAAACCAAATAGCAAACGGCCAAGGCGAGGGCCAGGTAAGGCAAACGAGGGGTGAGATGTCGTGTATAAGTACCTGGCCAAGCCTGGATGCCTCGCCGGGTTTAGCAAGAATTGTAAGGATGTGCTATGATATGTCCAGCATAGTGACTGCAAGGGGTAATTATGAGCCCATCTGTGCGATGATATGATAGACAATGTATGATATAAAATTTCTGGGAGCTTCTGGCGCTCGAAAGAACTCCGAGAAAGCAATGAGGGCGACTGAAAGACGCAAACCTCATTTCCCTTGGCCAGCTCCTTGGATCTTGTGGCACCGCTATCAAAAGCACTTAAAACCAGAAATAAAATGATTGTTTGTTTTAGTTCGAAGCGGGACGGACGGGGACGGTACGGTACGGAACTTACTGGTCTGATCACTAAGGCAAGAGTCTCTTTACCATCTATAATTTTTCTTTTCACTTTGACCAACAGCCGGCTCTATCAACTGGATATAAGATGCAGAAATAAAACACCACGATACGATGCACTTGAATAGGTCTCGTGCAAGCTCGTTATTCTTCCAGCACTATCAAATCTACATCACATAACGAGCAGTATTGAAAGTGTGTGAAGCTACTCCTCGCTGGTCTCTGCCCTAGTGCTTTTAGGTCCTACCCTTCCCAGAAAGAATCATTTCCACTCATCGACAGCTTCAAGTCCTCACAACCCGGACGCATAGTTTCCATGTGAAGAAGCGGGGAGTGAAGAAGTACGTTGGGACAACGCAGAACAGCGGTCAAGTCACGACCCCTCCTCGTAACCTCCCCCCCGTGCGAAGAATATTTCAAGATGTCTTCATCCTTACCTTCCCGACCCGACCCAACAAAGGCAGCCCATATCCGATTGTGCTTCTGCACCGCTTCTTGCTGACGCCTTCTCATCGAGCCTCTCATCTCACCGCTCAGATCACTACCACCAGCTGCATGCGCATCAAATGATTTTCATGCAAAGCGGACGCGCGTATGTACATGTAAAAGCAAGGACAGAAAAAGTGCGGTTCATCCACGGTCGTCTCACTTGGACGACTATTTCTAGTTATGTGCTGTTTTCTGCCTTCCTCGCTCGCTTTCTCCAGATACTCGTCGCTCTGTCATTGGATGATAAGCTCTGACGCGCTCGTAAGTTATCTTCCTGTTACGAAGTCCAGGTTGTGCTGCAGGGCAAAACATGCATCACTTGCACCCAGCATCGTCATTCTGCCCACCCCCCTGTGCGCTTTACCCCTCTACAGTAGAATAGTTCGATGCCCTCACTACGAGTAACACCCACCAGCTGGACTCGTAAATAGAGAATGACCCTAAGTCGAGCACCCCGTGGCCCGTTTAAGAGGAAAGCTCGGTCCCAGGACGCCGCTACAGCACGCATGCCAGGTACAAAGACCCACATCGACGGAGCTGTACTTACAGTACAGTAGTGTGCATCGCATCACTGAGGCAGTGAGGGCTAGGGATTGGAACTGCTTCCCCGGAAGCCCAGCCCAGCCGTTTGAACTGGACCCTTGTCATGGGCGGACCTTGTTGGCTAAGTCACTCTTGGGAATATTTCCCAGACAGGGGTATGTGGATTCGAGGTATTTGGTGTGGATTTGAGCAGAAACGGGAGCGGGAGATGGGAATAATTGGGAGAGAGAGAGGGGTTTGAACGGAGGGGTAGATTTTTCAAGATGATAACAAGTCAGTGCAAACGCGCTGTGATTGCAAGTCACACAGTCGTCAGATCTCAATTGAGATGGCCCACCGGAACCTTCCTATTTGACTTGACGAATAATGAAGATCGATAACAAATAGTACCTACTGTAGTGTCATACAAGTGCATGCAATCTTCAGGGGAAGTTTCCCAAGTCGTCAAACTCTCATGTTCCTGATGCCCGACAGCTTGGTTGGCTGGCCAGACTGGGATTTTGACGTCTGCCCCTCTCGAACACAGGCTCAGCTCAATTGCTTCGATGAGGGGCAGAGAAGCCTGCAACGTGCTTCTATCGAGATTGCAATACGTTATCAAGAAAGACCATGCATGGAATTCATAATATGCCACAACCGTCCGTACTTGTCTCAAATCATATCTTAACTTCGACTCTTCCGCTATGACTTGTAAAGTGTGAAGGTCCTCTCGCTCTCGAATACTTTCCTGGAATGCATCTCGAAAACTTGCATTTGCAAACCACAAGAAATTATCCAAAATTGTCCCATCTCACCTTTCTGTGCACGCCCGAGACACCGGAACCTCTCGGTACGCCTGAGACATCCATCTATCGAAGCCCAGAGTAAACTTGATAACAACAAGGGTCGCGGGCAATAACAGTCTCTCCCAACCACTTGCAGGAAAGGAATCCACCTTCCGCGCCCCCGCATCCAATTATCTCTCCCAAAAGCAGTAGAATAGCATCCATGATATAGTTAGCGATCCCAATATCCTGGAAACGATGCTCCATTCCTTTCGTTGGAGTACTGTAGTAAATTTACTTAGTGGAACGGAACAAGGACAAGGACAAGGACAAGGAATAGGGAACAGAGCTCGCGGAATTTGAGTGAGCCAAACCCGCTCGGGAGACATCCGGAACATGGCTGGCTGTTAACTAAAACTAAATATGAAGCAAGCTAGACGAGGGGACTAGGCTTTCTTTGAAAATAGAAAGACATGCGATCTTTCTGGAAGGTCCCGAGGGAAATTCGCAATCTTTTCAGGGAGTGGCGGAGGGGTTGGAGGGGTTGATTCGTGACGCGCGAGGGGAGATGACAGGCTCGGTAGTTAAGGAGGGGGCGGGTTTTCCTCATTTCTGGAATTCGAAGGGGTTGCAAGATTTTGGGATGAACATCACCCATGAAGCCTCGTGCGTTTACCGGAAGTGGCAGTCCTCAGGGAGGTCAGAGGAGGTCGAGGGTGCCTTAGGGGCGGCCCATTCCCTAGCTTGCCGCGAGCTGCCGCTGTCGGGAGGTTCCACTTGCCTGGGATTTGACCCAGTTCGTGATGTGCAATGCGATGCGACAGATGCATTGGAGCCTGTTCGCTGGCAGCAACGGTGAGGTTCGTGATTTAACGGTGAGCAGTTCGTAGCGAGACGGTGAAGAAAAGCTGCTCCACTGTTTGTCAGTATTGCATTAGGTTTGCATACTCTGAGGAATTTTGACTACCAGGTGTTCGAATTGCTCCTCTATCATGCCGACACCCAAACCGTCCCCGTTCGCAAACAAACAAATCATCCTGAAATGGCTCCAGCAAAAACCCGATATCGTCAGAGTCAGGATTTTCGAAGGGAATCAGTCTGAATTCTCGCCCCTCCAAGCCCCCTCGATCACTCTCACCGCCACAGAACGACATGTCCACTCCCGACAGATCGCCTCGTCCCCAAGTTCCCATTAACAGTAAAGCAAATCCACACTTTTCCTCCTAGGTACACCCATAGCACCGGTATCCACTTACCTGTCAATCCACCTGCCTCATCAATAATAGGGGCTGCCACACTGATTGAATACTGAACGGAAGGCAGCACAAATCTTTTGCGTTATCTGATGTAGTGGTGGCTATCTGGACAGATGCGGAAGGTTATTCGTCATAGGCTTACTAAAATTTGATGACTCAACGGAGTGATTTACGAGAGAAAATATCGTCTTGGTTTTCGTTCCTTTTGATATATCAGTATGGCTCAGAAGTGCAAACAAGATAGACTAATAGCCAGTCTCAAATGAAATTTACATTACCCACACGTCCTATCTCAGTGATAGGAGTTGAAACCCCACTTAGAGGAAAGGAAAGACAGATAAGCAAACACACTCTCCACAGTCGAGTGCATATCTAGAGCTCTAATCAACCCAGAAATCTGGCTTTTCACAACCAGCAAGTCGCAACCCTGATCTGTGTATCCCCTCGCTTACGGGACTTGCCTGTAAACAAAGGTGGCCGATTGAGACAAGGTCTCCAATAGCACGAATTCGTGGATTGCGCAACGACAACTTGACAAGAAAATAATCGCTCTAGCTGAAGTACGTATATGCTATTTCTGAAGATACTCTTAAGATTTTAGAGGTTTTGATTGTTTGGGCGTCCATTATTTAGTGCGCTAGTTTTGGTGTTCTTGAAGTGCTTCGATCGGCCACTTTTATTAAACGTTAGTTCTATTAAATTCTCGCGCTCGCACGTGAGGTAGATTAAATACTAAATTTTAGGTAGTAGAAGAGGCAAATTTTCAACTTTTACTAAGCTTTTTTTCTTACTTCTTAATTAGTTTTAAACTTTTGAGGTATAACTAATCTTTTCTTACTTATATTTTTACTATTTATAGCTCTTAAGGAACCTATACCTTAAGTTTTATTATATTATAAATTATAGCTCTTCTAATATCTAAGCTTTATTTTTATACTTCCTTTCTATATATTTTATTAAAAATTTCTTTTATTATAAATAGACGCTACTATTAATTACTATTAGTATAATAAAGTATAATAATATAATAAATATTTATTAGTAACTATAATATAAAGTAGAAAAGATAGTAAGAGAAAGAAGTTCTTAAGAAGCCTTAAGAATAAGTAAAAGAAATATAACTATTAGTAAACTAAGCTAGTTCTAAGTTTATTATATAACTTTAGCCTTATAACTTTATAATATTAGCCTTACTTATATAACTTACTTATATAACTTACTTATTATAATTAGTTTATTATATTACTTTCCTTTTTAAGGAAAGCTTATTTTTAAGTTATAAAAAATTTATTATAATTTATATTAAATATTATAATATTATTTATTAATCTATTATATATATTATTATCTTTTACTTCTTATATAGTTAGTTATTTAAGAAGTAGTTTAAGTAGTCTAAGTTCTATAAAGTAAGCTTAATAGAAGTCTTAAAGCTTATATAAATAAGTTATAAAGTCTTTAATAAAGTAGAATTCTAAGTTAGAATTAAGTTCTTTTTATTTAGCTTAGTATTATAAGGTCTTATCTTATTTAAAGTATACTTTTAAGATATCTTAGACTTCTTATTTTTATTTTATATTTACTTAAATAAGTTTTTATTCTTAGAGTACTAGAGAGGTTATCACCTGATCCGTGGTTATTTCGCTCACGTGCTAGCTAACGCTAAACCGTGCTATTACAACTATATACTTAGATTTATAGTTTAAAGTAGTAACTAATTATTACTTCTTACTTAATTATAAAATAAGCTTACTATAAAATATAATTATATTTCTTAAAGTACTTTTCTTATGGACTTTATTACTTACTTAGTTTATATTAAAGTAAAATATAATAATATTATACTTTCTTTTTAATTTATATTAGATTTATATCTTAATAATTAACTTTAAGTATTTAAGTAGTAATTTTAAACTATATTTATAATACTTAATTAAGTTACTTATAAATTAACTAAGTTTTCTAAGAATAAAAGTAATATTAAGCTATATAAAGATTATTATATATAGTTATTCTTAGTTAAGATATTATTTAAGATTTTTAAGAAGATTTTCTTCTTTAGTTTTAATTTAATAAAGATATTCTTAATATTATATTAATAGTATTTAAAGTCTTTTTTTATTATAAGTATTAAGAATAACTAAAGTATGTCTATTTAAATAATTAAAGTAAAAGTTTAATTATAATCTTATTTATATACTTAACTAAATTTCTTAACTATTAACTAAGCTTTAAACTACTTAATCTTATTATCTATTATAATCTTAATTATATATACTTATTTATAAGAGATAAAGTTTATACTTTTTAGTAGAATTATTTTATAGAAAGTATTATTTATATATAAAGATAATATTTCCTTTTTTATTATAATATATTATTATTTTATATATTTACTATTAATAGCTTACTTATATATTTAAAGAATTATAATATTAGCAATCTCTTTTATAAGTAAAGTAGTTTTATTATAAAGTTTATATAACTTATTATTTAATATATTTCCTTTTATTAGAATCTATATAATTATTACTTTAATTCTTTTTATATTTTCTTTATCTTCTAAGTCTAATTTAGTTCTCTTTTATAATAATTATATAAAGTAATATAACGCTTTTTTTAAAAAAAGTTAATTATAATTAACTTAGATTTACTATTAACTTTTAGTTCTATTAGTATTTTATTTAAAGAGTTTAGTATAATCGCTTTAACTTATAATTTAAGATTAAGAGTTAAGTTTATATTCTTATTAGCTTTTAAGCTAACTTTTAGAGTTACTTTAATTACTAATAGTTTATCTAAAGTTATTTCTAAATCTGATTTTAAGTTATAATCTAATATATTAGCTTTTATAAAAGCTAGTATATTTATTAGTAATATAAATAATAAAATAACTATTATAAGATTTATTTACTAATCTTTAATTATTAGATTAGCTGTTTTTAGTACTTTTAATTTATTATAAGCTTTCTTATTTAAAGTAATATTTAAAGTTCTTTATAATATTTAGATTAATTATTTCTTTAGAGCTACTTTTTTTAATAATTATTTAACTTAATAAAATTATTAATTTATATTTTAAGAAATATACTTAGAAGTATTTTATTATATTCTTTAAGTATCTTATTAAGACTTTAATTTTACTAAAATTAATAAGCTTATTATATTACTTATTTATAAGTATTATCTTTTTATTTATATAATAAAAGTATTTACTTCTTTACTTATAGATATGGTTTATTAATAGTATTTCTCTTATAAAAGCTTTTATTAAATAAGTCTTTATATTATTAGTTATAAGTTTCGTTATATTTTAGTTTCTTATATATAAGTTAGTTTTAATAGTTTTATTTTAGAATTCTAATAGTAATTAAGTATCTTTAAGTATTATATATATAAAAAAAATTATAGTTTAAATTAATTATTTAGTAAGTTTATTCTAATATAAGAATATAATAGTTATTAATTATACTAATACTTTATCTTTAGTTCTTTAATTATTAGTAGTTTTAAATAGTTTAAATATATTATCTAATCTTATTTATTTAACTTTCTTATTAGATTATAATTTAATACTAACTTTCTAATTATAAAGTACTTAATAAGTATTTTCTTTAGTTTTTAGTAGAATTACTTAGTTTTAATAAAAATAAATATTAATAATTAATAAGAAGTAATAGTTACTTTTAATTAATATTAAGAATAATTTAATAATATTAAATTATACTAAATTAAGAATTTCTATAAGCTATATACTTAGTATTTTTAGAATCTAATTCTTTATTTTTATAATAGTATATATATTATAAATATCTAAACTCTTAAGAATCTTAATTACTTTTTTTAATATAATTATATTATATAAGTTTTAGATCTTTTTAAGTCTAAGATATATAAATAATTAATAGTACTTAAATTATTACTTAAGGTCTTTTCTAATAGCTATATTATTATCTATTAATTTATCTCTTATTAGTTTAATAACTAATAAAGCTCTTGGAGTTTTATATTAACTATAATTAACTTTTCTAATAGTTTTAATTATTTTACTATTAAATACTTTAAAAATATACTTTATAATATAAAAACTATAAGTTTACTTTACTTTTAAAACTTTTTTATTCTTTTTAATAATTTAAATATTCTTATTATTAAAAGTTTTATAATAGCTACTTTTATATAATTTCTTTATTAAGATTAAATTTATATTTAGCTTAAGAATATAAAGTATATTATTTAGAAAATAAGAAGTTCTATCTATTACTTTAACTAATATAACTTTATATATATATATAAATATAATATCTTTTCTTTAACTTAGATATAGATTTTAAATATTAATCTTAGTTCTTTAAATAAGTAAAATTAGTTAGTTATAAATAAACTTATACTTATATTAATTACTTAGTTTTTAGAAATACTTTTATAAATTAACTTTTTAAATAATATAGCTTTCTTAATAATATTATTTTCTTTATTAGAAAAAGTATCTTTAATAGTATAATCAAACTTATTAAATATATTATTATCTAAATTATATATTATTATATAACTTTTCCTTCTATATTTAAGATAATAAGATAAAAAGCTTTTCTTAATAAGTTTAAAATAATCTTTTTAATTAAATTAAAAGTATAAAATCTTATTTTTAACTTATAATTTAAGCTTATATATTAACTTAGCTTATTTTCTTTTCTTTTCTTTAACTAAAAGTTTCTAATATATTTCTTATTAGTAGCTTAGAACTTATAATTAATAATAAAGTAATCTTTAGATCTATAATAATAATATTTTAAAATAACTTTAATTATATTATAATCTAATAAATTACTATCTTAGTAAAAGTAATAATTAAAGTAATAATATACTTATTTATATTATTACTAAATAATATATACTTATTTCTTACTTATAATTTATAACTTTAAATCTTATAT